CTGTGAAGCCGAATAACCCGAAAGTTAAAAGTAAAGTCAAAAGCTTTTACTTAAATACTTTATCCTTTTTTTCTGTGCTCTCTATTGTCTTTTGCTGTAAGTCTATTGGACAAAATAACAGTCTCTTATTATTTAATCACCAGTATCAATTTAGGAGTAAAATGACAATAGATTCTCAAACTAAAATAAGTAATGGGACATCATACTCTGTGGTCACCAGGGCTTCGGCCAAACTGGGCAAACAGGTGAAGCTGATGGACTCACGCATACCGGTCTTGAAGACCAGGGCTGATATTCCCAGCTCGTACAAATTACCTATGTCGCCACAGTCCTACAGTGAAGCTGTGCAAAGTCAGCCAAGTGGATGTGGCTCCACCCCTGTTAACACGACTAGGTTAACAGATCCGAGTGGGAAAATTGCACTAAGTGAGAACTGCATAACACCCATCCCGGTGGTAGACCATGGAACAAATAGGAAGGCCAAAAAGAAACGTTCACGAAGTTGCAAGACGACAAGCACGCTCCCCAAGAAGGCAGACGACTGCAAGGTCTGCGCATCTTTTGTCGAACAAGAAAACTCTGCTTTCGAATGCAACTTTTGCAAGCGATGGGTGCATTGCAGATACGACAGTGAGGTACCAAAAGCATATTATGACTTTATGCGTAAAAACCCATGCCAATGGTTCTGGTACTGTCAAAGTAGTTAAAGATTGAACGATCAATTCATGGCTGTTTGCTCAAAACCAACTTCCCCAATTTTCGCGGAGGCATCAATACGGCAGTCATCGTCTCATCGGTCGCTGTTCAGAAAGAAGTCAGTAGAAAACCGTCAGAAGTAATATTGTGATTTATTATTGTAATATTTGTTCACAGACCTTAGTTGTGACATTGTTTATATGTTGGTGTAACAATAAAGAATCCTCGAGTAACCAATTGGTGTTTTGGTTTTTTCGTCCGTTATTACTAAGCGTTTCTGAGAAACTTCAAGGAACAGCGTGAGCCCGAGCGTAGCAAGAGCTGGGCATTAACGGTTTACGAGACGTGGCTAATAGTTTCTGACGGTAGAAACAGATATACAGATACATATGCCCTGGTTGCCGTCATGATGTAGCCTCGCGTAGTCTTTTCAAAACTAAAGATGGCGCAGAAGTAGTGGAGAAAAAGGTGAAATGCTCGACCCCCACCAATCCGGAAATTAGTACAAACGCGCGTAAACCGGGGATACCAAAATCCTCACCGGTTAAACTTGTAACTCTTGACAAAATCGCTCCAGACACAGAGGCTGGAGAACCACGGGTTTCCGTCGTTGGAAAAAACCCCTTTCGTCTGCCAGTAATATTGGCCATAGCACTGAGACACAAAAAAATACCCAGTCGCACCAGACGAACCAAAACAGTCTTAAAGGAGATCACAAATATGCGAGGACCGAGCCCAAGCCCACGGTTAGTAGATCAAATTGTGTAATCCTCTTTAATGTACCAGACTGTAGCAGTAGTCTGCTGAAAGTTAGGGCCTTATTTGATCAGGAACAGTGATCCATCTTGTGTAGCTCACTGGGTTTGGACATCCAACCAGTAAATCTATGCAGATTGTATAGGGGCACTGCTGCACCTGAAGGCAAACCATCCCCACTGAGGGTAACATTGGGCTCTACCGAGGATGTTGAAAAAGTGTTACTGGCTTCTCAAGTCCTTTCTATAGGGAGGGCCTGTAACATACGCGTTAAGCCAGACAGGCCGTGGAAGGAAAGACAAATGGCGAGGGAGTTGCCAGAGCTCATTCCTTCTGCCTCCATGGTTGTGCATGGCATTCCCGAACTGGTAACTGGGAACGCCTGCGAAAAGCATTGTCATAATGGTTGGCACCCCAGATGGCTCTGGGGAGTTCAGGGGCTGTCTCTATTTATAGACTGCCTCGACCCACTCATCTTATGTCAATTAACTCGCCACGTCTGTTAGCTGTCAAGTTCAGCTCCCAAGACCAGTTGACTGCCGCTCTCCATAGATGGTACGAGACCAAGGACAAGGTCAGCAAACACATTCGCTGCTGCGAGAGCCGGCCTCGCACTCAAAGGAGAGAACAAAACGTAGTTAAAAAAATCCTCAACCCCTAGTCACACTACAACGGTGCAGCACGGACGATGATAGCCAGTGTCACCCGAGTGCTCCGACTGAACTAGAAGAAAAAAACGCCAACAGGCCGGTTCCGGGGGAATCGGCCAACTAGTTCGTAGGAAGGCTGGATTCACTGAAAATGTCAAGATGGATACTAGATGGGGCCCTGATGGGAAGTCTTCTAGACTGGATTACGTGCTCACTAGTGACCAGCTACTAGTGGAAAACGTTCAGATCACGACTCCCATAGGTAGTAGTGACCACGCGGTCATAGTATTCGACATAGTCCTCCGCGAGCGCTTACAGTGGGACAATACACAGCCCTATCTGTGTTATAACAAAGCCAACTACACCAAAATGCGAAGACTTCTGTCTGAAGCAAATTGGCCTAAAAAATGGACAGAGCTAACAGTAGAAGAACACTGGAGAGTGGTAAAGGAGATCATTCACCAGGCGGTCTCAGACACTGTTCCTTTAGTCACCAAAAGCTAGGAAGCAACGATCATGGCTAAAAAGGGGACACAACGCCTTCTGCAGGGAAGCGAAAAGCCTGGTTTGCGTGGCGACGATCGAAGAGTCAACCCGAACATGAAGTGTACCTTGAACTCAGGAATCGATGTAACATACGAGTCCGGAGCGATAGAAGGACATTTCAGGGAGACCTCGCCAATAAGCTTCTCGTGAACCCCAAAAGCCTATACAGGTTTATGTCCGAAAGAAAACCGACCAACCAGGGAGCATGCAATCTAGTGGGTTCTGATGGGAAATCTCTTACTAGTCTTGAAATGGCAGAGACATTCAGCCTAGCCTTTCACAGGCAACTAAACAGTAACGAGGATATTACCCCTACAGAACATCCAGATTACATCGCAAAACCAACACACGAAAACCTGCTGGGGACATTTCAAATTACCCCGGCTATGGTACTTGCAAAATTGGGAAGGTTGGCTTCGGGAAAGTCTCCAGGTTGTGATGGCATCAGACCATCTGTCCTGAAGCAGTGTTCAGAAAGTCTCTGTCAACCCCTAAGTGATCTGTTCCAACACTCCCTTGATGTAGGGAAACTTCCATGTGAATGGAAACGTGCAATCCTATCCCCTATCTTCAAGGGTGGTGACCGGCAGAATGTGACCAGTTACAGACCAGTTGCTCTACTTCCAGTGGTATCGAAGATATTGGAAAGTCTCATTGACGACCACATGAGAAAATACTTCGATGGGACTAACCTTCTTCACGAAGCACAGCACGGTTTCAGGAGGGGAAGATCCTGCGTGACGAATCTTCTACTAGCTTGGAACGATTGGACACTATCCTGGGACAAAAAGGTACCAGCCCACGTGATCTTTCTCGACTTTGCGAAAGCATTCGACACAGTTCACCATGGTCTGCTCCTTCACAAAATAAGCAAGGCGGGTGTTTCTGGAGCACTTCTCGCATGGCTGAAGATTACTTAGGCGAGAGAGAATTCTGCACCAAAGTCAACCGCATCCGATCATCCTGGCACACCTCGGCATCAGGGGTTCCTCAGGGTTCTATCCTAGGGCCGTTGATGTTTTTGATTTTTATCAATGACCTGCCCCCCCAACTAAACTGCTCTGCGCTTCTTTACGCTGACGACGTAAAGATTTGGAGAGCAATAAACTCATCGGAAGACTCAGATAGATTGCAGGCTGACCTGCAAACTCTGGGAAATTGGGCTCTGGCTAACGGAATGCCTTTCAATCTAAAGAAGTGCAAAGTAGTGCAACTTCATTCCGGCAGGTCACAGAGTGTAAATTACACCCTTGGTGGCCAGAACTTGAGTTGTGTTCCATCAGAGCGTGATCTAGGTCTTATTCTAACAGAAAAGCTAGACACCAGTGGAAATTACTCGAGGGACGTCGCCAAAGCCTACGCAACATTACACTTTATGCACAGGCAGCTGGGAGCTCTCACTCCCGAACTGTTCTTAAGGCTATACAAGGCATATGTGAGGCCACACCTTGAGGTGCATAATATCATTGCACCTCCGCTACTCAAAAGGGATGCTAACATTCTAGAAAGTGTCCAGAGACGAGCGACAAAATGGGTGATCGGCCTCCGCAACAAATCATATGAGGAAAGACTAAAGAAATTAGGTCTTTTCACACTTAGTTACCGTAGGCACAGGGGAGACCTCATCACCGTCTACCAAATCCTAAATGACCAGGCCCACCCAAATAAAAGCATCCTGCCATTAAGCGATTATAGGCTTCCACGAGGTAACCCGCTAAGGATAGCACACCAGAGACCAAAGACTCGAGTGCGATCACATTTCTTTTCGCTTCGTGTTTGCCGTCTCTGGAACGCTTTACCGGCGGCCGTGACTACAGCGCCATCTCTGGAGATTTTTAAGCGGAAGCTAGACAATCATGCAGAAATGCAAGGTTTGTGTCTCAATGGCTTATCCTCATAAAACTTGAAACCACACTGTCAATGATAAGCGTACAAACTAAATCCCCACGACCTATTCTGCCTTCTCTCACTCTATCTTTTCCTTAGGTCACCTTTATTATTCCACTTATCTCAACCTATATTATCTACACTACAACCCATTATTTTTATTATTATTATTACTATTCTGCTTTTATGACTACACCGAATGACCAACGGGGGTTAGGTCAAACTCCATTCACGGCAGCAATACAGTCCTAACATACTGCATACTACAAACCACATCTCGACCAATCCCCGCACCACTCCTCCTGGAGTCTACCAGAGCTAAAGCAGTCGAGTGGCGGGACTTACTACGCAGAAGCTCACCGAAGATCTGGAACCTCTACCTCACAATCAAGAAGCGAGCTCAAAGAAATCACTGGTTTATACTAGCTCGTAATCAGGATATTGGATATTGGATATGACCTTGTGACCTTTGGCTCGTATTAGAAAAAAATTATGAATGCTAATCTGAGCACATTAGTAACTCAGTTTGTGCAAGGTATTAAGTCGCGTAACGAGGAGGACCGATTGAAAACGGTAACTGAGTTGTGTAAAGTCGTTAGCAGCGAGCTGAAAGAAGTCTCAAATAAAAACTATGTTATATGTCTGGATATTTTATGTAACGAATTTATCAACATATTTTCGAGCGGCGATGTACATGAAAAAAAGGGAGCTGTTATTGCCATGGGTATGTGTATTGCTATCGAATGTGAATAAATCCTTATATTTGAGCTTTCAAAATGAATAGAAATGTCTTATCCTGTAAATACATGTTTAACGGCGAAAATTAGATTTATATTCAGATAATAAAGGAATATAGGCTCTTTTGGTCTGTGTTGATCCCTGAAATATATTTATGCAGAAATACAAATTATTTTCAGAAGCGTTCGCCAGTTGAGCTGTCACTAATTGCCCGGGTAAGTATTCCCAACCAGCTCCTCTGGAATTCGATTTCCAGTCGTTGACCGCTCCACATGAGAATCTAAATTCCACTCGTACTTTATTCGTCCGTGATGAGACTAATTTAGTTCCTACCCTTTCTTCTCCTTACAAGATCCGTACCTCTTTCTCGAAGTATGAACTGACTGCTTCTATACGGTATTCTATATATATATATATATATATATATATATATATATATATATATATATATATATATATACAATACACAGTGTATTAAACAGTATATATATATATATATATATATATATATATATAAATACAAACTTCAAAACGTTTGAAAGCCCTTTAGGGTACCCGTAGCATTTGAAAAATCTTAACTGCAACTACATCACAATATCCAGTTGTTCTCAAGTCATAGCTGACAAGAACTCAAGTGATTTTGTCTCAATATCGGGCAGTTGTCTCCCAGGGAGTACTGCGTGTAAGACTTCTAACCTAAGTGCATTACCTCGGTTCTGTGAATAACCTCGATTGTTGTAGTATCTGTATTAAAGTGAATGTCGCAACTTGCTGTCTTACAAGCGCCGTGCACTTCTGAGACCTCTGATCTAATTTCTTTGTCGTCCCGGATGTATAGAACAGCATCATTAACTTTCTGATTAACTAACGTCTACCCTAGTGCGCATGTGCCTCTGTATGAGTGCAGTGAGTTCCACACCCATTAGCAACATTGTTCCAGTAACTGCAATAATATCATGCTGTAGTCTTTCAGGTTTTAATCCTTAGACTACTCGCGTCCGTATAGCGCTGATACACCTCCGCATTCATTCGATTTAGGAATAGTGGTCTTGGCAACGTAGGTTTCCAAGACTCACCACCCGAAGACCTAGTATCCTAAGGTCCTTTTCCCTTTGTTTTTAATCCACCTTACTTCATATAGTAATAATGACCTTACTTTTGTCCACCTATACTTTTACTCTAGGATTCTGCTAGTCGTGACTAACAGCAGTTTGGGGATAAAACTTTGTAATATTTGATCTGGAACATGTTGAAAATGTGTTAATTTTAATATCGTTAGCTGATAAACTAGTTTTTGTTGCTTTCAAGCTAAAACGATTCAGACGTGCAATTTCACAAAGGCTACATTTCATTAAGGAAGGCACCCTCACCGTGTAATTGATTATTCTTTTTGAGTATTTCGGTTGGTTGGCTCTTCAAAAGTAACCTTATCGTGGGAGTCCTGCGAATAATAACCAGTCTTGACCAACATTACCTCGCCCAGGCAGCTAATATATGTTCTGTAGGGAAATAAGTCTACTTGACACATGGTTTTTACGAAGACTGGAGATAATTCCGGGCTACGAACGAGTGCAAAATCGGTATCTAGTTTACATCGGCTCTTAATGTAAGTGTATAGTGCGGGATTCACGCAGGACTGAAGCATGAATTATCGCATTGAAGTTCCTATTTGTTTAAATATCTGTGCGGTATTATGGCGTACAATGATTCTAATATAAAGTCCAATCTAGGTTTGGACTTATTTCCATACTTTTACAAATAATCAATTGTCCTGGATGCTGAATTTTATATTCATTCAGTTTATTGTCATTACACTCTTTATTTTGAATTGTGTAGTGAAATATCTTGCTGCTATCATATTTGTTTTTGTTTTGTTCAGCTGTCGTTGGGTGTATAGGATCTTACCTCTTTTTTTGTCTGTAAGTAGTCTGACTGACTCACTGACTGGTTTCAACATACAACTTTGCACTGATGTGCAGCAATTCGAGTCGCCACACTTCACTCAACACAGAAAGCCAGAGAAGAAGAAGAAAGTAAAAAGAAACTCAAAACATAGATAGTAAAGAGGGATGTTAGGCAAAAGGAATAGTACTATCGAAGAACAATATAGTTTGATTGGAAAATACAAGTCTCAAGGAGTGGATGCATCTGCGCCAGCCATCATTGAAAACGAGGATTTTGAGTCATATCACCAATTATCTCCAGCCTTCATTGGTGTTCACCATCCCGATGACCCCAACCGGTCAGGAAGTCTACATCTTCCTACGTGACTGGCGCAGATGCATCCACTCCTTGTGACTTATGATTTCCAATGAAAATGTTTTGTTCTTCGTTATTACTCCTCCTTTGTCTCAGACCTCTGTTTACTGTCTCTTTTATGCTTTTCTTGTACTTTCTTCTCTTGCTTCGTGTGCTACATGGAGTGTGGTGACTTGAACTGCCGCACATTTGTGCAAAGTTCTATGTCGAAGACAGACAGACGTGACTGGCTTAAACTAACTGTTGTGGATTTCATTGACTGATGAGGCCATGTTTTGGTTTGACCACCACTGGCTCTTTTCCAACCTAGCCCTATATCAGCTAACATTAGCCATCAAGGGAGGCAATGGTTAGGCATGTGTAACACATTTCCTAACCACCTCAATCGATGTAAGTTCACAGCCTTGTGTATTGATTTCTCCTCTTTGCCTAGCACTGGACCACCGATGCCTAACCTCAATATTTCTCACCCTATTATGCCACTTCACACGGAAGATAGAACGTAGAAACCTATGATCAAGGACAGCTAGCCGACCTTTTCCTGTCTTCCACTCTCATTGGGTTGTGAAAGTAATTTCCTTCAATTTCATCGAAATTTACCCATTATATTATAATAAAAGCATACACTATATAAAGAACCTTAGCAGTGGTTTCTGATTTTTTAATTTTACTCAATATTCTTCAACATAAAACCCTCTGTTGTTTTCTCCTTTTTTTCATTCTTTTCTTGTAAAGGTTGTTTGGCTGAAGTGGACTTTATGAGTGTTCATAACCATTGTCAGCGTTTTGTTAAACTACTGCTCACCCAGTCAATTACTAATGATCTTCAATTAACAGCATTGGAGGCCAGACTTATTGGTCAGTTAGGCTTAGTCTTTCCATACGATTTCATTGAAGAACAAATTGAGTATGCCTGTGATATATTGTCAAAAGATAGCTGTGATGCATTAAAACACTTTGCAGTATGTTCTATTAATTTTATTTTTTATGTTTTTGTTCAAATATTTTCGCTGTGTCACTTATCATCGTGAAGACTACCCTGTCTGTCAAGAGTTTAGAAGAACACATTTCAGCGAAAAATATTGTACTTTCAATTAGATCTCATCAGGCTTAATTCTAATATACCTACATAAGTTTACAAATAAAAATTCAAATATAAACCAATCATGGTGGTTTGTCTATAGGATAATAAAATGGTGAATATAATTTGTGCTATTATTCATAATAGTAGTAATGTTAACAATAATAATAATGGTTCTATCAATAATAAGGATGAAAAAGTGAGGCAATCTGCGATAACTCGAATAATGAAAAAAGCAGCATGATTAAACAAACAAATGTTCAGGTAGACGTGGTAGTCGATAAAGGCTAGTAAAAAAAATGAAGCGATTAAGTAATGCTAGATTATAAGGGAAGTAAATGAAACACGTTTTTAATGATGTTATAAGATTAAGGGATGATAAGAAAGGGGTTGAAAAATATAAACAAGGGGTGGCATAGAAGTCTTTAGTTGGTTATGTCTAAATAGGCGAAGGGAGGGATAATGGCTACGCGAACTTCTTTTGAATGCCTGTCTCAGCTGTGTTCAGTAGACGAATACAAAGTCTATTGGAAAGATTCGGTGGGATATGATGAATTACTCTGAAAGCTTTCGTTTTCTCCACTACATGTTCACTATGAATTACATGTGACAAAATTGAGCAATGGATTGTTTTTATCTGTCCTTTGCCAAACCACGGTGATGGGAGACACGTTGGCTAAGCTCTCTAATAGTAGTGTGCCCAACATAACTGTCACCGCAGGTGCAGTTGATTTGTTAAATGCACATAGATGTGCCAAAAATATCTAGCTATCTATCCTTCGTTTTCGTCCCAATCATTCGTCGGCTAGAGAATGACAAACATAGGTATGCTGCGTAAAATGTTCTTTGTATACTCCTGGAAAGTCTCTGGAGTAAAATCTCACTTGATAAGTCACCATTAAATTATAACTTAATAAATAGAGGCTTTTTACGTGCAGTCAGAGTCTCAGGTTTCCCCTCTGATGTTTTCATATGTTTTTTTTATGAAACTAATCGGATAGCCCATCTCCATTATTATTATTATTATTATTATTATTATTATTATTATTATTATTATTATTACGACTAATTGCACAATTTACATTCATCATCTTATTGTGCTATAGACAAAACACCATGATTGGTTTATATTTGAATTTTATTTGTAAACTTATGTAGGTATATTAGAGTTAAACCTGATGAGATCTAACTGAAAGCACAATATTGTTCGCTGAAATGTGTTCTTCTTAATTTTACTATGGGACTATTTTAATATACTGAAATCAAGAGTTGTTTCCCCCACTTTATGATGAAACCTAACACAATACACGTTTCAATTTACTCACTGACTAACCTGCCGAGTTTCGACATAGAACTTTTCACGAAAGTGCGGCAGCTCACATTGCCACACTTCATGTAGCACATTTGAAATTTCTTAGAGTTCCTTACCAATTTGGAAACAAATGACAAATCTCAAAATATGGATGATATTCGTTACACAGTACAAAAGGGAACATTCTGAAACTTGTTTTTTAATTGTTTCGCTTACTATATTATTATTACCATTAGTTAGTATATAGTTCCACCAAGTAGCGTGTTCAGATCTTTGCACAAGATGTAATAAAGACTGCATAAGCTTATCAGAGGTTAATTGGTGGATGGTGACTAGCAGTAGAATCCAGGATGCGCATTTCTTCAGGTTTGGGACCCGTCAGTTGAATGTACCTGCATTCCCCAGTGAGTGATGATGTTCCCACCGAGGCTCCCAACCCCAGTGTCCATAGTTGAATTAAATAATTAATATGACTCGTTACACAAGAGGTGGCTCTCGTGAATAACGCTTTAGAGTTTGAAACTATGGGCACTAGGTTCGAGTCTTGTTGGAAACATCACTCACTACGGAATGCAGGTACTTCCAGCTGACGAGCCCCAGATACACATCCTAGATTCCATTGCTAGTCACCGTCCACCAATAAATTTCTAATTACTTGCCCAGACATCTTCGAAGCATTGGCGCAAGAAGCAGAAAAGTCAACCTAAGACCGAGCACTTCAGTCTAATTGATCGATGGGAAAATTTAAAATTGAATTGAAGGACTATATTATGTTAGAATCTTCACTTAAAATGGTCTGTGGCGTCTGCATATTCTTGATTGAATATTTCTTTTCTGACTAACAAGTCAGTCCATGAAAGGTAAAAGCCGAAAAAATTTACTACTGTTCGTGAGTTTACAAAAGAATTAGATAAGAAATATGACTAGTTAGTTATTCCTGGTCAATTGCACTAACTGACGTTACTTCTGTAAACTCTTACACATACGTAGCTGAGAATCTCAAATCAGAGATTATTGCAACCAAAAAGAACAAAATCAAGTAACTAGGTCGAGAAGGTTGGGACTCAACTACCCGGAAAAGATTTCTTTTGAACCACTGTATACGTTACACATTGTAAGGACTGGTGTCGTTACTCCTCAGATGGCAAGACTGAAATTGGGCACTGCAGTATTCGAAACCAGGCTCTTCTAACTGACAGTGAATGACTTAAGCCCCCAATGAACTACTTTTTTTCTTGTAAAGACATGCTAAACCCCCTTTGAAGCAAATAAGAAGTAACACTAACCAGTTTATTATCATAGATAATGTTAATAATAGTAATGACATTGACAGAAACTTTAAAGCATAGAATAGTGTTCACAAAGCAGTTATATCTTCTATTTCCTTTAAATTAATATTTTATTTCTAGATATTAACCTTGAGAGAACTTATTCTAAACACTCCAACAAGTTTTTGTCAACATATGGGTTCATTTATCTCAGCCATCCTGTCGGCTCTTCGGGATAAAAATGTGAGTTTTTGTTTTCTTTTAACTGTTTACCACAAAACTTTCATGTCTTTTTTAATTATATCTATTTGAATGTTCTCTGCCTGTATTTTTTTTTTTTTGGTTTTGCGAATTATATTTCCCTCATAACATAATATGTGCTACTGATATGCGTAAGTTAGTAGTGATTAAGTTTAAAACTTGAAGTTACTTGGACTTACAATTATACCTGGTGTGAGTTGATCCCTTCACATGACCTCCTGCGTGTCACCCTCGCACTGACGACCAACCAACTCGTCGCTTCCCATTCGGTTGGGTTCCATTTGAGCAATGGTCTAGCGTTTGATGTCACTTACTTAATGGTTTGTTTTCTCAGAGTATGGCCTCCAATCCACCTCCATATCTTCCTACACATTTGTTGCACAATTGGTTCCTGCTGGGTTGGTTTGCTCATTACCTGTCTGTTTTCGACATAGAACTTTGCACAAATGTGCGGAAGTTCAAGTCGCCACACTCCGTGTAGCACGCGAAGCAAGAGAAGAAAGTACAAGAAAAGCATAATAGAAACAGTGAGCAGAGGTGTGAGACAAAGGAGTAATAACGAAGAACAAAACAGGTTCATTGGAGATCATAAGTCACAAGGAGTGGATGCATCTGCGCCACTGAGAACGATTTTGAGCCATGTCACCAATTGTTTCCAACCATAGATTTTTACCGTCCCGAGGACCCCAGCCTGGAAGTCTACACCTTCCTACGTGGCTTAGACCAACTGTTGTGGATTTCATTGACTGGTGCCAAGTTTTTGTTTGACCGCTCATTACCAGAGATCCCTGTTGCTGAGCTTTTCTAGCGGGCCATCTGATCTTGAGTAGTATTAAGCGAAGACATCTGTTGATGAAGGTGTGTAGTTTGTTCGAAGTGTCCTTCGTGACGCCGCATGGCGCCAAGTCTCTGATCCGTATAGTTAGTAGCACTGACTTCACATTGGAGTTGAAAATCCACATCTTGTTTTTCATGCTGAGTAGTGTGCTGTTGACCTCCACACAGACTTGGGAGAAGTGAAATCAATCTACTGAAGTGTTGGGAAACTGACCACCAGTCTGTATTATAGCTCAAGGCAAAGATAAAATATGACTTATCTTTAAGGAAAACCAAATAAAAATATATTTAAGTGTTGGTTTGTAGGGATTTAATTTTTTTTTACAAGATTTCATAATGAGCTGACATTAGCTAGAGAACCATTGGAAAACCTGCCAGGGAGTACTAAACAGCTGATTCGTCCTATTTTGGGACTCTTCATCAGTGCTCACCCACTGCACCAGGTTTCGAACCCGGGACCTTCTGGTTACAAGGCTAGCGAGCTCGTATACCACTAAGCCACTGGGACCCGATCCAGTGGCTAGCCAGTCCATGAATTCTAACATCTGCCAATTCACGACATACTGCGACCCCAAGCCAATGTCTTCGGCGAGTATTTGTCCTCACACCCAACCTGCTGCACCCTACTGGTCATGACTTCTCACTAGAATATTTTGATAATCTTTGTAAATATTCACTTTATAGATTTATTCAGTTTTGAAATTTATTTGTACAATTTTTTTTAATATTTTTATAGTCAATTACACGAGAGTTGGCCAGCACTGCATTACGTTGTGCATTCATTTTAACTGCTAAACGTGAACAACGACGTTACAGAACCTCTCTAGGCATAGATTATAATCGTATGGGTGAATCACCGGGAAGTTTTACAAATCTTGAGAATGTTGGGGGTGTTGGCGGTGGCGTCAGTGGAGGAGTAGTCGGCAGTTCTGGTACATCATCTGTTTTCAATCTTGGCAGTGGAAGTACAGTACGTCATAAAACCAGTCAAAGTTATACGAATAATCCTGTAAATTTTCATAATTTTGATCATTATGCAATCAATGATACAAGTTCAACTTCATCGCCATTTATTTGGTATCGTGATTGTTTGATTGAAGCTTTACGTACACAGAATGAAGCGATTACATTAATGCAACAAGAACAATCAAGTCATGTAAGCTTTTCGTTTGATTAATTTGTTCATAGCCATGTGTGTAAGTGTAATTAGTGTTACAAAATGCATAAACTAAGTAATTTTCTATCGTTTGGTTTATGTAAGGTTTAGTTTTGTTTTTATGAGTTTGACCACGGATTGATATCAGTTAGAGAACCATTGGAAACCAGCCACAGGAAGTACTGGACAGCCAGCTGTTTCATCCTAGTTTAGGAATCATCGCCAGTATGCATCCACCGCAAGGGGGTTCGAAACCAGTACCTTCCGGTTACAAGCAAGCAAGCAAGCTCGTATACCATTCAGCCACTGGGACCTGATTCTGTGGCCAGCCTATGAATTCTAACTTCTACCAATTCGTGAAGGTCCAGGGTTCGAACCCCTTGTGATGGCTGCGTACTGCTGATGATTCCTGATAGGATCCCACATATTTTGGTATTGACTGTTTAAACTTGCATATATGGTATGTTATCATTCTCACGCATTTTGGTATTGACTGCTAATTTTGTATATTATCATTCTCACGCATTTTGGTAGTGACTGCTAATTTTGTATATATGGTATATTACCATCCCCACACATTTTGTTACTGACTGTCAATGTCGCACATATGGCATATTATCATTTCTCACACACTTTGTTATTGGCTATTAAGGTCAATTATTTCAAATGCTGTTAGCTGTCCATATTGTTGTAAAATGTATAAATACCATGGCTTTCTTTATCGTTGTTGCACCTCAATACACAGTCACAGTCCAGCCTTTGTCTTTTGATATTTGCGTGCTTTACCAATTCGGAAGGTACGACGAGCAGATAGACAAATTAGTTCAGGCGCAGACAGAATAAGGTGAAAACATCATCATTCAATTCCCCACAGTTATAACAAATTGGCGACGGGGTTTACTTTAATTCATTGCAGTTATAACAATTGGCGACGGGGTTTACCTTAATTCAGTGCAGCTATAACAAGTGGCGACGGGATTTACTTTAATTCATCGCAGTTATAGCACGCAACGACGACAGTTTTTATTCTGTTCAGCGCAACTATATAACATATAAGTTCAGGCGCAGACAGAGCAAGATATAACAAATTGGCGACGAGGTTTACCTTAATTCATTGCAGTTATAGCACGCAACGACGACAGTTTTTATTCTGTTCAGCGCAACTATATAACATTTTTGACTGTGTTAATTACAACCCAATTATAATGTCTATCTCTCTGGACGATCTTCCGGTGACTGCAGTTGAGGTTGCCAGACACACACTGCGTGATCCAGTTTTACAGCAAGTATCAAAGTTCATCCGATTTGGCTGGCCTCCACATGTTCATTCAAATGTTTTAAAACAGTTTTACCAGCGACGCCAATCCCTATCCATCGTTAATGGATGCATAATGTTTGCTGATCGTGTTGTCGTTCCAGCTAATCTTCGTGACCATGTGCTTCGGCAGCTTCATATATCACATCCTGGTGTTGGGAGAATGAAGGCGATCGCTCGCAGTTATGTTTACTGGCCCAACATCGATGACCATATCGAAGACCTCGTTCGCAAGTGTAGTAAATGTGCTCAAGCATCAAAGTGCCCACGCAAGACAGAACTATGTTCCTGGCCACGACCGGACAAACCATGGTCCCGTGTTCATGTTGACTTCGCTGGACCGTTCAATAGTATGCATTTCTTAATATGTGTCGACGCGTTTTCCAAATGGCCAGAGATATTTCCTATGCATTCTGCCACATCAATTGCAACAGTGTCCCACCTACGTCAACTATTACTGAACGTTTCGTCGACACCTTTAAGCGTGCTTATGCAAAAGCGAAGGGGGAGGGAACAACAGAAAAAATTTTGGATAAATTCTTGCTGCATTATCGTACGAATGAAAAAGGACAGTTATGTGGCAGACACACAGATCACGCTCTATCCAGTACCACGCAAAGGTCAACTCGACAAAGAAGAGCTCCGAAACCTTTTCAAATAGATCCAAAAAGCAAGTCCTACACTCTTTACGGGGGGAGGTGATAGGATCCCACATATTTTGGTATTGACTGTTTAAACTTGCATATATGGTATGTTATCATTCTCACGCATTTTGGTATTGACTGCTAATTTTGTATATTATCATTCTCACGCATTTTGGTAGTGACTGCTAATTTTGTATATTATCATTCTCACGCATTTTGGTAGTGACTGCTAATTTTGTATATATGGTATATTACCATTCCCACACATTTTGTTACTGACTGTCAATGTCGCACATATGGCATATTATCATTTCTCACACACTTTGTTATTGGCTATTAAGGTCAATTATTTCAAATGCTGTTAGCTGTCCATATTGTTGTAAAATGTATAAATACCATGGCTTTCTTTATCGTTGTTGCACCTCAATACACAGTCACAGTCCAGCCTTTGTCTTTTGATATTTGCGTGCTTTACCAAGTCGGAAGGTACGACGAGCAGATAGACAGATTAGTTCAGGCGCAGACAGAATAAGGTGAAAACGTCTTCATTCAATACCCCACAGATATAACAAATTGGCGACGGGGTTTACCTTAATTCAGTGCAGTTATAACAAATTGGCGACGGGGTTTACTTTAATTCATTGCAGTTATAACAATTCCCAAACTAGGATGAAAAAGCTGTCCAGTAGTCCAGTTCTGGTTTTCAGTGGTTCTCTAACTGATATTAATCTGTGGTCAACTCGTAAAAATAAACTAAGTAAGCCTTAATAAATCCTTTTTATCTTTGATTCGTTTCACACTTTTTAGGATTAACATTAGGGATAACATCAGCGAGATAGATATCAACACACAGCACCTTAGGAATACGGTGAAATGAAGAGCATTTCCTGATGTCTTCAAAACCGCACTCCTACCTTGTGTTCATAAGTGAAAAAGATTAAAACTGTCGAATTTCGCCTCTTCTATGTGTATCTACCAATTTCACTGCTCCTGTAGAGTGAGCCAGTTACTTCCATAGGCCGTACAATTAGGCGTGTTTATGATATGTATCCATATACATATATGTATATATGCGTGCGTGTATGGTGATCTCTCTTTCTGTTTGCTCGCTTAGTCTGTGACCATTTCACTTGTATGAACCTGTCTCCTTTAACAATGTATATTCCCATTATATTATATATAATATGAGTGTTTGTTGACAGTCCGTTGCTTGGTGACATATATCCATATATGGTGGTTGTTGACATGTCTGCTATATTTCGCTATGTATATATGGATCGATACTTCATTATAATTAGCCATTCATGTTAAGACTGTCTAATGATTGTTCACACCCTTGTCTGAACATTCATATATACTTCGCTCTCACAATCTTGTGTGACTTACTTATCTTTGGTGTGATACCACTTTTGCATTCTCCTTGTGTGTTGGAAAATAGAAGTATCATCGCAAACCTAGTGGTCTTCTGATTCCCATCTTTCTTGCGTCAGGACTATTAAATTCTCGACCAGTCCATAACAATAATTTAGCGACGAGTACATAACAATTTGGCGACGGGGAAAACTACTATTAACCACTCAGCAGCAGCAACATAACAGTTTATCATCGCATTTACGAAAAAAGTCCACTGCTAGTTCTACACTGTCTCATCTCGAAAATACATATCATAAGATTGGTGTTAACGAGGCAGCTTTCAAAGTCATCTACCGCATACCAACCAACCAACTAACCTTTACTCTAATAGTTCGTCTACTACATATTACTGGGACCGTTTGGATCCAGATTAAGGAACCTAACTTGTGTGTATGTATGTTGCTTCAGGCACTAACCATCCTTATTACCCCGCTAACTGGCCATCAAGATTTTAATGATCTTCAATTTATTGTAGAGATTTTCTTGATTTTATTTTATATTCTATTTGCTAATACATTTTTATGCTTATTATTATTATAACTAATGCATCTTCAGTGAACTTTAATTCCATTGATCTTAACAAATTACAAGTTTACTATATTCGTAACAACTCATCCGTATTATGAAGAAAATAAAAGACAAATTCAACGAAGAAAATGCTTCTTTATCGACGAAATCATCTTCACAGACTGGCTGTACAGTCCTATTTATATTTACCAAAAAACTGTATAGTTGTCTATTATTAAGTAATAAGGGGAGGGGGGAGAAGGTGACATAATTGATATAATTACTCGGAAGTGGCTTTAGAAGTGAAAAATTCAAAGCTGTAAATTACGTGGTACTCAACGGCTCAAAGATACAAATTTAATGATAAGGTTAAAATTGCTATTGAGTAGTTAGAAGAAAGGTGCCATTTGAGTGTCAATTTAACAAGTGTCAAGAGGGCGTGAAAATGTACAACCGGGAACATATGAGAGTGATAATAGTGAATTAACTATTAAAGCAAAAGCAAACTAAAAGTAAAATAAAAAATTGGAAAAGGAAAAATCAAATTTTTTTTATAAGGAACCACTAGTGAAGAGGTTAAGACCACAGTAGAATAAGAGAGACTGGACAAACTTTCTTCTGTATACACAGTTCAGGGTTGTATTGACGAATTGCCAGCGCCTACGCCATACACAAAAGCCGAAACCTGACGCCCTTTACACCATTTTGCCTCACCTTGTAGATGATGTTGGAAGACGACTTTGGTGGAGTTGCGTGACTTGAGTTCACTAAGTGCTCGAGAATTGAATTAGTAATTGTTTTGCATTGTCCTTTTGCTAACCATGCCGGATAATGTTCAGAGATGCGTTTGGAAAATGTGGCAATTCGTCAATGCAACCCCGAACTGTGTGTACAGAAGAAAGTTTTTCCAGTCTCTCTTATTCTACTGTGGTCTTAACCTCTTCACTAGTGGTTCCTTGTAAAAAAAATTTGATTTTTCCTTTTCCAATTTTTTATTTTACTTTTAGTTTGCTTTTGCTTGAATAATTCATTCACTATTATCACTCTCATATGTTCCCGGTTGTACATTTTCACGCCCTCTTGACACTTGTTAAATTGACACTCAAATGGCACCTTTCTTCTAACTACTCAATAGCAATTTTAACCTTATCATCAAATTTGTATCTTTGAGCCGTTGAGTACCACGTAATTTACAGCTTTGAATTTTTCACTTCTAAAGCCACTTCCGAGTAATTATATCAATAATGTCACCCCCCCCTCTGTTATGTACTCGTCGCCAAATTATTGCTATGTACTGGTCGAGAATTTAATAGTCCTGACGCAAGAAAGACGGGAATCAGAAGACCACTAGGTTTGCGATGATACTTCTATTTTCCAAACACAAGGAGAATCAAATGTCACACAAGTATGTGAGAGCAAAATATATATGAATGTCCGAACAAGTGAGTGAACAAATCAATAGACAGTCTTAACATGATTGGCTAATTATAATGGAGTATCGATCCATATATACATAGCAAAATATAACAGACTGTCAACAAACACACATTATATATACTATAAGGGGAATATACATTGTTAAAGGAGACAGGTTCATCAAATTGAAATGGTCACAGACTAAGAGAGCAACAGAAAGAGAGACCACCATATATATATATATATATATATATATATATGGATACATATCACCCTCCTCGTATTACTCAATAATAGACCACTATACAGTTTTTTGGTAAATATGAATAGGACTGTACAGCCAGCTTGTGAAGACGGTTTCGTCGATAAGGGGATATTTTCTTCGTTGAATTTGTCTTTTATTTCCATCCGTATTACTCCCTCGCTTGCTCGTTCACTCACTTTTGTTCTTTTTTATTTAAGTAGATAAATATATTATGAAATTAGTATTATTACTATTAATTTTAAGAGGAAATTTTTAAAAATTTATTTCACTTTCTATATATTTCATAGATTTCTAGTCTAAAGAAATTAAATCGTGACGATTGGACACATGGTAATCTACTGTTACTGCAAGAATTACTTGTCTGTGTACAACCACAATATGGCAAACTGTTAATGGAGTTGGATCAAATGTGTGGATTAGTAAGAAAATTATCTTAGCTTATCTCATCTTATCTTATCCATGTTTAATTTATTTCTATGTAGCACCTTTTTATGTGTAGAGCATTCTAAATTATGCTTTCTGTTGATGATAAAGGTTTTTTTCACACTGTTTGTGAAATCGATCTGATAAAAGAAAAGAAAAAAAGCGGTAATCAATCCTCCTTATCGGCCTTTTGGGCTGATTGTGTTATTTGTATAATGTAGGAGATTTAAAGCTTAGCTAGGAGGATGATATGAACTGGATTATGCGTCAGACAGTGAGTGGGAAACGAGAAGACAGGGATATCCTGGACCGACCGACGTGAAGAACCTAGAAGACCTGGATTTCGCACGGCGATGATTTATGTTTGATGTCACTGTCACAAAATCGGAGACTTATAAGCGAGAACCGACCGACAAACTGGTCGAAGAAGCAGCCAGCAAAGACAGGATCCAGGTGAACATAGACAAGACGGAGGTTATGAAAACAACCAACCAACCACCACCACCAACAACAACAACAGCAGCAGCAACATCCAGAGCCAATCACCATCAACGGGAGGGATTTGAAAGAGGTTACTTCATTCACTCACTTATATAGGGAGCATTGTCTCAACTACAGGCAGTCGGAACAGACGAGGATGTCAAATCGAGCGAGAATCGGGAAGGCGAGAAACTCATTCATCATATAGACTGAAACCAATCTGGAAATCTTCGTCACTCAACTCAGCATCAACAACAAAATCCAGTTGGATTTTCATTACAAACAACATCAAGTCATTCAGTTCTTCTATACGGATCAGAAACTTGGCGGGGGGGGGTCACAAAGAATATTTCCAACAGCCTGTTGCTGACCTTTATCAACCAACAACTGTCTTCGCTCTATATTGAAGATCAATCAGATGGCCGGGCCGGAAACAATCACCAACGAGAAAGTATGGGAACAAACAAAACAAGAACGAATCGCCAACCAACAGCAAATATGCAGGAGAAAGTGGAGATGGATTGGACACTCGCTGAGGAGGCCTCTGGGTGACATCGCGCGCGTGTCAGGCCATCGCTCGAGTGGAACCTGACAGAATGGGAAGCGGTGGGCGGCTCTTCGGTGCAAGGGTGACATGGAAGATATCGTGTGAAGAGGAGTTGAAACAATATGGAATAACATGGATGCAGATGAAAAGTACAGCAGACGACAGAAGCAAGTGGAGACGTGTAGTTGAAGCCCTATGTTCCACTAGGAACCCAAGGGAACAATAATAATATAATATAACATAACAATATACACTGAATATCAGACAGACAAATTAGGAAAGATAATAATACAAATTTATGAATTTATAGTCACCACTGAAGAAGGCCAAGGCAGTAGTAGTGGAAGCTATTTTGAAATAATTCATTCTTGAATCATTTATGCAGCCATTCGACACTAACTACAGTAGGTCATGGGTTCGGTTCTTAGGAGATCCACTGCATTATGAGCGAACAATGGCTCTCTTTCATCAAAGATGTGTGATTCGTCGCAAAATGCACAGACATTCATACTGTTTGTTATACACAAAGCTTTGGTACTTTAACTTTTCTGCATATAATTGTGGCTTTTGGTATTTTAGTTGTTGTTACTACTGTAACGGTAGAAAGACAAGAGACTTGGTAAAGGAATGTTTATTTGGGATTTAGTATCTCTCTCTCTCTCTCTCTCTTATATATATATATATATATATATATATATATATATATATATATATATATAGTTTCGCATGTGCCAGTTTACGCCGTCTCTGGCATAGACGTGATATCCGCCTCGCCATCGACCAAAGTGTGGGTGTACTGCTCAACAGTCCGCTCCGTCCTCCTTTATGGCTAGATGTGAGACCTGGCCATTGCGAGTGGAAGACATGAAAAGATTAGCTGTCTTTGATCGTAGGTGCCTGCGTTCTATCTCTCGTGTGAAGTGGTATAATAAGGTGAGCAATATTGAGGTTAGCCATCGGTGGTCGAGTGCTAGGTAAGCAGGGGAAGTTACATCGATTGAGATGGTTTGGACGTGTGCTACGCATGCCTAGCCACCCATCGCCTTCCTCGACCGAAGGACAATGTTAGCTGATATAGGGTCTGGCTGGAAAAGAGCTAGCGGCGGTTAAACCTAAACATGGCACCAGTCAGTGAAATCCATAACAGTTAGTTTAAGCTAGTCACGTAGGAAGGTGTACACTTCCTAATTGAGGTCTTCGGGACGGTAAAAACCAATGGCGGCTTGAAACAATTGGTGATATGGCTCAAACTCATCTTTCTCAATGGGTGGCGCAGATGCATCTACTCCCTGTGACCTATGATTTCCAATGAAACTGTTTTGTTCTTCGTTATTGCTATTCCTTTGTCTCACATCTCTGTTTACTGTCTCTATTATGCATTTCTTCTAGTTTCTTCTCTTGCTTTGTGTGCTACAAGGAGGAGGAGTGTGGCGACTTGAACTGGTACACATCGGTGGAAGGTTCTAAGTCGAAAACAGACAGACACCACTTATCTTCAAATCACCAGTTTTACAAATCTTCCTTTTTGTGTTACTTCTGCCCACCCCCCCTCCACCTTCATATTGTGTGTTTCTTTGTGTTCCTTTCACGTCTCCCCTGTATCTCGCTGCAACGCTGCTGTATCATTTGCTTTCTCCGACTGACATCAAATCTATCTCCCTGCTATTTGCTGTTTTTTTTCTTCTGCCGATGCATGCTTCTTTATATACTACTGATAAATTGTATCAGTAGTACACATCACACTAATTACCATTATGTACAGCTAAAGCCTGATTTTATTTATTTATATATATTGATTTATTCCCTTAAACTAGCCATTATTTGAATTTCTTACAATCAATCAAAGTGAAGCCAATCAAGCCTTACGTACTGTGTTAACTGTTCGTTGGCCTATTGCAAATGCATCATCTATTCTAGTGGCGATTGGTGTTTTACCTGGTAGTCCATTTTATGCCTCAGATTCAGAACAGCTACCAAATATAGCACTTGAACTACTTGGTTTACGTGATGGTCTAAAACAGGAACAACAGCAACATCATCATCAACAACAACAACAGTACCAGGCCCAGTACCATCAACACCAGCACCAGAATCACCACCATCATCATCATCATCAACAACAACAGCAGTATGGTTGGCAACATTTTAGTAATTTTTCATCAGAAATTTGTCGTCTTCTTCTACTAGAAAATATCGATAAGGTATGTGATTTTGTCTTGTTTTTTTCAATTCCTCTGTCATTATTTATAATGTTAGTAGATAACTGGAGGTGATTAACAATAATTTCTGGATGGAGGTTTTGTCCTCATTGTCACTCATCAGCAAGGCGTAATCTGATATTACGGTGTTATTGCACATGGGTAGTTGCGTTAACGAATTTCTGAGCTAGTAGATTCACCAGCCTATTGTTTTAATTACACTGTTAGCAATAACAATTACAGAAACAACACGAAACACTACCACTGGGAAATGAAATCCACAACAGTTGGTCTAAGCCACGTAGGAAGGTGGAGACTTCCAGGCTGGGGTCCTCGGGACGGTAAAAATCTATGGTTGGAAACAATTGGTGACATGGCTCAAACTCATCGTTCTCAGTGGCGGGCGCAGATGCATCCATTCCTTGTGACTTATGATCTCCAATGAAACTGTTTTGTTCTTCGTTACTACTCCTCCTTTGTCTCATGCCTCTGCTCACTGTTTCTATTATGCTTTTCTTGTACTTTCTTCTCTTGCTTTGTGTGCTACAAGGAGGAGGAGTGTGGCGACTTGAACTGGTTCACATTTGTGCAAAGTTCTATGTCGAAAACAGACAGAGACAGAGTGGGAAATGTGACACCACGAAAAGGCAAGAAAAGAAGGCAGACTGTAGATGTAGGGAGCTTTTACTGTCTCCTATGAACAGTGGAAATTCTCACTATTCTGCCTATGTTTATTGTTTCTGTTCATTATAGTTCCTTAGAATATTTTTTTTTCTACCTTTGTGTGGAAACTTGATTTGGTGCATCTCTCTCAGTACTACAGAGGTCTGCGATCAGTCTCAATTAGTTAGATAGAGTTACACAAAATCTATTCTTACTAAATGTCTTCTGACTTATAACAGTATCGACTGTGATTTTCTTACCACTGTTTAGTTATTTATTTGTTTTATTTTATTTTTTATCTTCTTCAGATTTGGGTTTCAATATTGTCGTCGATGAATTCACGTAATCATCAAATTATGTTCCTACTGTACAAATTAATTCCTCGTTTAATTGCACTGAAACCGAGTGAATTTCTAGACTCTGAGTAAGTTTATACGTCTGTATGTATGGGTGTGTGTGTGTGTGTATATATGTTTGTATATTCACTTTGTCGTACAAAAGAATCCAGAAAGATTGAGAGCGAGAGAAGAAATATTTACTTTTCAATTAGATTCTCATTTCACTCCTCTGGCTCTACTCTATAATACATGTCCATATAGCATTTTTATTACAATACACAACAGTTTACCAATCATCAAGTGGCACTGATATGCTTGTTAACAATAATTAGTCAGTCAGTGTCAACATGTCAAGGCTCTGGTGATAATTAACAAAGAAATGGTTAGAATAAACTAATTTTACAAGGATAACACGTAAATTAAAGATGAAGTGGTCAGAAAAAATAATAAATAAAACAATTTGGAAAATTATAATTTTTAAAGATTTAAGGGGAGGGGTGGGGGCGAAGTAGTCTGTCTGTCTGTTTTCGACATAGAACTTTGCACAAATGTGCACCAGTTCAAGTCGCCACATTCCGTGTAGCACGCGAAGCAAGAGAAGAAAGTAAAAGAAAAGCATAATAGAAACAGTGAGCAGAGGTGTGAGACAAAGGAGTAATAAAGAAATACAAAACAGTTTCATTGAAGATCATAAGTCACAGGGAGTGGATGCATCTGCGCCACTGAGAACGATTTTGAGCCATGTCACCAATTGTTTCCAACCATAGATTTTTACCGTCCCGAGGACTCCAACCAGTCGGGAAGTCTACACCTTTCTACGTGGCTTAGACCAACTGTTGTGGATTTCATTGACTGGTGAAGCCAAGTTTTTGTTTGACCGCCGCTAGCTTTTTTCCGGCCTGACCCTATATCCGCTAACATTGCTCGTCGAGGGAGGCGATGGCTTGGCATACGTAACACATGTCCTAACCATCTCAGTCTTTGTAGCTTCACGACTTCGTCTATTGATTTCCCCTGTTTACCTAGAACTCTACGCCTAACCTCCATGTTGCTCACCTTATTATGCCACTTTACACGGGAAATAGAACGCAGGCACCTATGATCAAAGACAGCTAGTCTTTTCATGTCTTCCACTCTCAGTGGCCAGGTCTCACAACCATAAAGGAGGACGGAGCGGACTGATGAGCAGTACACCCGCCCTTTGGTCGATTGGGGCGAAGTAGTCCTGTTTATACATTCATGTAACGATGGTCAAGGAAGGTAAGGAAAGTGGCTGTACAAATTTCTTCTGAACACACAGGTGTTTGGCTTCTTCAGGTGGATTCCTATTGCTTCAGCTGTATGGAGAAGACGAACTCGTAGGGCAATAGATAATTTTAACTGCTGTATTAACATCAACTTTATGCTCAGTATCTACAAGTTGTGCTAAAATAGAGCTACCTACGAATAGATCTTGTTTGTCCGTTGCTTAACCATGTTGGATGGTGTTCGAAAATACGATGATGAACCTGCCTAATTGTACGCCCAATGTATCTGGCTTGCTCCACAGCTGCAGTCAAACTGGTAGATACACATAGATGAGGAGGCAAATTTATGTAGTTTATCCTTATTTCTCGAACGTAGAATAGGGGTGGTTGTGAAGAGACAACATACCTTTCTCTGCTGCATAATAAGCTCTTTTAACTACATTCTTCAGGCGCTCGCTGTGTTATTATTTCGCTGATGTTGTCACCGAGGAATTGCAGTTTTACGAACATTGTTTTTTTAGGGGCTGTTGCTATACTGACTCTCCTAGGTGCTGAATTCATATTTTTCTCAATGAACTTATCTGGATAACCATGTTTTTTCTAAGTAATTCTCTAATAATCTCAAGCTCCTCATTGTGGCAATCGTCTGAACAGATTAACCTAGCTCTCTGAACCAGACACTTTACCAGGTTACGCGTTTATATTTCAAAGGTACAAAACTAAAAAAAAATGAGTGTACTGGCCTGTTGTAGTAGGTTTCCTGTACACACTCCTTCTTAGTGTGCCATCTTCTTTCCTTGAAATGTATACGTCTAGGAATGAGATACTGTCATTACTTTCTTTCTCTATAATAAAGTTTATCGCTGAATGTGCATCAATAAACTTGTCAAGGATGTTCATTGCATCCTTCTCGTCTTTCATAACCAGAAATGTATCATCCATATATCGACAGTAAAAGTCAATATTTCTTCGCTCAATCTTTCTGTTTTCTAAGTGTCTAAATGGGGATTTTTGTATAAAGAATCATTCAAATCTGTGAGAAATAAAACTGAAATAGTGATTACACTTTTGCAAGAGTTAGCTAGTTAGTTAAAACTGACTGACTGCTTTCAACATAGCACTTTGTACACATGTTGAGCAGTTCTGCTTGCCACGCTCCTTCCTTGTAGCACACAAAGCAAGAGATGATAGTAAAGCGAGATAATAAACAGAAATATGAGGTAAAAAGATTAGTAATATGGAAGAGGAATAGAGTTCTATTGGATGTGATAAATCACACAGAGGGAATGCTACTGCCCCAACATTTGAGAACGAGTATTTTGAGCCATATCACCAATTGTCTCTAGTCACCATTGGTTCTTATTATCCTGAGGACCCCAACCAGCCAGTCAGGCAGTCTACCCCTCCTTATTTGACTGTTGTGGATTTCATTTCCAATTGACCACCACTAGTTAACTCCGTTGCAACGTACCTGGGTAATGTAGTATATTATCCTTGTAACCCGAAGGTCCTGGGTTAGATTCCCTACTAGCTTTGTAGATATGTACTTCTGAAATGTCCCAAAGTACCAAAGTTCCTTTGGTTACTATTGACGATTACCTAACTCTTGACGTCAGTTTGTTGTGTAGAAATTAACAAACCTCAGTGTTTGAAAATACTTCTGTTTTTTTCGGTTAAAGGATTTCATCAATTGAGCTGGCATCAGTTAGAGAACTATTGGAAAACCACCAGGGAGTACTACCAGACAGTTGTCTTGTCAGCCTAGTTTGCGACTGACTCTTCAACAGTACGCACCCACCGCCAAGGTTTGAGGCCAGGCTAGCGAGCTCGTAAACCATTAAGCCACTGGGACCCGACCAATCCAATGTCCAGTCCATGAATTCTAACTTCCATTTTTGTTTTGTTTTTTGTTTCTATGTGGTGTTTCCAGGCGTCAGCAAGCTGTCATGGATTGGATGTTTCAATGTCTTCGTAAAGAAAAAGAGAAACCAATGATTTTATTAAATCTAGCTCTTATCTGTTATTTTATGGGTAGTGAATTTGCTACATCGAGTTATATAACACAATTGTTCCAGTCTATACGTTCATATTTACCAACACAAAAAGATATTTCAAATAAGTATGTCTTGTTGTATTATGAATTATTTAATGTTTCTTCTTTTCTTTATATCTTGACCATCCTACTCACTCATATTGTTGTTGTTGTGTATTGATTTGAGATGCTTAGAAAGAGTGTAACTGTGTGTTACTTCGTGGCGCTTCCTCATCCCACTATGAACGCTAATTGATTATGTGTGAACCTTTGTATTGCAGTCAATTGGTGGATGGTGACTGACTAGCAGTGGAATCCAGGATAACATGATTTCGTTCTGTATGTGACTCGTCAACCGGATGCACCTGCATTCCCCAGTGACTGATTGGTAGTGTTCCCATCGATGCTGTTACTCAGTGGCCAAAGTTTTAAGCTCTCCCAAATAGGACAAAGTGCGCATCCTGGTGGGTTTCACTGCTAGTCACCATCCACCAATTGACTTCAGGTTACATGACCAGACATCGTCGAAGCATCTGAACAAGGAGCCGACATGTCAACCTGAGACCTAACACTCCGATCCAAACAATTGATGGAGAAATCTAAATTGAATTAAATAATTTTGTATTGCAAACCTGAAGCACTATGATAACCATGAGTAGTTTGTACTCCGAACATACTTAGATGTTGTATGCTCTCTGATTGTTAAGAATTTCTGCATTTTCTGTGTATTTAAAAAGAGAGATCTTCTGCTAGCAAGACATTTCTTCAATCATCGAGTCCATCGATCCATCCATCAATGAGTCTGTGGAAAGAGGGGGTACGGGTGGGTGGGGGGGGGGGAGGATACTACAACACTGGATATCTTGAATGAACACCAACGGTTCTCATCACTTGAGTCACCTAGGTTTATAAACTGTCTCTGATTGTATTGAGTTTGCTTTTTGTTGAGATTCTTTTGGTCTTCATTTGGTTACGATCTATAAAATCTTAAACAAGTTACTTCAGGTGTGACGCATGCGTCGTCATAGTCCACGCAGGCATTCCAGGAGGAGCTGCAATCTTCCGTCAACAATTTGTACAGAGTGGTTGCCATCGTGGCCGCAAATATAGATGGTCAACTGAGCGAAATAGTGAATGTTGCGGATTCTTCGATATATATGTATAAGATCCTGTGAACATTCCCAACATGCTTTTCTGATTGGTACAGCTTCCCACAGCTGAGCATTGAAATCACCTGTTAACACACAACTGTGTTTGAGCGCTTTAAGCTTTGCTGCTTACTGAACAGCTTCCACAAAAGAAAGCTTTACTAGTTCCAAACTCCAGTCATTGGTAAGTGGGAATTACAAGTGTCACGATCTTATCTTATTATTACAAGGGGAGGGGACGAGGAAGTCAGAAAGGATTGATATGAAAACTGTACATCCGGTTTCACAGGCTGCCTAAGGTCTTCATACAGATACTAATTCAGACATGGTGTATATGACCTGTTTCAAAATTATCAACTTGCAATGATGTGAGCAATCGAGCTAGTGCAATCACACCACTGCGTACTTCCACGATAAGGACAGGAAGCTTTTCATATCTCTAGTACATGAAGTCCTTTTTTACGTTTTATTCACTATATTTTTCTGCATTTTATACTGTTCTAACTGTTTCACTTGCATACCACTACTGTTTTGCATACCAGTGTAATTGATAAATTGATGAATAATGAAGTTGTAACTATGGGCGGGGCGAGATTGATGAGTATATTTGTAACAACAGAAGACAAGGGTCAGGCAACAGATCGTTTTATTACGAAAATCAACGCGTATTTATATATATTTTATGTACATTAATAAGGCTTATGCAAGCAGAAAAAGGCAGTCTTCTAATTGGTTGTTTCTCGGAAGACAAACACAGTCTCCTGATTGGTTGTTTTCGATATTTCTCGGAAAGTAGAGCCATTTATCTGCGAATCATATTTGCCCACGTTTAAGTCTGCTGTGATTGGTTGTTGAATCAGCCTAGATTATTATCTACCAATCAGCGTCGATTAATGTCTACCAATTGGCTAGCAGCCTGCTCTCACCACATATTAACAAGGGTTGCGTAATACGAAAGACATCCAGAAAAATAGGATGTTAATAAAAGAGTTGGGAGACAAATGTCCAAAATAAATTATGTAACAGGTAGAAAGAGTAAATAAAGGCTTGGTTACGAAAAGGATGTTACCAAGACGTCATACAAACGTTAAAAATAGCCTTATTAACAAAGTAGCAAAACTTAGAATTATACGCAAGGTAGAAGAAACCTCTCCACCTCTTTTTTCTACCTTGTGTATGATTCCAAGTTCTGTTACTTTGTTAATAACGCTTTTCTGAATGCTTGTATGACCTATTGGCAAAACCTTTTCCCTTTATTTACTCTTCCTACCTATTACATAATTTATTTTGAACACGTGTCTCCTATTTTTCTGGGTGTCTTTCATATTCTTTTAAATCATGGAAAATTCCCATTGTAACCTATAGAAAATCAAAACAGGTGATTCAGCGAAGAGACATGAGCTTGGAATTCAAAGGGACTTAGCATCCGATATCATGAAACGAAGGATAACACAGTCCCTGAAAAGAACATTCCCTGCTGCATCTCTGAGAATAGCCTTTACTAGCCGACCATTACTGTTCAGTAACCTGAAGGACAAGATCCCGCTGTTGACCAACTCTATGTGTGTTTATATCAATTCACTTGCTCGTGTGGAGCTAGGTATATCGGTCGTTCGACTCGAGTTTTGTCCAAGAGGATGCAAGAACACTATCCTGCATGGTTACGGAAAGGTGGAAGTGGGGCAATAAGAAGCGCGATCCTTGAACATCTGGTCGATAATGATCACCCTGTATCTATAACCTCCGCCTTTAAAGCCATCTACAAGGCAAAGAGTGATTCGCCCAAATCCCTACGTACCCGACTCATGTGTATTGCTGAAGACATCTTTGGCTATAGAAACAGAAAAGCCGGATCTCTGTGTATAGAAGAAGTTCGTTCAACCCCTCCAACTTTCATGGTCTTAACCTCTCTATACTAAAGTATGGTAATCCCCGATCATATTTTAGCTCTGCCAATTTTTTTCATTTTGTCTATTCAATTTGTATACTCTTCCTTATTACGTCAATTGTTACTATTACTATTCTCACTTTTAACTGTCCCCGGTATTATTTCACTTGTTCCACTTGTCATTATAAATCAATTCTTTTTTACGACGTTAAATTCTATGCCATCGAATTTCACACAGTATTACGTAACGTTTCTGTTTTATTCTATTTGCCTAGTAATCCTATAATTGCACACCCTTTTTCAAGTTCTATCCATCCTATGAATTATTCTATATATGATATTAATTTGTTTTGCCACTTTATTTTTATTTTTAAATTTTTGATTACAGCTTCATTCCACACTGTATTTTTGGTTCAAGTATGGAATTTTCAGCATGGATATCGGTGGCCCAAATTTTGCTGGCTGACCATAGATACCAGATGTGCGTCGGCAGGAGATCGAACCTCGGACCATGAGTACTAACCACTGTGCCACCGACGCACATTGACATTTAACTACGATTATAATCACAAACATTTTAGTTTTAATTGCATTTCATATTAATATTTTGTTATTATTTTATGCATTCACACCTAAGATTCAATTCCCTCACCGAATATAACTTCTTAAAAACCATATATACTCGGCTGTACAGCTTGATGATAAATTCGTTGGAAAGAGTCTCTTCGCTGAGTCTTTCATATTATCAAGTATTGGTTTTGTAGGGATTTAGTTTGATTGGTTGGAGGATTTCATCATGAACTGACATCACTTTAGGAACCACCGTAAAACCAAATTAGAGTACTATCAGACAGCTGCTTTGTCCTAGTTCGGGACTCTTCTGGTTACAAGGCTAGCGAGCTAGTGGACCATTAAGTCACTAGGATCCGATAAAATATCTAGCCCATGAATTCTAACTTCTGCCAATTCATAAAATGGCCCAACCACCTCGCAATGTCTTCTTCGATGAGTTACTGCATCACCTTCAACCTGCTGTACTGTATTAGTGACAGCTTCCCCTTAGAACCTCAGTCGTGCGCTATGTCACGAATCGGCGGAAGTTTGAATTCATACGCCATTGGATCGGGTCTACAACCTCGCTAACCTTGTAACCAGAAGGTTGTGGCTTCGAACTTTTTTTTAGCTTTACTTCGGCTATCTCCTACGGGAGGATGAGCCGGCTTCATGAACATCTCGAATCATCGCTGCCCAGGCGCGGCGATCTGATGCAAGGTTTTGCGACAGGGTTATCCAATTCTTGTTCCACAGACGGAGTCCGTAGACCATTCTGAGGCTTTGGAGGCTGTGGCTTCGAACCCTGTCGGTTGTTGCGTACTGATGAAGAGTCAGTCCAAAAGTAGGCTGACGAAACAACTGGCTGTCTCGCAGTACTCCCTGGTGGTTTTCCAATAGTTCTCTAACTGATATGTCAGCTCATGATAAAATCCTCCAACCAATCTTTCATATTACGCAACTCTTCTCAATACTTACTAATTTATAAAGTGTCTTACTAACTTGATTTATGTAATTGTTCTCCTTTAATTGAATGCACAGACAGTTTTGGTAACAACAGAAGACAAGGGCTAGGCAAAAGATCGTTTATTAAGGAAATCAACACGTATTTATATATATTTCACGTACATTATTATAACTTATTCAAGCAGACAAACACAGTCTTCTGATTGGTTGTTTCTTGCTCAAGGTTATTCTGTACTGCTTGTGACTGGTTTCTCAGAAAGTTAAGCCATATATCTGCGAATCGTATTTGCCCACGTTAAGTTTGCCGTGATTGGTTGTTGAATCAGCCTTGTTCATATTTTCTCACGGCCAATATTAGCGACGTAGACATTGACGTAAATTAATGTCTACAAACTTGGCTAGCAGCCTGCTTTCACCACAGTTTAATTGACGTCTCTCTATCTATTTACCCTACCTAAGGAAACGTTCTCCAGCCTTGGAAACTTCAGCCATCCTATCTGTTAGTCTTTTGACTAAATCACTTGGTCCTTTGGTCAGTGAATCAGTTACTCAAGTGTTAGATGCAATTGTAGCATCTGGTTTAAATCAACCTCTCATCGCTACATTCAAAATGATCGCTACGCATATACCAAGAATGCGAAAAGAAATTCAGGTAGGTAGTAGTTATTATTATTTTTTGAAAACAACAGCAGCAACAACAACAACCTTGTTTCATTATTTTGGACTTTAAAACTTTTAAATTCTTCTAATGATGCTTATATACTGGTGTTTTTTGCTTTTTTTCGAGGCTTGATTGATAATTGTGTTGTGTGCATAGAGATAGAGTAAATAACTTCAATATAATGTGAACAGTTCTGTTGAAGATATTACTTTAGGGCGCCTGTGTGTGTCATAAAGTTTGTTAATGTTTTTTGTTTTGAGGTTTGGTTTATTAATCAATTAAATCACTTGAAAATATATTCAAGTGCTAGTAGTAGTGACTTAAGATTGATTTACACGTTTTTACTTATCACCCTAAGTGACACCCACACACACACACACAAGAGTCTGTTGGCGAATGTGTTTGTTTCTTGTATGTTTTGTGATTCGATTATTGAACTGAAATATAAAACAACATTGCTACTAGTAGTTGGTATGTGCTTTGTTCTGTCTAAGTGCAAAATACTGTTACAAGGTTAGCAGGAGCCTGTACATGCACTCACTCTTGCAAGGTCGTGTTATCTGGGTAGTTGTGTGAGTGTTGGTGAAGACATGACGGATGAGATTTCCAACTGTATCATGAAGGCTAGGGTGGCATACATTGACTTGAGCCATCTCTGCTGCCGTTGCGACGTTAGTCTGGTTGTCAAACGTCAGTTAAACAGTGCTTCGGTGCGAGCTGTCTTGCTCTCCGTCTATGAAACCTGATCTCTCCGAGCTGAGGATGTGCGGTGGCTCTGTGTATTCGATCATTTCTGTCTCCGTAGGATTGATTGTGTTCGATGGTAACATATCATGAGTAATTCTGAGGTTCGGCGGCGTGTGTTTGGACACGGTGAAGATTACCATTCATTGAGTGGTGGTTTGGACATGTGCTGCGACTATCATCCTAGAGGGGACACGATGGAAAAAGTGCTCAGGTGGTCAGCCCATGATGCATGGCGTCGTCGTGGGATGAAGGCTATATGTGTTGGGTTGGATTAGAATTGGTTGATGAGTCACGACTCCTTGATTGGAGTCTGAGAAATAGCTCGAAACGTTATCGGATACCAGCGAGAACCGCTAACACCGATGGTGAACATGGTGCAATTTCCTTCTTCCTTCCTTCCCCCCCCTTCCCGACAATAATTGACGAATACTGTTTGAACTTGTTAAGCATGACTGTTTTCCTCCTCGAAGATGAAGTACTTATCAGCTCTCTCATATGTTGTTTTATTATATTGGTATTGTGTTGCACAGCCTCTTCTCGTTGCCGTACTGTATCAAGCTTTTTTGTGTTTAAATGAATAATAATAATAATAAATAGTAGTTGAACAATCAAAATCCATCAACATTTTTCAGATCACAATATATGATCTGATCAGTATCATACATGTCAATCAATAAAGGAAAAGAAGTAGCATGATGTTATATCCAGCTAATTGACATAAGAAGTTGGAAACTACCATGACCACCATGACAGCAGTGCTTGCTGGTCATGCTAAAACAATCTAGACACGCTGGACTCTCATTTCTCGTCAGTTCGGAGTCAAGCTCACTTCCTCAAGGAGAGAGAATCAAACAAGCCAACCTGGATGAAAAATTTTGATCGGAACAGGCTGGATTCAAGAAAAACAAGTCATGCATCGATCAAATCACAACAATACAGATCATCATTGGACAGAGTTTGGAATGGTAGTCACTCAACTCTCTATCTCAACTTCATCAACTTTGAAAAGGCCTTCGATAGTGCAGCGTCGATCGAGAGGTGATTTGGCAACTACTTCGCTACTACTAAGGGGTGCCATCGACAATTATACATCTCATCCAACAGTTGTACGACAATGCTGCATTCCAAGTAATCCACAATGGGAAACTTACGGTATTTTTTAAAGTAAAGACGGGAGTAAGTCAAGACTGCCTATTATCGCCAATGATTTTCGTGATTGGAGTAGATTGGATGATGCGACAGACAGTGGCGGACAGCGAGGAAACAGGCATAAATGGACTGACACAAAAATCTTGGAGGATCTGGACTTCGCCGACGCAATATATGTCTGATTTCCCATAAACTTGAAGATATGCAAGTGAAAAGCAACAAGTTGACAGAAGAAGCATCAAAGATAGGGCTTCAAGTGAACATAGATAAAACAGAGGTGATGAAGATTCCTAGCCAACAATCAACATAAATGGGAGGAACCTGAAAGAAACAACCTCCTTTACCTACTTGGGAAGCATCGTTTCAACTATAGGCTAACAGAACTGACGAGGATATCAAAGCAGCGAGGGTCGGGAAAGCAAGACAATCCTTCATTACTCTTAAGTCTGTGTGGAGGTCAACAACACTAATTAGCATGAAAATGAAAATAAGATTCGGATTTTCAACTCCAATGTGAAGTCAGTGCTAGTCATTATACGAATCAGAGACTTGGCCAGCGCGTCATACAGAGCACCTCAAGCAAACTACAGACCTTCATCAACAGATGTCTTCGCTGAATACTACTCAAGATCAGATGGCTGGCCAAAAAAGATCAGAACACAGGGATCTCTGGAAATGAGCAAACCAACCAGGAACCGATTGTGAAACAAATAGACAGGAAGAAATGGAGATGGATTGGCCATAGTCTGAGGGAACCATCAAGTGACATCACCAGACAATCTCTCGAGTGGAACCCGAAAGGGAAGTGGCGAGTCGGTCATCAGTGTGAGGGTGACTTGGAGTAGGTCATGTGAAGAGGAGATGAAAGCATGTGAGCAGAGGTGGAGCCAGGTGAAAACGTTGACAGAGAACCGAACGCAATGGAGACGTGGGCAGCTGAAACCCTATGTTCCTCTAAGAATTAAAGGAAATAATATTATTAATAATAATCATCACTCTAGCAATGTACTGATATTATGAGCGACACGACCATTCAGTGATAAGCGTTGAGTGGTTTCCATCTACTCGTAACATTCAGTAGTAGTAGTATATACCAATTATATGCATTTCGTTTTGAAGGATCTACTTTGTGTGTGTGTGTGTGTTATGTACTCGTCGCTAAATTATTGTTATGGACTGGTCGAGAAACTAATAGTCCTGACGCAAGAAGGCGGAAATCAGAAGACCACTAGGTTTGCGATGATACTTCTATTTTCCAAGCACAAGGAGAAGCAATAAGTGGTATCACACCAAAGTAAGTGTAGTAAGTCAGTCACACAAATTGTGAGAACGAAATATATATATATATATATATATATATATAACTATTCTTTTTGCGTCATATCAGTAGTTACTCAAACTCCTAGACATTGTTTTTTTTGCTTTTTTGTCGATTATATTATTATAGGATTGTCTTCTGGCTAACATAAGTCTAGTTTTAATGGAAAGCACTGGCGGTAGTTTTAATCATCTACATTCATTTATCACAAATATTGGTATCGGTGGAAACGATACTATTGGTTCCTTCTTTCCAAATTTGCTGAGTCTTATCGGTGTTTCAAATACTTCATCTACAGGCAGTACTGGAACAAATTTGTCTAGTTTAAATCCATGCTCAGCAATTAATGCTAGCAGCAGCACAGGTGGTGGCATCGGTGTTGCTACTGGAGTAGTATTGGGTGGCGGCGGTAGTAGTGGCTTAAATGCCAGTACAAGCCTATTTCCTTTATCAAGTGCAACACGTTTCATCTTTGGTTCATCTACGAAAAGTCACCACAATACAAAGTCAACTACTGCTGCTGCGAATATCATCACAGGATTAAGTGCAACAGCTGCGGAGTTTGCTAATATTGCTATCCCTGGTGGATCATCTGCCTCTGGTGGCGAATCATCATCTTCCACGGATGTTGCTGTTGTAGCGTTAGCTTTAAAAACACTGAGCACTTTCAATTTTGAAGGTAGGCATTACTTTTCATTATAATTTAATCATACAAAAATTTATGTATACGTTTTGTAATTTCAAAGTGAAATGAAATAGTTACAGGATTTCACCATGAGGTGACATTGGTTAGAGAACCATTGGAAAACCAACCACAGGGAATATTGGGCAGCTGTTTCGTCCCAGATTTGGGATTCTTCAGCGGTACACACCTACCGCAGGGGTTGGAACCCAGAACCCTCTGGTTACAAGACTACCGAGCTCGTATACCATTAAGCCACTGGAACCCGACCAATTCAATGGCCAGTCCATGAATTCTAACTTCTGTCAGTTCATGCACGATATAGCGAAACGCTAGCCAATGTCTTCAGCGACCTGCTCCACCCTACTGGTCACTGGTTTAGGTTGTTTTGTTTGAGTTTAGTGGTTTTTAGTTGTGAGACTTTTATTGTTCATTTGGATAACATTTGGGTGGTAAGTGGGTCTGGATCTCGTAGATGACGGTTGCCCGACCGATAGCTCCTACCTTGACCTGGTGTGGTTGGGCTTGCATATCACAGTGACCCAACAAGCTACACTGACCGAAACTATTGTTCCTTCAGGTTGTATCACGCTAGAAAGATTGTTATTATATAGCGATTAGACTAAAAGAAGTTACCCGCATAGTGTATGATAATTTTTTACACTAAGCTGGGAGTCTGTGGGCAAAGTCGTACTGCTGGGGAACAGGGATGTAACAGCAGTGAGGTGTTTCCCTCAGAGGACCAGTATTCCAGTCAGCTATGCTGTCTTTTCACTCTGGAGAAAGGGGATTAGAAAAGGTCGACCCCCAATAAATGCACATCGCGACTTACCCTGCGGTGGTCCATCTGTAACCGTCGGTAAGTTACTGATACGGAACCAAACTAAACAGTCATTTCAGACAGGCCGTGTGTGACCGGCCTCAAGCAGTTGTCCCCTGGGCTCTGTGGTCACGCAATACTAACCCTCTTTCTGTTTCAGGTACCCGAAGACAGATGGAGATGTAGCTCGCTACTGGCTTAAGCATTAGACTTTCAGTCAGTGGGTTCCACGCCCACTCCACCTACTTCATACCCTGGGCGAATGGGTACAATTAGCCCTCACATTATAACTGTGTAGCCTGGGTTGTGTGAAAGACCTGTTCTACGAACTGTTTTTAGACCCACGATTCTGTGGCTGCTAGCCTGAATCCTGCAGTGATTCCGATTTTTATTCGACTTTCAACCATCACTTACCACATCAGTAGTAGTAGTGTAAGGGTAAGAGAGACGAAAGACTTGGTAAAGGACTGTTTATTTGGAAATTATGTACAACTTATCTTCAACGCACCATTTGTGAACAGATCCTCCGTGTTGTGTCTGCTATTTCTGGCCCTCCTTCATATTGTGTTTCTTTGTGTTGTTCCTTTCACGTCTCCCATGTATCTCCGCAGTGCTGAATCATTTGCTTTCTCTGACTAACGTCAAATCTATCTCCCTGCTATTTGAGGTCTTTTCTGCCGATGCATGTCTCTTTATATACTACTGAAAAATCCTATCAGTAGCACACGTCACAGTAGTACCAGTAGGGTGTTGAAACTATGTATCATTACGATTGAAAGGGGAAGAGACTTAACTAGACACATTGGGATGATAAACAGACAGCTGCCATGACATTCATTCATCTGACAGCTGGGCACATTACTCGTCATGGTTGCAGTAAGATGATGACCTGTATACAATTGGTGGATGGTGGCTAGCAGTGGAATCCAGGATGCGCATTTCGTCCTAATTGGGACTCGTCATCTGGATGTACCTGCATTTCTCAGTGAGTGATGATGTTCCCACCGAGGCTCGAACCCAGTGCCTATAGTTTCAAACGCCAGCTGAAGCGTTATCCACTAGACCACTTGGGCCACGAGAATCAAATCCCCAGACATCGTCGAAGCATCTGCACAAGAAGCCGACATGTCAACCTGAGACCGAACACTTCGGTTCAATCAATCGACAGGAAAATCAAAAATTCAATTCAAGAAGATGATGACCTGTTTATCAGTTCACTCTCGTAACTCATCTCGTAGGCAGTTGGTTCGAATTCTTCTGTCAACACCTATTACACATTCTTGATTGATTGTATTAATTGAATTATACGAAATGGTTCACTTGTTCATAGTGTAAGAAATTATCATGCAGTATGCCAGTAACTGCTTCTAGTGTAATCACTATCCTAACAATCTTCCTAGTTTGATTAGGGACCTGCAGGGACATTGGTTCCAGCCAGTGTAGCTTGTTGGGTCATTTCAATATGCAAGCCCAACCACGCCATGTCAAGGTGTAGGTAGCAGCTATTGGTCGAATCACAGTTACAGTGTATAAGGTTATAGTGCATTCAATTTTTAATTCTGAAAATTTGAGTCATAATTGGGTTTTTTGGCCTAGGTGGCCTAGTGAATAACGAAGTCGTTACGCTTGAAATGGTGAATGCGTTCATTTTACAGTGGCGAGGAGTGGGTGAGGGTGCGGAAAACACCATCATTCATGCGGGGTCGCAGGTACTTTACAACTGACGAGTCCTGAATAGGATCGAGTGCTTATCATGGATTCCACTACTAGTCACCATCCATCATATATCATCATGTTAATCCTCAGAAATCATCTAAGCATCCTTACTAAAAGTCGACATTGTCAATAAAGACGAAATACTTCTATTCAATAAAAATCAATCAACGGTGAATAAAATATGAACTGATATTTTCCAGATTATTTTATATTCACTTTCTTGAAAGTGAGAGAAATGCAGTTTTAATATAATTGTATCGGTGACTGTGTTCATCAGCTTAAGCAATCGACTTTCGACCAGTGAGCCCTGGGTTCGAGTCCAGATTCACCTACTTTAGCCTAATCAACTGGGTGTGGGGTGGGGTAGTATCCTCATCTCCTTAGACACACACACACCAAATGTGTCCTTATCACCTGGTGTATAAAATATTTTTTCAGGGAACTGAGTTTAGATATGGGGATTATATTATGACACCAGAATATGTATATGTCCATACATTTTGAGTAGATAATAGCATATTATAGTCTTGTTTGAGAAAATAAAGAAGTGTATACCTTTTCTTGTGACAAACAAAACTGCCTTTGGGGGGGGACTTCATCATGAGCTGACATCAGTTAGGAGATGATTAAAAAACCAGCTGGGAGTACTGGACAACTAGCTGTTTCGTCAGCCTAGTTTGGGACTCTTCGTCAGTTCGCATCCACCGACAGGGGTTTCGAACCCAAGGCCTTCTGGTTACAAAGCTAGCGATGTCGTAGACCATAATGCCACTGGCAACCGACCAATTCAATGGTCAGTCCATGAATTCCTACTTCTGCCAATTCATGACCACTGAACGACCACCTTGCAATGTCTTCTTCAATGAGCTGCTGCCTGCGGTACCCTACTGGTCACGGCTTCCTACTAGAACTCCAGGTAACTCCCTACCTGAATAGGGCCAGTCGTTAGTGAGCATCAGATCAATTTTCAAGTATTGGTTTTTGTGGGGATTTTCCTTGATTGATTGGGAGATTCCATCATGAACTGACATCAGTTAGAGAATTGACGCAAAAGAATAAGTATACTTTTTGAATTTATTTTTGAAAATAGCCTGTTGATTGACTCTTTATCGTCCTGAAATGCCTGATTCCAGGTCGACATGTCGGTTTCGAGTACGGATGGACAGCGAAGCTATAGCGATGTTTTCACTTGATTAGTAGTGGCCAAGAGTAACTGATACCCACCCTTTGAACAAGAATGTATGACTCTCTTGTGTAGCCAGTGGCCTAATGGATAATGCTTTGGTGTTTGAAATGAGATAGATGATGGGTTTCAGTCACAATGAGGGTGGAGGCCAGCACTCACGGAAGCTTCAGGTGTACATTCAGTTGATGACTAGTTCTGAATAAGACGAAAGGTGTGTGTTACTGGATACCGCTGCTAGCGATGATTGCGTGTATTTGTGTATATATATACCTAAAGTCTTTTCTTTTTTTTCTTCTTTATCTCTATGACATTGTTGTGGTCTAGGTCATACTCTGGCTCATTTTGTTCGACATATCTGTGATAATTTCATATCTGTAAGTACTTGTGAAGTGAAAGAGATTCGATTGGAAGCTGTTAAAACCTGTGCTCATTTAATGATTCCATGGTTGAAGGTTAGTTAGTTTTATTTATTTATTTATTTATTTTGTTAGTGGTGTTTTAAACTTTTGAAATAATGGAGATGAATTTTGTAGCTCATGTGGATGTGGTTTTGTTTCTGGTTATGGAGTTCTCTGACACACATGGGTGGTTTGGCACTCCTTCAAGGATAACATTTACTTCATTGCGTGCGTGAAATACTTTACACTTTTCACAGGGTGATATCGTTTAATTATCAAAATATCAGAACTGATTGTACATTGATGTGTAATGATATTTAGACCTGTTTTTTTTCAAAGCTAATATTGTATTAGTAGTTCAATACAATGCTATTGTGATACAATCTGACTTGTTTTGTGTGCCTATGGAAGTGTGTACGTAGTTATTCCATCCTGGTTGTTCATAGGGTGAAAGGTGATTGATTCTTGGAGTACCTGAAACAGCATTAGCATTTGCAACTAATAGTGTTTTCTGAGCTGGTTAGTTTAGTTGCGGAGCTTTCGTGGTCCTTCTAGACAACATCTTCAGCGTAGTATTTAGCATAAAGTGAAATGATTTAAATTTTTCTTCATGAGTGATAGAATTGCGTCTCCCGGTAACCACCTATACATATGTATTGACCATTTTCTATTGACTTGGATGGATTTTAAACTTTCTCGTCACATGTGATTTACTTTTTATTAGTTGGTATATTTAGTTTATATTAACATGTTTGGTAATTGCATGTTCTTATGAGGCTAAGGCTTCTAGGAATTGCCTGACTGCACTTTTGGTGTTTCCTCTGTCTAAGATTTCGACATTATCCTAATCAAATTGATGTCCATAGTTGTCTATTTGCACTGATACTAAAGAATATATATCGTGTCTTTTCACGGTTGATTTGTTTTCTTGGATTCTAATTCGAAAGGGACACCCACTCTGGCCGATGTAATGCCTGTTGGTACAAATCTCAAATCCCTACAAACCAACACTTGAACACAATTTATTTTGTAAATGGTATTAATCTTATCTCCTTTGTCTGTTGGATCTTTCGGTTTGCGTAATATCGAATTAAGCAATTTGACTGGCTGCCTTGTGTGCTCTATCTATATCAAACGGTTTCAGTATTCTAGCTGTTATTTCATTAGCATTATTGATGTGTGACCACAAAGTCAAGCGAACAACTACTTAAAACCGCTCACACACACACACAGTCTGTTTGAGTTGATATTTTGAGTTACGGATCACTTCAAGGTTATTCGGGAGTAGACAGACAGCATTTGGTGGCTTGCTGGCTGGCCGGCCATCTGACGGAAAAACTTTACTGCTGTTACAGCCCTGTATTCGCCTGTAGTACGATTTCACCTACAAATCCTCTCTATGTAATATGGGCGATTTACACTCTGATAGGAACTGTCTTCACTACAGTCTCTATCTAAGTCAAATTTATGATATAGTAGGTAGGACCTCCAGGATCATATTAGTTTCATCCGGTCATTAGTGATATTCACAAATGCAACCATAACGTTAAGTTATAGCAGCTATCGGTCGTGTTTTGTTTTTTAAGGTCTGTATAGGTATAAACACTTTTTTCCTTTTTTTCTGTGCGTCGGTGGCACAGGGTTTAGGAATCTCGCCGACCATGCACATGGTTCGCGGTTCGAGCCCACGCCGACGCACACCTGATATCTATGGTCGGCCTGCGAAATTTGGGCTACCGATATCCACGCTGAAAATTCCATACTTGTACCAAAAATACGGTGTGGAATCAAGCTGTAATCAAAGAGTAAAATTAAAAATTTTTTTTTACTTTTTTAATTTTTGGTATAGTCTACCGAAATGCAACAGTGGTATGCTCGACCTGCTTTGAATACTGTGGCGGATGTTTTAAGTAAATTACTAACTGTTGGAACTAGTGATCCAGGTAAAATTATTACTAATATTGTTATTACTATTATTATTATTGTTGCCATTACTATCATTACTAATAACAGTAATATAGTAATATATCGCTGAAGAAATCTCAGCCACAGATACAGAAGGTTCGTCTGGCATATATCCGATTACTCCATATATCTCTTCATAGACGTAATATCCGGCTGGTTATCAACCAAGGGACGTGCGTACTGCCCAGCAGGACTTCGCTCTCTCCTCCTTTATGGCTGCAACTGAAACATGGCCTGAGGAAGTGGAAGATATATATGAAAAGCATGACTTCTAGTTGTCTCTGGTCATAGGTGTCTGCATTATATCCCCCGTGTAGGGTGGTGGTATATTAGGGTGAGCAATATTGAGGCTAGAAGTCGAGTGCTAGGTAGTTGGGAGGGGAAATCAATCGACGAGGTAGTTGTGAAGTTACACCGACTGAGGTGATTAGGAGATTTGTTATGCATACCAATGAGCCATCGATCGTCTTCCTCAACAGATGGGCAATGTTTTGACTGACATAGTACCAGGTTGGAAAAGAGCTAGCCACTGGTGGTTTAAACGAAAACATGGCCTCATCAGTCAATGAAATCCACAACAGTTAGCTTAAGCCAGCCAACCAGCCACGTAGGAAGATGTGGACTTCCTGACTGGTTGTGACGGTAAACACCAATGAAGGCTGAAGACAATAATAATAATAATAATAATAATAATAATAATTGCTTTATTCCAAAAACAGTACTCATGATACAGCAAGGAATTTTCAGCATTCAGTACAATATTGCATCTAATTTACCCAAAAACGACAAAAAAAATTAAAAATACACAATACATAATAGTAATAAAACGATTGTTGTAGCAGCTACGTAGCAAAATACTGTGTGCCATACGGAGAAAAATATGTATAAAGTACAAAATTGTAGTAATAATAGTAATACCAACTAATATAAAATAGCAGAGTAACGATTTAAACGATAGAAAGTGTAACACCATAAAATACAGAAAGATGAACGATAAAAGGGTCGATTCACTGTGCTAATTACATAGTAACTTGTAAGTTTCACGTCTAACAGAGTCTTCGTCACATAAAGTACGCGCTAAATAGGGTATTGTAGAATTTCTATACTTAGTAGTACGAGCATATATCTTTTTATATTGACTTCTCGTCCTACCTGATGAGATACAAGGGGACAGGTGTGAATAAAGGGGGTGCAGAGGGTCTGACATTATAGCCTTTGCCCATTTCGTACAGGAATTTATATGCCTCTCGACTATAGTATTAGCGAGCTCATGCAGTGGCAGACCACAAGCTCTACTCACAGCATTTAATACTCTTCGTAATATGATATAATCTTTTTTGAGCAGCCCAGGAAAGATTAATGGAGAGCAGTAGAGTACAATAGGTAAAATACAGGAGTTTAAAAATTGCAAAACTAAAGGTTGGTTGATACCTGATTGTCTTAACTTTTTAATGTAGAAGGTAAGACGAAACATTTTCTTAGAGATAGATAAGATATGGGATGACCATGAAAGGTCAGAGGAAAAAACTAGTCCAAGGTATTTAATACTTGATTTGGTTTCAATTTCCGTGCCATCTATGCTACAGGGATCATGAGAGTTAACTAGTTCAAGTAAGTCACGTCGATGCTTGAAAGTAAAGTCAAGCACCTGACATTTGGAAGGATTTAATATAAGACCATTTGACTTGGACCAGTTGTTGATGTCCAACAGAAAGCTATTAAGTTTGGAGCTGTCAGACTCGGAAGTGATAGGCAGTGATACAGTCAGATCATCTGCATATTTGACAAAGTTAGTTTCGTTTGAATGAGGTAGGTCATGTAGGAAGAAAGAAAAAAGAAAAGGAGAGAGGACAGCACCTTGTGGAACACCGGATTTTGTAAGCGAGGTAGAAGAAGATTTGCCGTTATATACAGTATACTGCATTCTATCAGAAAAATAGGAATGCAACCAACTCTTAGCCCAGGATCCTGTTTGTGTCAATGATAGCTTATTTAATAAAAGGCCCCTAGGTACAGAGTCAAAAGCAGATGTGTAGTCTAAGAAAGCACTACGAACATATTTAGCACCTTTGTCTAAACAAGAGACAACATTGTGATATAAGACAACCGCAGCATCCAAGGTACTTCTACCATGTTTGTATGCAAATTGTTTAGGATCATTAAAAGGTTTCAAAGCGGGTTCAAGACGAAGTAAAAGTAATTTTTCCATCAATTTTAAAAAGGGGGAAGTAATTGCAATAGGCCGAAATTTAATATCAGAACCAGAAGATGGTTTTGGTATAGGGATAATTTTAATGTTTTTCCATGCAAAAGGTAGAACGTTACCGGAAAAAGAGGCATTAAAAATGTTAGTAAGAGGATAACACAAAATATCAGCACAATTCCTGAGGACAATGGCAGGTATGCCGTCAGGACCAAGGCTTTGAGAAGGCTTAAGAGACCGGAGACATTTAAGCACATCAAGGGTATTAAAACCACTAAAGTTATTGTCAATATGATTTGTATCATTTGGAAGGGTATCAACAGAAGAGCGTATGAAAGATTTATTAAGAGTGTCAACATTAAGAGATGGAACAGAAATACATCGCTTACCGTTAGTAATTTCTTTGAAAAGTTTCCATAAATTAGAAGGGGTTTTACATGACAAAAATCTTTGATTATATAAAACACTTAGTCTTTTTATTTCCAGTTTTATCAGCATGTTTAACTTTTTTACACCAGGCTTATCATTAGTTTTGAACAACAGTTCTTTATTTCTACGTAGCTTTTTGAGATATGGCGAAGATAAGCGATCAAATCGGATGAATAATGTTTCTTTAGGACAACATATTTCGAAACAGAATTTAAGATAATCAGTAGTGTTTGTGATTGTTTCATCTAATGTTTGTTCTGTAAATAAGTCCCAGTTAGTGTCTTTCAACATGCATCTGAGCTTGTCTAGGTTGTCTTTTGAGTAGCATCTCCGTTGAACTTTACTGCAGAGGTGAGAGAGGACACCTTTGTGTGATTTGGAATATATTTTAGGCAGCACACGTATGATGCAGTGGTCAGAATTAAGTAGAGGAGCACGTTTGCGAGCTTCATATATACCAACATCATTGATAAATACCAGGTCCAATTTTTTACCAAGACGGGTGGCAAAGTTGACAATATTGTCATGACCAAGTGATATAAGGAAGGAGTGATCGCATGAATTGAAGTCACCTGTTACTATTGATAAAGAGTTCTCGAAGCAAGCTGCAGCAAAAGCGGTGAATTCATCGGCGAACATAGATAAATCCAATATGGTACAGCCAGGAGAGACATAAACATTAGAAATATAAATGAATTTGTATTTTGAAATGTGTTTCGGGCGACATCTCACAGTGATGCAATCAATGAAGTCATTCGAGAATTTGAAACAAACTTTGTTTGAAATGGACCATTTTGAGTGAATAAAAGTTGCAACACCTCCACCACACTTTTTCTTGGAACAAATACGGTCTTGTCGAAAAACATTGAAATTGTTTAGAGACACAATATTGTCATCGTATGAGTCATGGAGCCAGGTTTCTTGCAGAGTGACAATACCAGTATTGTGGTAGGTACTAGAAGACAACAGAGACTGAAAATCCAGAATTTTGTTAGGCAGGGACCGGCAGTTGGTACTAATGATAACTGGAACAGTGGTGTGATGTATGGGTGTAGATTTTAAGGCACGCTGCCAACCTCCATGGTGCTTTTTCTTGAGTTTATTGCAAATATGAAAGTTTTTGGGTTTAAAACGTTTTATAAAATCCCGAGGGTAGATAATACGATTAGAATGCATAATGTGATATGTAAATACCAATAAAATACGAGTAAATAGATGCAAAATGTACATGGAATGTGGTAGCCCAAAAATATTCAAACAGGCCGCCAAGGTCATTCGATGCAATTGATGTTATGGCTCAAAATCCTCGTTCTCAACGGCTGGCGCAGATGCCATCCTGCGCAATTATATATACGTATGTTTATTTACATAGAATATTCTAGAATAGTAGTCAATAAGAATATTGGTGTTTTTTCGTCTAAATAATATCGATTTGTCAAGTATGATCGCAATGAAATTATGGTTCATTAAAGATGCATAAATTATAATAATAATAAAAATATAATAGCAAATAGAATACCAAGTAACATTTAGGGAATTTCCACAACAAATTGAGGATCATTAAACCCTTGATGGCCAGTCAGCGGGGTAAGGATAGTGTCTGAACCAACCATCTTCTTTCGGACACACAAGTTAGGTTTTTTAATGTGGATCCAAACGGCCTCAGTAGTGTGTAGCAGACGAACTATTACGGTAAAGTTAAGATTAGTTGGTATGCGGTAGATGACTTTGAAAGCAGCCTCATTAACACCAGTCTTGTGTTCTGTATCCACTAGATAAGACGGTATCGAACTATGACTGAACTTTGTTTCTCTCTTACTTAACCAACCACCATGCAGGATGGTGTTCGGAAATCCGATGATAAACACGCCTAATTTTGCAGCCTATGTAATTAACTGGCTCACTCCACAGTAGCAGTCAAATTGGTAGATACACATAGAAGAGGCGAAAAATTAGACAGTTTATCTTTTAGTCCCGAACGCAAAATTGGAATGTGATTTCGAAAACACCGTGTAATTCAACAGCAGGGAATGCTCTTCGTTCCACCACTTTCCTAAAATGTTGTGTGTTAGTATCTCGCTGATGTTATCTCTGAGGAACTGAATTTGTAAGAATAAGGGCTAACTGATGTGTCGATTTCTTCGTTTTTCTCTAAGCAATATTTCGATATCTTTTCTTTTGTAAACATGTTTTTAGCGTGTACAGAGCATCTATTCAAAATATATATATATATATATATATATATACTTTTTTATACTTTAGATCCTGATGTACGACGTTGTGTATTTCAGTCATTCGATCGACGATTCGATCCGCATTTAGCTCAATCGAATCATTTAAATTATCTTTTCTTGGCATTATATGATGAAGTATTTGATATACGTTGTTTAGTAATGCAACGTCTTGGCCGGTTAGCAGATATTAATCCTGCATGTGTTCAACCTAAACTACGCAAGGTTGTGCTGCATGTAAGTTCTTGGATGGTATTTCGTCTCTCTCTCTTTCTCTTTTTAAATTTATTTACTCATCACAGTTCAGTGATTATGATTTTCGACACTTTTAGTCGACAATGGTGCGAGGCAAGCGCGGAACTTTGGCACTGTGGTTTGTTTGATACGGCGTGACACACACCCACACACACGCATACAGTGATTCTGACTGGCGTTTCAAGAACAATATTCTTCCTGGTTCATAGTCATATTGTAACAGTAGAAGACGAGAGACTCTGTTAAGGTAATGTTTATTTGGGATTTAGTGTCTCTATAGAATGAAATTATGTGTACACCCTATCTTCAACACACCATTTGCACAGACCATCCGTGTTGTGCCTGCTAATTCTGCCTTCTTCGTTTTATGTTACTTTATCGTTCCTTTTTAAGTGTGTCGTGTATCTCTGCAATGCTGATTCTTTTGCCTTCTCTGATTGAAGTCGAATCTATCTGCCTCCTCCTTGTTATTTTTTATGCCGATGAATATCTCTTTATACTACTGATAAATCTTATGAGTAGCACATTTTACAATACCAACTTAGTCATAAGATTGCATGGATTATTTCATCATCAGCTGACATCACTGGAAAACCACCAGGGAGTACTGGACAGCTGTTTCGTCTTAGTTTGGGACTCTTTGGCAGTACGCACCCACCGGGGTTCGAACCCAGGACCTTCTGGTCACAAGGCGAGCTCGTAGACCATTGAGCCACTGGGACACCTCGATCCAGTGTCCTTGAAGTCTAACTTCTGCCAATTCACGACATAGCGCGACCATTTCGCAATGTATTGGTAGAAGTTAGAATTCAAGGACCTTTGGATCAAGTCTCAGTGGCTCAATGGTCTACGAGCTCGCCAGCCATGTAACTAGAAGGTCCTGGGTTTTTGAACCCTGGTGGATGCGTAACGCCGAAGAGTCTCACACTAGGACGAAACAGCTGTCCAGTACTCCCAGGTTTTCCAGTGGCTCTCTAACTGATGTCAGTTCATGATGAAATCCTCCATGCAATCAAACAAAAAATCCCTACAAAACCAAAACTTACGTATGTTTATATACATGGAATGTTTTAGATTAGTAATCAATAACAATATTGGTGTTTTTCGTCTAAATAATATCGATTTGTTAAGTAAGATCATTGGAATTACAGTTCATTAAAGTTGCTTAAATTATAATAAAAATAAACATATAGTAGCGAGTAGAATATCAAGTAACATTAAGGAAATTTCTACAAAAAAAAATTGAGGAACATTTAAACCTTGATGGCCAAGGTAGTGATAATGACTGAACTAAATTCTTTTGGATGCATATATTAGGCTTGTTAATATGGATCTCAGCGGCCAGCCCCAGCAATATTTAGTAGTCGAATTCTTGAGGCAAAATTGAGATTCGTTGGTTGGTATTCAGTAAATGACCCTGAAAGCATGGTTAACGTCAATCTTGTGTTCTGTATCCACAAGATGAGATAGAATAGCACTATGTGAATAGATCTTGTTTGTCCTTTACTTAACCACGCAGGGTGATGTTCAGAAATTCGGCCTATGTAACTGGCTCACTCCACAGGAGCAGTTAAATTGGTAGATACACATGCAAGAGGCGTAATTAGTCAGTTAATCTATTACTCCCCAATGCAAAATAGGGCTGGTTTTGAAGATACAGTGTAATTCAGCAGCAAGGAATCATACTTTACAAATCGATATTATTTAGACAAAAAACACAAATATTGTTATTGACTACTATTCTAGAATATTCTATGTACATAAACATACGTATGATATAATTGTAGAGGCAGAAGAGGAATTTATCGAAAGGGGGATATTCTTTGCTCAATTATTTTGTGTTTTTTATAGATATCTGAATGAATATTTTTGCTATATCTTTTCTTAATCCAAATGTTTATTGTTATCTCCATGTTGAACTGCCTGTGTCTGTTTTTTTTTATTTTTTTACTATATTTCAGACATTGAACGATCTTTCTCACAGTGGATCAACTCGGAATAAAGAACAATCCGCCTTACTGTTAGCTTGTTTAATTGCATCAGCGCCAAGATTTTTTATTCCCTACGCTGAACCGCTGATACATATTTTATTGCCACGGATACGTCAAACTTTACCAGCCTCATTGCAAGCCAGTTTAGCAGTAGCTAATTTCTCTAGATTACAAAATTCTGCTCTTGCTTGTGGCAATGGTGAGTGGTGTTTTTTTTTTTTTGATTGCTCAGATGTTAGCTATATATTCGTGTACTTTTTTAATAGGTAGTTTGTGAGTTATTTGGTTGGTTTATATCGGCGCTAGACAGTGTGGCAGTGTCCTTCCTATTTTTTAAGGACTTGTCAGATGGATTTACCCTGTTAGTAATGTATGCGCAAAACTTGGGCACTGTGGTAGTTAGTAATTCCATATTAGTTTGTTTATTAAATGTATCACACAGTCAGTGAAACAGGATTACTGTTTGCTGGATGACAATGTTTCTAACAAAATTTATTTATTCTTCATAATCATTTCATCGATTATAATCACACGACTTCGAAACTTGAGTTTTATAGTCTCCTTTATCCTCTCCTATTTATCGTCGTTGGAGTAGTAGGATTTTTCAGATATCCGTCTGGGACAGGTGTTGAATCATTCCTATTACATGTATTTGCAATTGATTCGATGAACAAAGCTTCTGTTATCAATCTTTCCCTCCAGCCTATTAGTTGCATTAGATTTTAAAACTGTCGTCTTATCCCATCCAGTCTATTGTATGGTTGTGTGTAGTTGCATGTGGTGTAGTGCTATAGCTGAACTATTCTCTAGATTTCTTATCTTATTCGGGTCAACCAATCTAGATTTCACTGCTAGGTTTTTATGTTCGGCTAGTCTGACCGACTGCCCTGTTCTAATAGTTTAACCTGACAATCATTCCGGCAGGGTATTAGATAAACTAAATTGTTTTGTATTAAAGGCTCCACAGGATCGATCATGTAATCGACAAAGCTTGTTTCTAATTGAGTTTGTGGGTAGTTTGAATGCCACACAATTTTATTCTTGACTTGTTAAGAATTCTCCTCTGTGAGGTTTCCGAGGTTCCTTCCTTCTATGGAATTACTACTGATGATTTAGATTCCTTATTGTTGGTGTTGTCTTGAGCATGTTTGACAGGCATGTGGCCATTAATATTGATATTATTATTATTATTATCATTATCACTACCACTACTATCATCATTTATTTTGTTTTTACATTTCCTTACATATTTCCTGACTAATTTATCAGGGTGATTATATAGTTTCAAGGCTTCTTTTATTTGTATCACTTCCTGTCTTAGATTTTCCTTGGTACTACTTAGTTTTTGTGCTCTGTCACTTAAACATTTCACCAATCCTATTTTTACTGACATAGGATAGGATGATCGGAAATCCAAACATCTGTTTGAATGTGTGGGTTTCCTGTAAACACACCAGTGTGTTTTACTTCCAATCTTCTTTCGTTGTTACACTGACTTTCTAATTCATAAGTGCATTGAATTGCATTGTTTTTCGACATCTTTTCGATAATCACTCAGTGACTTCACAATGCACATGAACAGATAATAATTGAAATACAACAAACCAGTGATGTTAATCAGTTGATAGAACTGGCTAGAACTGTATACCGGGAAAAGCGTTTCGTCCTTTTCTAGACTCATCAGTCGGATGAAACTCTATCCGCATAGAGTGATGTTATCACTGAAAAAAAAACAAAGTTCTGAGTGTTAGTCCTACTTCTCAATGTGGGTTAACATGGGATTCATTTGCTCAAGCAATTCAGCTTCACATTGACAATGTGTCCCAACTCAACTCACTTCAACTTGGTTGTGGAATGGAGTGGAGTGGGGGAAGCAGCTGGTCTCTAGTGTCATAAGTTCTCTCATACAATAGGTATGTGTCGATGATAAGTTGGTATGTAAATAATATTATTATTTCGATAAAGGAAGGAAGATGAAATTTGCAGGATAAAATGATAAGACAGAAAGGGTAAGACAGAAAACAGAAGAAATTGATTAACAGAACAGTATTAGCTTGTAGCTTGTTCACATAGCAACTCAAAATACAAAAGCGATTACAGTTTATAGGATTAAGATTTGTTCAGTGAGTTGAGATCACTGAATTAGATGACTAATCAAAATTCTGTTATCAAGGGAGTGAGAGGTTAATCACATTCTCTTTCAGTATGCATAAGTCTGGTTTGAATGGTTTGATTGCGATCACTTCGGCAAATCGTAGTAAATTCGCTGTCCTTTGTCTATTTAATATTTTGAAGGACTTAGAAATCTCTACGAGATATCCGGTATCAACAATGTGTTTGGTAATTGCACTCTGAGAATATTTGCTTCCTTTCAGGCACAGGCTTTTTGCAATATGTTCAGAAAACCACCGGATAGAAGCCCTTCTTTCTGTCCTTCCAATGTACTTGCTCCTGCAAGTGCACTTAAATTCATAAACGCAGTTGAAGGTGACATCAGCAAGGTATTTATCCAGTTTTGAATGGCTTATAGAAGGAGTGGTGCTGTATACTGTTGTGAGTTTTGCTGCCGGGAAGCTTCTATTTATTGCACCTTTCAGTCTCTTGTCAATCTTTTGTGACACTCCATCTCATTTGAATGGGAGACAAATAAACACTTTTTTTCTTTTCTACATACAATTGGGTGTTTTTCTTTCTTATCTGTTTCTCTGCTATACTTTTATATAAATCCCTTAGGGTATCCATTTTCCCTTAGGCATTTCTCGATGAAATCTAATTCTTCTTCGACCTTGTTTGGTAAACATAGCTTCTTGGCTCTGTCGTACGTACAAAGTCCTCCAGGTTTATATAGTATCTCTTCTTCTCTTCTACCACTCAAACATTAAAGTATGTTATTATCATCTATATACCACCATTGTAATTTCAGGTAGGTGTGTGCAGCTGATGAGAACCCCTGTGATATAGAATGACGATATCACATTTTATACTCCAAATTTCGTCTTCCTTTGTTTATCGAAATTTATCAAGGGAACCAAATGTATGAAATATATTATTATTTACAGGCTTTCATCATAAACTGATATCAGTTAGAGAACCATTGGAAAACCCTTTCAGGGAATACTGGACAGCTGTTTCGTCCTAGTTTGGAACTCTTCAGAAGTACACACCCACCGGAGTTCGAACCCAGGACCTTCCGGTTACAAGGCCAGCGAGCTCGTAGACCATTAAGCCACTAGGACATGACCCAATGGTCAGTTCATGAATTCTAACTTCCGCCGATTCACGACATATGGCGACCGCTAGCCAATGTCTTCGGCGAGTATTTGTCCTCACACCCAACTAGCTGCACCCTACTGGTCATGGGCCTTTGGATTGGGTCCCAGTGGCTTAATGGTATACGAGCTCGCCAGCCTTGTAGCCAGAAGGTACTGTGTTCGAATCCCGGTGAGTGCGTAGTGCTGAAGAGTCTCAAACTAGGACGAAACAGCTGTCCAGTATTCCCTGGCAGGTTTTCCAATGGTTCTCTAACTAATGTCAACCCATGGTGAAATCCTGTAAACCAATCAAATCCCTACAAACCAACACTTGTATATTATTATTATGATTATTCTTGTTTTGTTTTTTGATTCGACTACACTTTTTATCATTACTCACTCCACTCCACAGATACTGACTCCTCTTCATCGCTTCTACCATCTGGATGTTGTGTTCCAGCAACAAGTACACATTATTTAATGCAAAATGTTATTTTAACTACACAGATAGCTGCTAGCGCTGCAGCGAATGCAGTCGCCATAGCAGCTGCTGCTTCCGGCGGTGTCGGTGGTAGTGGGTTAAATTTTCTACCAAATACATCACAACGTACTGGTGCTTCAGCTCGACGTGGTCCTGTTAATCCTACTGGTGGTATGAATCAAGTAGTTGGTCCAGCGCTGGCTGCTGCTGTCAATGCAGTTGCTATAGCGACAGGAGCGGCAGCAGCTGCTGCAACTGCCGCTGGAGCTGTAATTACTGCAACTAAACAACACAGTACTACTGCCAGTGGAGCTTTGAATGCGGAGTCAAAAGATGCACTTGGGGGAACAGGAATGTTTACAAATTATGAATTGAAATCAAATGCTGCACCTATGGTAGGTATTGTTTTTTTTAAAAATTTACTCAAGTTTATTCAAGTGTTGGTTTGTAGGGAATTTAGTTGATTGGTTACAGGATTTCATCATGAGCTGATATAAGTTCGAGAACCAATTGGAAAATCTGGGAGTACTGGACAGTTGTTTTTCCCCGTTCTAGTTTGGGACTCTTCATCAGTACGCATCCACCACAACCGGTTTGAACCCAGGACCTTCTTGTTGCAAGGCTAGCGAGCTCGTATACCATTAAGCCACTGAGACCCGATTCTATGGCCAGTCCATGAATTCTAACTTCTGCTCACTAGCGACGTGCCCTATTCAGGTAGGTACGGTTTCTAGTGAGAAGTTGTGACCAGTAGGGTGCAGCAGGTCGGATGTGAGGACGAATACTCGCCGAAGGCATTGGCTAGTGGTCGCGCTATATCGTAAATTGGCAGAAGTTAGAATTCATGGACTGACCATTGGATCAGGTCCCAGTGGCTTAATGGTATACGAGCTCGGTAGCCTTGTAACCAGAAGGTCCTGGATTCGAACCCCTGTGGCGGGTGCTTGCTGCTGAGGAGTTCCAAACTAGGACGAAACAGCTGTCCAGTACTCCATGTGGCTGGTTTTCCAATGGTTCTCTAACTAATGTCAGCTCATGATGAAATCCTGTTACTCAAGTTTGTTGGCTTGCAGGGATTTGGATAATTTCAAGCTTGATCAGCAATATCTGACATCATTTTTAGGGATGTATTGGAAACCAGGGTCTGGCTGACTGGTTTCAACGTAGAGCTTTGCACAAATGTGCAGCAGTTTGAGTCGACACATCCCCTCCTTGTAGCTCACAAAGCAGGAGAAGACAGTAAACACATATTCAAAACAGAGATATGAGGCGAAAACAATAGTAATATGGAAGGGGAATAGAGTTTTGTTGGATATTATAAATCAGAAAGAGTGAATGCATCTGCGCCAGCCATCTGTGAGAATCAGTGAGGTCCTGAGGACCTCAACCACCCAGTCAGGAAGTATACACCTCCCTATTTGACTGTTGTGGATTTCATTTCCAGTTGACCACCACTAGTTAACTCTTTTCCAACCTCATCCATCCTATATCAGTCAGATAACTGTTATGTTGCTGCTGCTGAGTGGTTAATAGTAGTTTTCCCCGTCGCCAAACTGTTATGTACTCGTCGCTAAATTATTGTTATGGACTGGTCGAGAAACTAATAGTCCTGACGCAAGAAGGCGGAAATCAGAAAACCACTAGGTTTGCTATGATACTTCTATTCCCAAACACAAGGAGAAGCAATCAGTGGTATCACACCAAAGTAAGTAAAGTAAGTGTAAGTCAGTAAGTCACACAAATTGTGAATGCGAAATATATATGAATGTGTGTGAACAAATCAATAGACAGTCCTAACATGAATGGCTAATTATAATGGAGTGTCGATCCAAATATACATAGCAAAATATAGCAGACATGTCAACAACCACCATATATGGATATATGTCACCAAGCAACGGACTGTCAACAAACACTCATATTATATATAATATAAGGGGAATATACATTGTTAAAAGAGACAAGTTCATACAAGTGAAATGGTCACAGACTAAGCGAGCAAACAGAAAGAGAGACCAACATACACACACACATAAATATATATGTGGATACATATCAGTAACATCATCCGTGTCATCGAGGAAGGCGATCGGTGGCTAAGTGGTATGCATAACACATGTCCTAACCATCTCTCTCAAACGGCGTAATTTCACAACCTCCTCTTTGATTAATTTCCCCTTCCTAACTAGCAGTCGACCAATGCTTCGTCTCAATATTACTCACCTTATTATACCACTTAATTTGGGATATAGGTTGCAAACATCTGTCGTCAAAGACAGAAAGCTTTTTCATATCCTCCACTTTCAGTCTCCATATCTCACAGACATAAAGGTGAACAGAGAGACACCTGTTACAGATTACACGTTCTTTGATGGATAACTAGATATCACGTCAACTAGGTTAGAGATGACTTAAGTTGTCAAGTACTCAAGGCACTTTTGTATCCGTGCTATGATTAATTTGTCAGCGATCAACACGTTGTGGTGTTGGCTGATGCAACTTCTTTCAACCCAGTTCAACCAGTTCACCACCTCCTTGTCTTTTAGTTAGGAGTCAATGTTGTAATCCAGTCTTATAGCATCATACATGTTACATTTGACGGGAGCAAATCGCATGCCAAATATTCGAAGATTGCTGATACCAGGAAGTACTGAATATATATGTTTTTTATCCTTAGGGACAGTCAAAGGTGTGCGAATTGTTGAAGAATCCCGACTTATTGTCTGTCGACATAGAATTTTGCACCGATGTGCGGCAGTTCAAGTCGCCACACTCCATGAAACACACAAAGCAAGAGAAGAAAGTAGAAGAAATGCATAATGGAGACAGTTAACAGAGGTGTGAGACAAAGGAATCGAAATAACGAAGTACAATATAGTTTCATCAGAAATCATAAGTTACAAGGAGTGGATGCGTCTGCGCCATTGAGAACCAGGATTTTGAGCCATATCACTGATTGTCTCCAGCCTTCATTGGTGTTTACCGTCCCGAAAAACCCAACCAGGAACTCTTCACCTTCCTACATGACTGGTCGGCTTGAACTAACTGTTGTAGATTTCACTGACTGGTTGGGCCATGTTTTGGTTTGACCGCCGCTGGCTCTTTTCCAGCCTGACCCTATGTCAGCTAACATTGCCTGTTGGTCGAGGAAGGCGATGACTAGGCATACGTAACAAATGTTCTGACCATCTCAGTCAATGTAATTTCATAGCCTCATCTATTGATTTACCCTCCTTACCTAGCACTCACTCGATCGATGCCTAACCTCAGTATTGCTCACCTTATTATACCACTTCACATGGGAGATAGAGGGCAGTCACCTATTATCAAAGACATTCCTCCAAGTTTTTCATGTCTTCCACTCTCAGTGGCCAGGTCTCACTCACAGCCATAAAGGAGGACGAAGCGAACTGCTGGGCAGTACACCCGCCCTTTGGTCGATAACCAGCCGGATATCACGCCTACTAAGCCAGAGATGGAGTAAACTGGCATATTCAAATCTAGCCCTCTGTATCCGTGTTGAGATTCCATCAGAGATCAACCCGTTGGCATTAGATTATACAACTCCCCAAATAAGTGAAGCGGTCAACGTGCTCTCCAGTCTTGTTACATCATCTTACATTTGGCGGGAGCGAATCGCATGCCAAACATTCGTAGAATACTCACAGCTCATGGTGTTCAGAAGACTCAGTTTCATGTTGTCAGCGTCCTCGCCTAGAAGGACTATATCATCTGCATATTCTAAGTCAACGAGATTATTCCCTCCCTGGTAGCAAGTCAATCCCTGAGTCGCTGAAGTGAGTTAGGGTTAAGTCCATTGGTGGTACATCTATGATGAAATTGAATAAAAATGGGGAAAATGCGCATCCCTTATGGACATCACTAGTCGTCACCACTTCAGATGACAACTCGCCATAAGCCCTCACCTGGCTGCTTGAGTTCCAGCAGAGTACCTTGACCTCCGGAGTTATTACGAAACAGGTGTCCAGTACCTTCTTGGTTTTCAGTTGTTCTCCTGATTAAGCTTAGAATTTTTCAAATTATTTTCATTCTATTGTGTCATTTTTCATCTTGAAGAGATGGCAAATTTCTTTTTTACCACTGCGTACAAATGGCTTATTATTATTCTTATTATTATTTTTCTCAAAACTTTAGCATGATTTAGCTGCAATCTCTGAAGGTTTTGGAAATTTAAATTTTGGTGGTTTCAATCAAGATTTCTGTTTCAATAATAACATCAACATGAACATCAACAACAACAATAATAATAATAATAACTACTTTAATTTCCCTCCTGGTGGTTTTCTCCCGCTGACATATATTCCCCCAAATGTAATGCCTTTAATCACTTCAAAGATAACTGGTTATGATCATCAGTATTCATCCGCAGGTGGTGCTCAACTTTGGAATGAATTTGGCATGTCTTTGAGTAGAATGCATGAGAATTCATCAACTGCTCAATGGACAGAACCAACACCCGTGATTATTGCTTTATTCACAACACTTGGTCGATTAGCTGCTGTTGCACCTCGTTCTATTTATTCTTTTATGGATGAATTTATACCAGTCTTAGCTTATATGATGCAGGATACATCGTGTTTTTTAAAACGATCAGTAAGTTTATGCATATGATTATTCAGTATATTATTATTATTTATTATTATTTGTCTGTCTGTCTGTTTTCGACATAGAACTTTGCACAAATGTGCGGAAGTTCAAGTCGCCACATTCCGTGTAGCACGCGAAGCAAGAGAAGAAAGTACAAGAAAAGCATAATAGAAACAGTGAGCAGAGGTGTGAGACAAAGGAGTAGTAATAACGAAGAAAACAAAACAGTTTCATTGAAGATCATAAGTCACAGGGAGTGGATGCATCTGCGCCACCGAGAACGGTTTTGAGCCATGTCACCAATTGTTTCCAACCATAGATTTTTACCGTCCCGAGGACCCCAGCCTGGAAGTCTACACCTTCCTACGTGGCTAAGACTAACTGTTGTGGATCTCATTGACTGGTTCCAAGTTTTTCTTTGACCGCCGCTAGCTTTTTTCCGGCCTGACCCTATATCCGCTAACATTGCTCGTCGAGGGAGGCGATGGCTTGGCATACGTAACATATGTCCTAACCATCTCAGTCTTTGTAACTTCACGACTTCGTCGATTGATTTCCCCTGTTTACCTAGTACTCGACGCCTAACTTCAATGTTGCTCACCTTATTATGCCACTTTACACGGGAAATAGAACGCAGGCACCAATGATCAAAGACAGCTAGTCTTTTCATGTCTTCCACTCTCAGTGACCAGGTCTCACAACCATAAAGGAGGACGGAGCGGACTGATGAGCAGTACACCCGCCCTTTGGTCGATAGTCGAACATCTCGTCTACGCCAGAGTCGGCGTAAACTAACAAATGCGAAACGAGCCCCTTGTATTCGTACTGAGATTTCGTCAGAGATCAGCCCGTTGGGGCTGATGGTACTTCCCAAATAAGTGAAGCGGTCAACGTGCTCTACCACTTCACTTCCTATTTTTAAACTAGGCGTCGATGTAGTCCAGTCCTGTAACATCATCTTGCATTTGGCGGGAGCGAATCGCATGCCAAACATTCGTAGATTGCGGCTCAAGGTGTTTAGAAGACTCTGCATTTCGTCAGCGTCTTCGCCTAGAAGGACTATATCGTCTGCATATTCTAAGTCAACGAGATTATTCCCCGGTAGCAAGTCAATCCCTGAGTCGCTGAAGTCACTTAGGGTTAAGTCCATTAACACATCTATGATGAAGTTGAATAGAAAAGGGGATAATGGGCATCCTTGACGGACACCACTAGTTGTCACCAGTTCAGATGACAGCTCGCCGTAAGCCCTCACCTGGCTGTATGAGTACGAGTAGAGTGCCTTAATCAGTGCAATATATTTTCTGGAATTCCCTTTACAGCCAAGCATCTCCAGAGAACTTCTCGATCGACAGAGTCTAATGCTGCCTTTAGGTCAAGAAATATAATAACTGTTGGACGCCGGTAGGAATTCCTATGTTCTAGAATCTGTCGGAGGGTGAAGATATGATCAATGCACCCTCTTCCTGGTCTAAAGCCTGCCTGGCTCTCTCGTGTTTGTGCCTCCCGAGCACCACTCAGTCTACGCATGATTATTGAGCCTAAGACTTTAGATACTATATTAGTCAAGCTAATCCCTCTGTGATTATCACAGGAAGACTTGTCTCCCTTCTTGTATATGGGGATAATCAGTGACTTACACCAACCCGATGGGACTTCTTCTGATTCCCAGACGCTGCCTAGTACCTCAGTTAATCCGGACAGTAAGCTGTCTCCACCGTACTTAAATACCTCTGGAGTCATTCCATCAGGTCCCGCTGCTTTGCCTAGTTTCAGATTGGTGACAGCTTTAGTAACCTCAGTTAGTGACGGAGGACCTGTGTTTATATCCCATTCAGGGAGATGTTGGATGCTCGGAAGGTTGAGCGTGGCTGTGGGCAAATTAAACTGCTCCTCATAATGCTCTTTCCAACGATCCAGTCGTCTATCCTGGGAGCTAATTATAGTGCCATTTTTTTCCGAGATTGTTTCACTGATGATTTGTCTTCTCCGAAATTTATTATTATTTACTTTAATTCCGAGAGGAACATAGGTCTTCAGCCGCCCACGTCTCCATTGCGTTCGGTTCTCTGCTTAAGTTTTCACCTGGCTCCAAGTCTGCCTACATGCTTTCATCTTCGCTTCGCATGACCTCCTGCTCCATGTCACCCTCACACTGATGACCGACTCGCCGCTTCCCTTTCAGAGGGTTCCACTCGAGCAATGGCTTGTCTAGTGATATCACTTGATGGTTTCCTCAGAGTATGACCTCCAATTCATCTCACTGAGCTGAACTCAATATTAAGGCTTACTCGATATACTCACTACTTGTGTTGTTGAGGTAGTAATTTACCTCCTACCTAATATATATATATATATATATATATATATATATATATATATATATTGTGAGTCTGAAATGATGTTAGATGGTTGAACGCATTCGTCAGAAAGCTTCAACCTAAGTTTCGTGTTTGTGTGGTATTCATCAGCTAGGTGTGTGTATATCTTCATTCTTGAAGAAACTGATATCTCCTTTTTGGTAGTCAAACATGCTTCACCCGACTGCTAATGTCAGAGAAAGTTGCCCCCAAGAGCTTATTCTTCTTCAGGCTCACTATATTTTAACCTCATATCTAGGACTGTAACAGATGTTTGTGTGTGTGCGTTGATTGGTCACTCTGTCTATAGGGATTGCCAATGTTTTGAGCATACTTACTAGCCTAGTCCGTAGTTCTTGTTGTATGACATACTTCCTTTCTGGTTGTTTTCAAATCTTTAAATTTAAAACAATTAGTTCCCTTTATGAATTTAGATAAAGCAATAAGAAGGAAGACGTAATTTGTCTGAATCGTGTAATGTATTTGCTCTACACATTTCGAACAATCTGATCAAACTCCACGGACTTGTCATAGAAATATATAGAAAATCAAAACAAGTGATTCAGCGAAGAGACTCTTTTCAACGAATTTATCATCAAGCTGTACAGTCGTATATATATGGTTTATCAGAAGTTATATCCGGTGAGGGAATTGAATCTTAGGTGTGTATACATAAAATAATAATAATAATCATATGAAGTTCAATTAAAACTAAAATGTTTGTGATTATAATCGTAGTTAAATGTCAAGTGGCAAAGCAGATTAATGTCATATATAGAATAATTCATAGGAGGGATAGAACTTGAAAAAGGATGTGCAATTATAGGATTAGTAGGCAAATCGAATAAAACAAAAACGTTACGTAATATTGTGTGAAATTTAATAGCATAGAATTTATCGTTGTAAAAAAGAATTGATTTAGAATGACAAGTGGAATATGTGAAATAATACCAGGGACAGTTCAAAGTGAGAATAGTAATAATAAATAATAATAGAAATATATATGAAATTAATAAAGAGGTAAGAGGTGAGCAAAATAGACTTAGGTCAAGTTAAAAGGACATATTCAAGGTCAAAATAACAATGAAGACCACTAAACCAAATAGCAGAGGTAATAGTACATCTGCTATGGTATCAAAACAAAATTTACCAAGGAAGGTTTAATGTGATGACAAATTGTTTTTGAACGCATAAAGGTGGCTTGAACTTCCTAATCACACTTGGGCTTCCACAAACTTTAGGATACGCCCCAAACACGTTTTATAGATAGATTTAAAAGATCTGTTAACATCAATTTTATGACCTGTCTCTATAAAATGTTTCGCAATAGAAGAGCTAGGTCTCCTGTTCTCACCGTTAATAGGTTCTGATGATTCCATTTGTTTCTGGAGCCATTTAGGAATATGCTCTGAAGCCAGCCCTTACTTGCAGAGATCGATGAGTCCTCCCTATGTATGTGTGTCCACACGTACATTCAAATTGGTAAATACAGTGGGATGTGACGTCATTTTTCGCATGTTCGAAGGGCTTAGATAGATATAATGGCTTTACATTCTCTAATATTATGATATTAGCTGCATAAAAAGTCTTTTTAACAGCAGCGTTCAGCCTTTGTCTAGTTATCAAGCTGCTTTGATGTCCCATATAGGGTAGCTTGATGTACACGTCTTTCTTAGGGGCGAGTTGGAGAGTGGGTCTTGGTGTTCTGACTACTTTATATCTCCTGATGAACTTTTCTGGATAATTGTTATCAACCAGAGTTTGTGTCAACTTTCTTTCTTCTTCATCGAGTGTCTTCAGTGCATATTCGTCGGATTCTACTGAAGAGGCACCTCACTTACTAAGCCTCTTTTGTACCGAATAGGGCAGAAACTGTGGTAATTAAGATACTGTCCTGTCCAGGTAGGTTTTCTATAAATAGATCTTTTTATTGACCCATCAAGCCGTCGACTAAGCAATATGTCTAGGAAAGATAAACAATTATCTTCCTCTTCTACAGATGTAAGTGATATGCTATTCTGAACTTCATTCATTCGATTTAAAATTGAGGTGGCAGAACAAGGCTTATCACTGATGACTACGATATCATCTACATACCTTCTATAAAGTGGCACATTTTCGATTAAATCTTCCGATAAATTCTCAATGTACGACATATAAATATCTGCTAAAAGGGGCCCTAACGGACTGCCCATAGCAACACCATCAACTTGGCGGAAACAATCGCCTTCAAATGTAAACCTAACATTGTTAGTACATAGAAGTAATAAATCCTTTAAGTAAGATATAGGGAACGGGATGAAAAAATTGTTTGTGGAAATATAATCACACAAAATGTCAACTGTTTTGATCAAAGGCACATTAGTGAATAACGAGTTTACATCAAAAGAGTACATATTCTTGTTCATAATATTAATATTACTATCATCAAGAACATCAACCAATTCAAATGTATCTTTTAACACATACTTACAGAATTGTGTTTTGACTGGATTCAATAATTCCACTAACCATTTAGCAAGTTTATGCGTTGGGGATTTGCACATTGACAATATAGGACGTAGAGGATTATTGGGTTTATGTATTTTTGGCAACCCATACATATGTGGGAATTTACAATCTGACGGTTTTAATGAGTCAAGTTTATCTTTACTTATAGCATTTAGGCCATGAAGCTTCAGTAGATTAGCTGTCACTGTGCCCTGCAACAACTGAATATCTTCTGAGGAGGGATCACGACTAAATTTGCTCTTATCATCAAGAATAGACATCATTTTAGATTTGTAGTCACTTTTATTCATAATGACGACTCCAGAACCTTTATCAGGTTTAGTAATAATTATATTAGAATTTTCCCGTAGCTCTTTCAAGGCTTTGAAATGTTGGGAATTTAAAATACTCTTCTCCTTTGGGTTGTTGTTTAAAAACTGGTGAGCTATATCCACCATCTTGGCCTTAAACCAACCCCGATCTTCATCGGATGTTGCGGTAAGAGGTTTGAGTTGGTCATATAAGTTTTCAAACTCAGCATGGATGGCTAAATCCGTAAATTGCGTGCGAGGAACACAAAATTTGAGTCCAAGGGATAAAGCTTCTTTCTGATGAGTAGATAGAGTAATATCAGAAAGATTTGTAACGTACTTATCAGGATTCACCGGGAAGACATCTACGCGGTTTCGATCATCGATTGAACTCTTCAATTTATTTTGTATATTCGTCTTCGTTTTCTGAGTAACGTCTTTACAAAACTGAAGAAATTTCATGTGGCATATTATTGATAATTCAGATAAAATAAGCGACGCATCGGTATGAAGAACAAGTAGTCCTTGTAAGGTTTGTTTAACATTTTCGATATGTGACTTTGTAAGACGAACAAGATTAGAGATATTTGGTTGTAATTTACTGAATTTCAAAGTTTTATAAAATTGCCTCGGGAAAGAATGATTTTTAATACATAATTCATAAAATTCCAACGTGTTACGTTCGACGATAATTTTACACTTAAGGTTAACAATTTCGTTTCCGAGGCAATTTTATAAAACTTTGAAATCCAGTAAATTACATTCATTTGTTAAGCTGTCTAGTTGTTCGCCCTATACAGCTCTCTCCACAAGAGCAACTAAATTTATAGATACACATAGAAATGGCACAGCTAGCTAGGTAGCTTGTCTTTCACTTGAGCAATCATAATTGGCCGGCTGGATGTTGTTGTTGATGTTGTTGTTTTGTCAATCCTTATCATCGTGTCTTCTTCCTTACATACAGATTGCTGTCTGGACGTTAACAAAACTAGTCTCGCATACTGGTTATGTTGTTACACCGTATAAGCGGTATCCTCAATTATTGAATATCCTTTTGGGTATGTTAAAACGTGAAGAAATCAAGTGTATTAGACAAGAGGTAAGCACGTTTTATTTTTTCTATTTTTATTTTTTTGTCATCTTTACACTTAGATTGATTTATATGTAATTGGTGGATGGTGGCTAGCAGTGGAATCCAGGATAAAGCGCATTTCGTCCTATTTGGGACTCGTCAGCTGGATGTACCTGCATTTCTCAGTGAGTGATGATCTTCCCACCGAGGCTCGAGCCCAGTACCCATAGTTTCAAACGCCAAATCGTTATCCACTAGACCACTTGGGCCACGAGAGCCACCTCTTGTGCAACGGGTCATATTAATTATTGAATTGAATTTTTGATTTTCCCGTCGATTGATTGGACCGAAATGTTCGGTCTCAGGTTGACATGTCGGCTTCTTGTGCAGATGCTTCGACGATGTCTGGGGATTTGATTTGTATACAATTTGTATACACTTCGGTCCAATCAATCGACGGAAAAATCAAAAATTCACTTCAATGGGTTGATTTATCCCTGTAATATTAACGTTTATTTTAACTCCATTCAAGTACAATTCATTACTTGCTCATAATCACATATCAAGGCACTAACTATTCACACAACTTTCTTGCTGCATTTATATAAATGGGTAAAAATTTATGATTAGACATACAATAAGGAGGGAATATAAGTGTAAAACTTGTGCAACGTGGTGGTAGAGTATAACTCCATTATGGATAAGATTTTATTATTTGATAAACTGTCACACATTGGACTGTTACACGGATGACCACAGATGACCACACGTTTCGAGCACAATTCATTACTGTTCATAATCTCATATCAAGTCGCTCACTCACACAACTTTTTTCCTTCATTTATATACATGAACGAAATTGATGATTAGACATTTGAATAAAATTCAATATGAGATAATGTACATTCAGGAATAATGATAGGAGTGTTATTGTTCAATTACAATCAGATGGGGAATAAGACGAGTGCTTTATAGTGAAAATAAATAAATAACTTGTTAGAATGCTGTGATGTGCTTGAATTGAATTGAAATAGAATTTTAAGGTTATTTATTATCCTCCTGTGATTTGATTGACTGATGGGAATAATATCTTCCATATTTCTGGTATTTGCCTTGAGTCATTACAGTTGCATGTGTTGGGTGTGTAGATTCCATGATCCAGGTTGGATTCAGTAATCAACCTCTCTCTCTCTCTCTCTCTCTCCACCTACATAGATTACATCTTAGAATCTTAAGCCTTTCCCACCGTATGGTATGGTTGTGTGTTAATGCATGCAGTGCAATGTGGTGCTGAGCTTCTTTCTAAATTACTTATTTTCGTGGATGGGATCAATCATTCTAATCTTAGCTAAATTCTTATGTTCTGATAAAAAATCCCACTAACCCCGATCTACCAATTTTGACCTATGTATTTGATCTCACTCACAGACATTGCAAGGTATTTTGTTTAATTTAATAATGTATTCAAGTTACATTATAACATTCTAGCAAGTTAAAAAAAACACATCTTACTTCCAATCTTATTGTATTTGATTCATGACACTAATATTATTATTTCTCACTTTATCGTACTTTATCTTATCTTAATTGATTTTATTCGAATGTCTTACCCCTGTAATCACTTCGAACGCCTCGTTGAGTTTTCCATTGTGAATCACTTGATATTTGTGGCATATTTTTATATAGCTATTGAATGATGTTGGGGTATAGTTTCCAAATTATTTCTCGGTCAACACTGTCTGTTGAAGGCCTTTCCGAAGTCGATGAAGTGAAGGTACCGTGTTACTCCATAGGTTTGTGATAACTAACGGGTTGTTGAATATGAAAAGAGAACAAATCCCCTACAGTTTTTCCTCATTTCTCTGAAGAATTGCACAGCATTTTGTTGACAGTTAATGAAATATATGCACAAGTTCATGTAGTGTTTATCTGATATAGTTTGGATGATTAAAATAACAAAGAAACACAGAAAAGCTTAATCAGCATTTTGAGATGGATGGAATTTCTGGGTAGCCCATTGATTGATTTTAGCTGACCTCCATAACTGTCCAAACTAGTGAGTTCAATGGTCAACGGGCTAGTCTCAGTACTTAAAAGTCCTGGATTCTATGACTGGTGTTGTCATGGATTGGATGGGCCTCCTGCTGATGAAGAGTCACAAAGACAAATGAAACAGATTCCTAATATACCTCCTAGATCTCAATAACTGCCTTACTGATGTTATTCAGGGATTTTACCTAATACCCGTCAAATCCCTGCAAACCAACACTTGAAAATTTTTAATGAACCGAAAGGGTAGAGGTTAGCTGCGAGAAATTAGGTCATCAGACGGAAAAGCAAAGTTAAGAGATTGAGTTACTACGAGGGTAAAGAAAGACTGATAACTGAGCTAAAATTCTGTATTTCTTGTCTGACTTATTTCTGTGTGTGGATATATCTTTTGTTTTCTTTATTATTATTTTAGGTATTACGAGCTCTTGGTGTTCTTGGTGCTTTGGATCCATTTAAATTTAAACTATATTCCGGTCAAGTGGATACATACAGTGATACAGGAATCGCTGTCAGTCATCATGAAGTTGCTGAACGTAAAGACGGTAAGTGTTTGTGTGTGTGTATATATGTATTTCTCAGCGCTTTAATGTAAAAATCTCACCTGTATATTTCATTGTGTTGAATTCGTAGTGTAGTAGTTGCAACTTACCGGCTTAAACGGTAAATCACCATTGATTGGGTAGTATTGGATAGTATTCCCGGCCATCATCACATGATAGTCCTGTTTTGTGTAGCTGAGTTCTTACGAAACTTGGACTTAGTCTTTTTTTCGACACATCTATTTATACTTAGAAGAATGTATGGTGGTCTATTATTGAATAATAGGGGGTGACATAATTGCTGTAATTAATCATAAGTGGCTTTAGAGGTGAAAATTAAAAGTTGTAAATTACATGGTACTTGACGGAACAAAGATAGAAGTTAGAAAAGGTTAAAATTGCTCTTGAGTGAGAATAAAGTTATTAGGGTGTCAATTTAACAAGTGTGAAGAAGGTGTGAAAATATATGAAATTGATAATAGTGAATTAATTATTAAAGCAAAAGCAAACTAAAAGTAAAATTAAAGATTAAGAACAAAATCAAAAATATTTTTTAACAGGGAAGGATAAGTGAAGAGGTTAAGACCAAGGTAGAATAAGAGACTGGACAAACTTTTTCTGTATACAGAGATCAGGGTTGTATTGATGTATTGCCAGCGCCTCCGCCATACACAAAAGCCGGAACCTGACGCCTTTTGTACAATTTGGCTTCACTTTGTAGATGATGTTGAAAGACGACTCTGGTGGAGCTACGTGGCCTGAGTTCACCAAATGCTCGAGAATTGAGCTAGTAATTGTCTTGCATTGTCCCTTTGCTAACCATGCCGGATAATGTTCAGAGATGCGTTTGGAAAGCGTGCGCTTTGTGCGTGTGTTAAATTGACACCCTAATAACTTTATTCTCACTCAAGAGCAATTTTAACCTTTTCTAACTTCTATCTTTGTTCCGTCAAGTACCATGTAATTTACAACTTTTAATTTTCACCTCTAAAGCCACTTATGATTAATTACATCTATTTATATTTACATAGATTAACTTACAACTGCAGACAAATTAATTTCTGAATTAGATAGTTGGAAGCGATCGGCAGTAAGCGGCCTGGTCCTAGCTAGGTTTAGCGCTTATATTTGTACTCATCAGCAAGGCATATTGAAGTCATCCACACTCATCCGCAGATGTGTAAAGATTCTTTGTTTATCATTCAGATTCTAAAAGTCCTTAATACTCGTTAAATCATATTTGCAATGTGAAAATTAGTTCACAATCGACAAATTACAATGAGATGACTTCGATATGGTTAGCAAGGAAGTACTAGATAATGTTAATGGTGTCGGGAATACCCATATTGACAAAGTTCAACAATAGCGTCTCAGGAGTGCGAACGCTCACTAGTAGCGACCTTCAGCTGACCATTCACAAAAATGAGGAATGTTGTTTGCTCAAGAAATGATGTATATATTGACAAGAAAACGCTTGAGAACGCATTGAACAGGTTATCTTTCTCTGACATGGCTTAAAAATACAGCCCCTAGTTGTAACGAGGAGTACCAGTTGCTAAGTTAGACTAGTTTCTGTACATGTGTATTCACCGAGATGACTACAGAGGAACTGTTTTCGTCAATCGCTTATCTCTCTCTCATCCTGTTTACAGTCTTCCAAAAAAGCCGTCGGTTGAATTATTACGGTTTCCAGCAAGAGGGTCGACCACTTCTTACCAAGAAAACATGGATAATAAAACCAATTAAAATAAATGACATCAACTATAAATCTCTCCCTAATAATAACCATAAGCTTAATCCTGACCCTAACCTTAATCCTAACCCTAGTCATAACCCTTATCCAAACCGTAGTTCTAACCCTAATACTTACCTTAATCCTAATCCTAACTCTAACGAGTTATTAACACATTGTCCAAACAGTACTTAAAAATGTGATTTGGGTCAAATTTGCTCCTAAGTTGATGAATAGCGTTGATATTTCAGCTATGATAGTGACAGATGCCGTTCAAGGTCATGGGAGCGTTCACACTCCTGGGATGCTATTGTTGAACTTCGCCTTAGTATTTAGGGTCATGTACCTTATCATTCGTCATCGAATTATTCTCTTACCCATACATCTGTGTCTACTGCTCTCTATTTTTATGTATGCTTTTCTGAAATTCGGCAATCTGAATCGATATCCATAGGTGTCTGTCCTTCGTAATTCGGTTCGACAGTCTCATTGGCCACTCATAACAATGTTAATTTTAGTATTTTCATTCTGTTTTGCTTTATCAGTAATAATATAAATAAATTAATTTTTGATTATAGCTTGATTCCACACCGTAGTTTTGGTGAAAAGTATGGAATTTTCAGTATGTGATATATCGGTAGACCAAATTATGCTGGCCGACAATTGATATAAGGTGTGCGTCGGCAGGGGATCCAACCTTGGACCATGTGCATAGTAGGCATATAATAGGTCCTAACCGCTGTGCCACCGACGCAAATAATAATAATAGTAGTAGTATTAGCTTCATTCCCAACAGTTCTTTTGGTTCAAATATGGAATTTTCAGCATACAGTAAGTAGTACAGTATAACATCTAATTTTCTCATTACAGAGGTAATAATTAAAACAGGCCATTTTACATTGCTAATACTGTTCAATAAGAAAATGAATGTAAAATTAAATCAAGTGAAAATATTACCCACAATGTAACAATGAAGACTTCCTCAATAACTTGATAATTTCCTGTCTTACACTTTTCTAACCACATAAAATGTGTGCCTACCAAAGAAGGTTTTGTAGAGTTTTTGTACTTAATTGTCTGAGCATACGGTTGTAGTTCACCTACCCAGTCTGTCTGTCTGTCTGTTTTTGACATAGAACTTTGCACAAATGTGCGGAAGTTCAAGTCGCCACACTCCGTGTAGCACGCGAAGCAAGAGAAGAAAGTACAAGTACCCAGTGAGATGCAGCAAGGCGACAGAGTTGTGTGTAGAGAGAATAATATTTGCTAATTTATTTCGGGAGTCCATGTGTTTCTCTACAGTAGTATTAACGAGTTGGTTTAGCGATACACCCACTCTACTGACGGCTTTTAGTGCTCTAAACAGTATAATAAAGTCTTTCTTAAGTAGCCTGGAAAAGATTAAGTTGTGCGGAAACAGTAAAGAAGAAGTATAAACAAAATACAAGAATTAACAAACTCTAAGAGTAGAAACACAATGATACTAGATCGTTTTACTTACTTACTGCCTTACATTTACCATCAGACGAAGTATCCGTCTGAAAACTAAGATGATGTCGGAAGACCAAGCGCGCTATGATCAGAGGAAATACACAATCCAAGGTATTCAACTTCAGTGACATATCTATGTGCTAGTGAAACTGTGCGAATTAAACCAGTTCACGCAAGTCACGCTTCCGTGTCTGAAAGATGGTGTGTAGACATCTAAAATTATCTCATTCTGTTGTTTGTTTTTTCTATTTCATTCTTTCCTTCTTTTGTTTTTTTTTAGTCGACATCACTCAATCAGAGCTAGTCATCAATCTATCCTGGGAAAGTCGTGATGTTTTCTTCTCTGTTTGTGCCCTGTCCGCTTTAATACATTCTCTAAGAGATCCTGCACTTCATACACAATACGGGAGTATTGTACATACAATTGTCTATGTGTTGAAATTATTGGGTCCACGTGCAGCCTATTATCTACGTCAATTGATTCCAGATTATTTTCGGTGTTTAGAAAATACACGTGATGCACGCGTAAGCTTATTTCAACATTATTGTTCTTTTCTTTCATTTTTTTCTCATTTTTATTGTGTCATGTATAACATGTTAGTTTGTTTATTAGATGTATCTCACAGTCAATTAAACAGTATTATCTACTGCATGACACAGTTTCGAACAAAATTGATTTATTGTTCATAATCATTTCATCATCAATTATAATCACATAACTTCGAAACTTTAGTTTCATAGTTTTCTTTGTTCTCTTCTAATTGTCGTCGTATGGGTAACAGAATTTTCCAGATATCTGGGTGGACAGGTGTTGAATCATACTCCTATTACACGTGTACTCTCTTCAGTTGATTCGATAAATAAAGCCTCAGTCGTCAGTCTCTCCCTCCACCCTGTTAGTTGTATTAGATTTTAAAACTGTCATCTTATCCTACCCAGTCTATTGTATGGTTGTATGTAATTGCATGCGGTGTAGTGCTATAGCTGAACTATTCTCTAGATTTCGTATCTTATTCGGGTCAATTAATCTAGATTTCGCTGCTAGGTTTTTATGTTCGGCTAGTCTGACCTACTGCCCTTGTTCTACTAGTTTGACCTATGTATCTGACCCGACAATCATTCCAGCCGGGTATTAGATAAACTAAATTGTTTTGTTGTAAAGGCTACATAGGATCCTTTAACCGACAAAGCTTGTTTCTAATTGAGTTTGTTGGTTTGAATACCAGTCACTTTTATTCCTGCCTGCCTTGATAAGAAATCTGCGTAAGGTTTCCAAGGTTCCTTCCTTGTATGGAATTACTACTGATGATTTAGATTCCTTATTGTTGATGTCGTCATTAGTATTGTTATTATTATTATTATCATTGTGTATCGAATCAACTGCAAATACATGTAATAGGGATGATTCAACACCTGTCCAATCGGATATCTGAAAAATCCTACTACCCCAACGACGACAAAATAGGAGAGAACAAAGGAAACTATAAAACTCAAGTTTCAAAGTCGTGTGATTATAATTGATGAAGTGATTATGAACAATAGTAAATTTTGTTTGAAACATTGTCATCCAGTAAATAATACTGTTTCTTTGACTGTGTGATACATCTAATAAACAAACTAATATGGAATTACTTCCTACCACACAGTGCCCAAGTTTTACACATATATTAATATGCTATGTGTATTTTCGGTTTAAACTACTTGAAATTCCCCCATTTGAGTCGTATAAAAGAAAAAGAAAGGCGTTTAGTGAAGAGAGTTACTCTCATCTTTTAGATGATATCACTGTCAAGCTGTATAATTGCGTATAAGGTGAATTGTCTTAACCACACAACCAATATTTCGAAAGATACGTCATTAGAATTGTAAACTGTTCAAATAACAAATTACGTAATGCTGGAAGCTTTAATTTAATTTTTAATTTTAATTTTTGACTACAGCTTGATTTCATACTGTATTTCTGGTACAAGTATGAAATTTTCAGCATGGATATAGGTAGACCAAATTTTGCAGGCCGACCATAGATATCAGGTGTGCGTGGGCAAGGGATCGAACCTCGGACCGGACCATGTTCATGGTCGGCGAGAGTCCTAACCACTATACCGCCGACTCACAGTGGCAATGGGTCGAAATCTAGAATTATATTCAAATGATTAATTCGAGTGACTCAATATAATTGATGGGGTTGAGTAGAATTCACTTGATATTCGAAGCAGAGTCGAGTTAACAACAGCGGTAACAAGGGGATAGACATTTATAAGAATAAAACTTGTGCACTGTGTGTGGTAGAGTGTAATTCCACTATGGGCAAATTTTGTTTTGATAAAGTCTCACAGTGTTATACAGTAATGTTTACTGATGACGTTTCGAGCACATATCCAGCGGATATGATTATGAGCAATAAATTGTGCTCGAAACGTTATCAGTAAACATTACTGTATAACACTGTGAGACTTTATCAAAACAAAATTTACCCATAATAGACATTTAATAGCGCCTTGGGGGGGGAGAGAGAGAGAGAAAATATTGTATAATTAAGAAAGCAAAAAAAAATTACCTATTTGGTATTATTACTGATCGGAACCACTGTAAATATGATGACTGAATAAATTCCTCTTGTATGCAGACTTCAGGATTAAATAGGAGTTCGATCCCAGTGTGGTGAGAGCAGGCTGCTAGCCGATTGGTTGACACTAAGCTACGTCAATATGGGCCGTGAGAAAATATGAACAAGGCTGAGTCAACAACCAATCACAGCAAAGTTAACGTGGCAAAATATGATTCGCAGATAGAGAACTCTATTTGTCAAGGAATCCCGAAACAACCAATCAGAAGCCTGCGTTTGTCTGCCTAACTTCTGATAAACAACCAATCAGATGACTGCGCTTGTCTATAATAATGTATGTGAAATATGTATAAATACGTGTTGATTTTCATAATAAAACGATCTGTTGCCTGGCCCTTGTCTTCTGTTGTTACACCAGGACCTACCGGTTACCAGGTAAGTCCTTATACCACTCAGCCATGGGTAATTGAATCGCGTCGCAGTGGTTGAATAGTGCACGAGTTTGCCTGGTAACCGGAAGGTCCTGGGTTCGAACCCCTTTAGTGAGTGCGCTTACTGTCGATGATTCCCGAAACTAGGCTGACAAAACAGCTGTCCAGTACTCCCTGCTGGTTTTCAATTAGTCTTTATTATTTCTTTTGTATCATGCCTTTTTGTAATTTATCGCGCATAATTCTAATACTTGTATTACAATTTTTTTCACTAATTTCTGTATTGTATCGATCTCAAGTTACAAGAATTTCTTATCCGTCAATTGGGTAGTGTAATGACAATTGTACGATTGCATACAAAAGAATTTGCTCATGAAGTTGTTGATTTATTAATAACACATTGGTGGATAGCTCCAAATGTTCAACGTGCATGCATTGCTTTACTTAGTCCAATGTCATCTGTTTTGGGTGCTGAATTTCGCACCTATCTAACACGTCTTATTCCAATAATTTTGAGAACATTTCATCATGAATCGAATGAGTTGAATTTAATTGAGGTAAGTGGAACAAAAACAAAAGCATTTCCTTTATTCCATTTCCATTTTTGCATTTCATTTCGAGAATTATGATTTTTCTTTCTTTGTGTTCCACGCAGAGGCTTTGAAGTTTTGATAGCAATGGTGCTAGTCGAATGTATTGTACTATTAATAAAATACCATAAGCCCGGGTTACCCCATACAACGACCAATAGTAGATTTCAGAAATATTCCTACTTATGAATTATTAAAACACTTAGCTCTAATATTATGTGTCCTATTCGAAATCGTTCAAACTCTAGAACTAACTAACTAATTCATATGAGATGAAAAATAAACTAAGTGACATTCAACTAGAGAATGATGAAAGAATGTTTAGTTTTGATATAACTAGTCTTTATGCAAATATACCAATCAATCAGTATGGCCTTAGAAGCAGTTAAATAAGAACTAACTGCGGATCCTGAAGCTACTCATAGGATGGAGCTGCCCATTGAGGAAATTATTTTAAGAATTCAGTTATCTTTAAATTCCAAGGTAAAATATATAGACAAAAAGAAGGTGTAGCAACGGGATCATCAATATCCTCTATTATAGGAGACATATTTACAGACAACTGGGAAAGTAGTGCGCTTAATACGTTTAATCTTACTCCAAAAATATGGTGGAGATATGTGAATGACACTTTGATTCACAGTATTAAAAACAGAACATATATCTCTAGCTTCTTCGCACATATAAATTCACTAGTAGAGGGAATAAAATTCACATTTAAATCGGAAAATCTTCTTCTTTACTTCGGCTATCTCCTACGGGAGGATGAGCCGGCTTCATGAACCATGAAGTTTCATGGGAATTCGGTACGAGTGATGTCCCCAGAATCGCTCGGCCTTTTGTTTAAGAGTGCAGCTCTAGCCTTTACACAACCAAGTGTGACCTACAATGTAGTAGGAGTGGAGTAGGAAGTCCACTATCCATTGGCAGCCGGTGACCGGAGCCCGGTTCATACGCCTTTTTGAATGGGGCCAGACATCCAGGGCATCGAATAAGCCCTTTGTCCATACGTCTGCCGGTGAGTTTCATACGCCAGTCGTTGGAGGTTTGGAATCAGGGTTTAGCCATCTCCCCTAGACTTTCATCCAATGGACAGTCAACCCGGTGAAGAGCGCCGGGCATCCGCTTTTGCCCTCTCACTTTGGTGAGAAACACCTCCGCCACGTGAAGGCAGTGGGTAGGACTTCCTCAGGAGAGGCTATATAAGACGCCCGGTCATATGGGAGCATTTCAAGAGGTGTACGGAGGGGTGGCCAACCCGCAGCGCAAGACACCCACCCCCGACCATCCTGAGGCTTCGGAAAATGAGGAAGGAGAATTAACTATGATGTTGGATTGTAAAATAAAACGAACAGAAGAAGGTAAACTACACACTAGCAACGTTTATAAAAAGCCAGCACATTCTGCTGATAGATATTTAGACTTTAATTCATCTCATCCGTTGTCTGTCTCTGAAGGCAGGCTTAGTTAAATGTTTGTCTAACAAACCGAGCAATGGCACTAAGTAGCACAAGAAAAGACCCAAATGATGAAATAAAACATATAGAAGGGGAGTTGGTGTTAAGTAAATATCCTATAAAAATCATTAGGAATATCAAAAAAAGGTCTAAAGCAAAGTAAATATAATGGTGAAACTAATAATGATAACATAAAAATACCATAGAATATAAGACATTTGCAGGAATTTTACCATATACGGAGGGGAAATCTGATACCCTCTGCATAGGCATTCAAACCTACAAACTCGCTTACTCAGGAAGGACAAGCTCTGTGTAGACTAAAGGACCAGATGGACCCAATTAAACAAAATAATATAATTTACAAAATACCCTGCAATGACTGTGAGTGAGGTCAGCTACATGGGTCAAACGAGTAGATCAGGGTTATTCAGATTGGCGGAACATAATAATTTAACTGAGGTAAGAATGGTTGACCCAGAGAAGATAAGTGATTAAGAGAAAAAACTCAGCAATTGCACTGCATGCATTAACACACAACCACACAATAGGGTGGAGAGGGTAAAAATTCTAAAAAGTAATCTAGGTAGGTGGAGAGAGAGGTTGATTACTGAATCCTTGTTCATCGTGTCTACACCCAACACATGCAATAGGAATGACTCGTCACTCATACCTGAAATATGGAAAATATTATTACCAATCAATTCAAGTGAAAATCAAGAGAAAAATAATGGAACTATATAAATGAAGTTAGGATGTCGTGTGATTACCTTGATTTGATCATAAGCAATAATGGATTGTGCTCGAAACGTCATCAGTAAACATTGCTGTATAACACTGTGAGACTTTATCAAAACAAAATTTACCCATAATGGAATTACACTCTACCACAGTGCACAAGTTTTATTCTGATATCAATTTACCACATTATTATCATTATTATTTTTCCTGTGTGTCGACACTATTTTACATACACTCGTGTGTCTTCGAACAGAAGACAATGTTCCACTGAAATAATAATATTTTAAATGCTTTCTTATCGATTTCATACATTACTCCCCTACAAGTACTATAATTAGTTCCTTTATTTCTCTCTCTCTCTCTATCCTATTTTGAAATTCACTCTAGCTATTAGAAATCCTTCCAGAATTTGGATACACCCTGGAAGATTATGCTCATATACTTGTCCCATCGATTGCAAATCTAGTCGATATTACTAATGAAGCAAGTTTATCGGTATTGTTGAATAGTGCGTTAGATAATTCTACATCAAGCAATACTTCATCATCGCCGACAACAGCGGCAACAGAAACAACAACAACATCAGCGACACCTGGTGGTGGTGGTGGTGGTGTTTCATCAACCTCGCATATTATTGATTCAAATCTGCTTAATTTGTCCACTATTTTCAGTAATGTTTCAGACGCCACTGGTAATATCTCTACAAATGATTCAACACTAGGCGGAGTTCAATCGACAACAACAAATTCACCGAATACTCTTAATAATGCCTTATCAGCATCAAGCAGTTTAAATCAAAATCTAATTGTTGGTGGTAAGGTGGGCAGTGTACATCTACGTAAAGCCTGTCTGGAGTGTTTAGCTCGATTTACTGATTGTGTTGAGCTGGGTGATTTTGCTGGACAAATCATACATCCAGTTTGTCGTTTACTCCTAACATTAGAATCATGTCATCAAAGTTTTCAACAACTCATGCATCAACATCACCATCATCATTCGTCATCTTCATCATCGGTGAAGTCAACTGCCTCATTAGGCAGTCAAGCTTGTTTAAATGCTATCAATCAGTTACGTGTCCCGGCTATGGATGTATTAACTGGTCTGTTGTATCGTATGGGACAGCGATTCAAGTATTTTTTACCATTAGTACAAAAAATGCTTAATCGATTGCATTTGCATACGCCAAGATTTAATACTGTACTTGGTCAGGTAAATGGCGCTTTCTTTTTTCTTTCGAGTATTTGGTTTTGTAGGGATTTTTGTTTTGTTTTCTTTGATTGGTTGGAGGATTTCATCAACTATAAGGAAACTAGCTGGGAGTACCGTCAGACAGCAGTTTCGTCAGCCTAGTTTGGGACTCTTCAACAGTATGTACCTACCACATGGAGGGGGGAGGGTGAATCCAGGACGTTCCGAGTACAAGGCAAGCTCGTCTATCATTCAGCCACTGAGACCCAACACATACGTTGCACCTTTGTATCTTTTTGTATAAGCAATAAAAAGTAGTGCTTAAGAGGCTAAAATCATCTCTAAGCTAACAAAATTGGCAGCTAGTTTAAATTAACTGGTAGTGTAACAACAGAAGAGAGGGGCCAGAAAACAGATCGTTCGTCAAGGAAATCAACACATATTTATAGATTTTCATGAACATTATTGGTTGTTTCCCACTGAAAGTTAACCTTGCATCTCTTTGTGGCTGTTTCTTGAATGTCTGTCTGGAATAATACTAATAATAGCAAATGATCATTAGCTATGTACACCGTTTGACTCAGCTGAAATAATCGAATCAGTTGAAACCACCCGATTGTTTGATTACCGTTTATAGTTTCAAGCAGATTGCATATTGTGATCTGAATCAATTGGTTTCCGAAGCAAACCGTTGTGAAAGTTTTACCTCTTGAACTGTGTACACTGTGAACTGTTAACTAATTTGACTTGTGGTGTCATCAGTTCCCTAAAATGGCTTACTAGAAAAATTATGGTTTTGAACTGATTTAGCTCTTTCGGCCGAGTTAAACTAGGGTACACCGTTGACGAACTGGGTCCCTAACGAGAGAAACGATCTGGCTGGCTAGACAACACTACTCATTGATATCCGTAATATACAACTACTCATCTAGATTAATCAGTAGTATGTAGTTATATGTGAACCTTCATATGTCCCACTCAGAACACAAGGAATGATGGACAGGGTCTGACAGTTTCTAGATGAATTTATCTTTCTGTAAGTTTATACATTCCTATAAAATAAATTCAATGCATTACATTTTATATATCTGTCTGGATTCAACATAGAACTTGGCATCGAAGTGCACCAGTTCGAATTTCCACGTTCCGAATAGCACACAAAGGTAGACAAGAAGATGAGTGAAGAGAATCAATACAGTCTGACAAGTATAAGAGTGAAACAGAATGGGTGATGGTAGAAAGGAATATGAAAGATTACAGAGACTGAATACATCTGCGCCATTGACAACGATTTTGAGCCATGTCACCTATTGTCTCCAGCCATTGATTCCTAGAGTCCCGAGAGCCCCAACCCGGGAGTCTGCATCTCCCTACCTGACCGACTGAGTTTAACTGTCAAGGATTTCATGGATTGATGAGGCCATGTTTTTGTTTGGCCACCACTTACTCTTTTCCAACCTGCACCTATATCAGCTAGTAATGCCCGTCGGGAGAGGCGATGGTTAGGCATGCGCATCACGTGACCTAGCCATCTCAATATATGTAACTTTATAGCCTCGTCGATTGATTTTCCCTGTCTGCCCAACACTCTACGCCTAACGTCAACATTACTTACCTTATTAAACCACCTAACGTGAGAAAGAGATCGCAGACATCTATGATCGAAAGCAGTCAACCTTTTCATGTCTTCAACTCGTATTGGCCATGTTTCAGAGCCATAGAGAAGGACGGAGCGATGTGCTGAGCAGTACACACGTCCCTTGGTTAATAGCCGGATGTCACACCTACGCCAGAGATGGTGTAAGTCAGCGAAAGCAGCTCGAGCTCTTTGGATCCGTGCTGAGATTTCGTCGCCAATCAGTCCGTTGGTGCTAATACAACTTCCCAAATAGGTGAAGTGGTCAACATGTTCTATCACTTCACTCCCTATCACTAAGTTAGGGTTGACGTGGTCCAGTCCTGTAGCAGCATCTTACATTTTGCAGGGGCGAATCGCATGCCAAACATACGAAGATTGCTGCTCAAGGTGTTCAGAAGACTCTGCATTTTTTCAGCATCCTCCCCTAACAGGACTATGTCATCTGCATATTCTAAGTCCATAAGACTATTCCCTGGTAACAAGTCGATTCCTAAGTCGTTACGTTCAGTTAAGGATACTTCCATCAGCATATCTATGATGAAGTTAAACAGAAATGGGGAAAGTGGACATCCCTGTCGGACACCACTGGTTGTTACCAATTCAGATGACAATTCCCCATAAGCCCTTACACGACTACGTGAGTTTGAATAGAGTGCCTTGATTAGTGCAATGTACTTTCTTGGCACTCCCTTCACAGTCAGACATTGCCATAGTACCTTTCGATCCACGGAGTCGAAGGCCGCCTTCAAGTCAAGAAATATGACAATTGTTGGACGCCGAAAAGTGTGTCTATGTTCTAGAATCTGTCGAAGAGTGAAGATATGATCTATGCACCCTCTACCTGGTCTAAAGCCTGCTTGATTTTCCCCCGTCTGTTCCTCCCGAGTTCTGCTTAGTCTATGCATGATTACTGAGCCTAGGATTTTAGAGACTATGTTCGTTAGGCTGATCCCCCTATGATTATCACACGAGGACTTGTTTCCCTTCTTGAATATCGGTATAATAAGTGACTTACCCCAGTCTGATGGCACTGTCTCTGATTCCCAGACTTTGCCTAGTACCTCAGTTAATCTACAAACTAGTATGTCACCCCCATATTTAAACACCTCCGGAATAATTCCGTCGGGTCCTGCCGCTTTGCCTCGTTTCAAATTACTGATAGCTTTTGTGACCTCACTTACAGACGGCGGACCAGTGTCTATATCCCATTCGGGTGTGTGCTGGATGTCGGGGAGGTTCAGTGTGGCTGTAGGCAAGTTAAATTGTCCCTCAAAGTGTTCTTTCCAGCGTTCAAGGCGTCTATCCTGAGAGCTAATTAAGGAGCCATTTTTCTCAGAAATAGTCTCACTTATGATTTGCCTTCTCCCTCCCGTTTCCCTGATGAGTCTAAAGAGTTGTTTAGTGTTGCCTATCGCCGATGCTTTTTCCCTCGCCTTTGTCACCCACCACTGTTCACGGTCCTTGTGGAGACTTTTAGTAAGTTTCCTTTTGTGCAGCTTTCGCTCCTCATTGAATTCGGAGCTCGCCGGAATAAGTCTTCTAGCATCTATCAGTTCGGATGAGGCAGTCGAAATCCAATGGTTTTTACTCACCTTTGGATTTACCTTATTCACTGCTTTTACAGCTGTATCTATGACTGACTGACTGACAGAGTAGTGGTAAAGATCTTTTGGAACAGAGGAGACGTGTAACACCTTGTGGTGAGACCAATTTGGCTAGCAGCCAGCTCTCACCACAAGGTGTTAAACGTGTCTCCTCTGTTCCAAGAGATCTTTACCACTACTCTGAAATCAATGTGGTGATCCGTAGCACTAAGAGCAAAAAACAGCATCTAACTTTCGTGTAACTTTGATGTCAAGTAAGAGTTTCTATAATGGTGCGCAAGTCACCATAGACGCATACCTAACAGGTCAGTTGAAATGAATGAACAACGAGTAACTCAGACAGAATCCCTATCTAGTAATCGATTGTCCAGTAAATTTATGAAAGGAAATTCTTATGGATTCAGTGTACTCTGAGGAGACGTTTGAGTTACCTCATTCTCTGTCTCCTACCTATGTGGAATTGTCAGATCCAGTTTAGTAAGCTGTATTTGATTCCATGACTTTCCAATTTCGTGAATAGTCTTTTGTGAACCCAGTTGAAGAAGACACCAGGAAATAGAACAACGTGGAGATCTGTTTTTGAATGCCTATGTTACACTCGGAACCTAAAGGAATAATAATAATAATAATAATAATAATAATAATGCAAACTAGCTTTCAGTCACACCCATTATGTGTACCATGGGTTGATGGTACTGCCACTCAGTTACACTTACTTGTATTGTGTCGAACCTGAGATACCCATTGATTGAGAGTGCCTGTTATGGTGCCGTCGCCAATATATATTATGGTGTGTGATCGAGTGTAAATATGCACTAATGAGATTTAACGGAAGATAACGTACAGACTGGTATTGCTGAGTAGCTAATTTGAGCTGACGCGAAAAGGGAAATCAGAAGACCACTACGCTTGAGAAGGAAAGTGTCATACAAGAGTGTGAGTGGAGAGGTATGAAGTGTGAATTAACTGTACAATACAAGAGAATATAAGAAATACCTAACACACATGAACCAATCATAAGACAGATAGCAGGTTTTCTTACCACCACTGAATTCTGATTGGTTGTAGTGTTATGTGACAAAGGTCACTCTATGTATTGTCAGTTTTAATGGACGAAATATTCCCATATTGAGTCATAAGATAAGGCACAGACAGCGAAGAAAATTTTCTTTTCGACGATTCATTTTCATGAGCTGTACAATCGTGATTATAATTAAACACATAAGTTTTTGACCAATCAGATACTGGTAAACTTTGTCCTTGAAAATTTTACTACATAGTGTAAGGTGTAAGAAGGGATGACTAATTGTAAGTTAAAAAGGAGACAGAAGTTGGCATTTCCTAATAAGTGTGAGGTAATGACTAATCAATAAGCTAGTGTAGAGTGGACAGGAACTAGTGGATAGGTTATACAGTAGTTTGGTATAAGATCTGTGTGAAAAAGCGATGTTATTAATAAACAGTCATAGAGTAGAATTGAAAACATTTATTTCCCGATACGAATTTAAAACAAGCAATAAAGGTTAATAAAGCAGGATTTAATGAATTCATCAAATTTCGGTAGAACTCGTCAGCTGAATACTCTACATACACGAATATATATACTTTTGAAATTACATTGGGAGATATAAGACTGATAAGTAAACAAACTACATTGAATTAATCATGCAGAGAGACAGGTGCGAATATTTTTCAGGTCATGTTCAAATAGATAAGGGGAGAGAGAGAGTATGAGAGATCAAAATTAAGATAAATTGCATTACGCTTCAATTACATCACTTAGATAAACAATTAGTCATTAGAGAATATAACAAGAATTGCAAACAGACTAATATCAATAGTAATAGTTTTAATAACAATAATAATAATAGTGTTGAAGTGAGTTAAGATAATCTTACGGATAAAGCATAGATTTAAATGAATCAAGAATAATAATAATAATGGTAGTAATAATAACAAAAATAAGAAGAAGAAGAGGTAGAATAATAGTAATAACAAGTAGAGAATAATAAGTAAAGCGTATTACCATGGTAGATTCAGAGTGACGACCATCTCCTTTTGTATACAGAGGGCTGGTTTGTAAATTCGAATTGCACAAGCCTCTGCAATTGCAAGCATCTTCTTGTTTCTTTGTTTGCTGACGATGGTGAATGACTTGACGGCGTCGATATCATGTCCGTAATCCACGAGATGTTTTGTTATTGAGGATTTTGGGACTTTGCACTCAGCTGTTTTCAACCATTTTGGCAAATGCTCCATCATGCGAGTAGACAATCGCCTTTCCGTACGACCTATGTATTTGCTGCCACAAACACACTCAAATTGATATATGCAGTTTGAAGTGTCGAGGATTGGCGACTGGTCTTTCCCAGATTGTTGAAGCACTCGCTTGGTGGTGTTAAGGATAACGAGTTTTGCAGCGTAATAAGTTCTCTTGATGGCTTTGTCAAGTCTTCGTTTCACTATTTCCTGTACGTCATCTCCTTTGAATGGCAAATTGATATAGACAGGTTTCTTTGGAACTGTCTGAATTGTTTTGCAAGGGGTAGTTTCTTTAGAGTATTTATTAATGAACTTCTCAGGATATCCATTCTTACATAAAATATCCTTCAAAGATTTTATTTCATGTTCAACAGTACTGTCAGAACAAATTTTCCGTGCTCTATTGAACAGTGTTCTGACTAAGTTCTTTTTGTATTCGATTGGAACAAAGCTCTTGAAATGCATGTACTGTCCTGTCCATGAGGACTTTCTAAATATAGATCTTTCGATTGTGCCATCATTCATTTTGGTCAGAAGAACGTCTAGAAATTTAATAGTATCGTTTTCCTCGTGTTCTACTGTGAAATTGAGATTTGGATGGCATGAGTTGAATTTTGTTAACATGTCTTCCGCTTTTGATCTGCTTTCACAGACAATAAAAATGTCATCAACATATCTTAGGTATGCATTTGTTTCTTGTATATATTGCTGCAAAGTACCGGTTTCTAGGCGTGACAAGAATAAATCTGCGAAAAGTGGTCCCAAAGGGCTTCCCATTGCGACACCATCAACTTGACGGAACAGACGCCCATTGAATTGAAATTGGACATTTTTAGTACATAAAAGTAGTAATTTCCTCAATTCCGATGTTGGAATGGGTATGTCTTCAGCTTCTTTACATATGAAGTCGATAGTTTCAACGACTGGCACATTTGTGAAAAGGGAGGTAACATCGAAAGAGACTAAATGCTTATCGGATACATTGAAATCTTTAATTTGATTGACAAATTGAAATGAATCAGAGACTATATGTGTTCCGAAACGTTTCAGCAAGGGCTGCAACAGTTCACATAGCCACTGTGCTAATCTGTGGTATGGTGAGTTTATCATAGAGAGTATGGGTCTTAACGGCGCTCCTGGTTTGTGTAAATTAAAACAATTAGTCCCTTTGATAAATTGGAATAAGGCATTAAGAAGACAAATTTCGCGAGATGATATCTTCATTTCGTAGTTTCTTTACAACCACTTTACAACTAACATGCTTACCAATAATGAAATAAAGATCATGACAATTACTCAGTTAAATAAAAAACAAAAGCACATACTAATGACCAATCATATTTAAATAGGTCATGCAGTCCAGGGTAGGCGAAGATTGAAGTCTATTGATTTTTGTATACACAGTTTAGGCTGTATGTGATTAATCCAAAGTGCTTCCATCACCTTCAATAACTTTGAATTAGAGTTATGTGAAATAATTGTGAAACAGTCATTAATAATATAACGTACACCTACGATTAAAGGACGAAATTCTGTGGACTCTGCTTCAAACTGTATCTACAAGTTCACCTGCAGCTGCGGTGACACCTATATAGGTAGAACTAACAGAATGTCCCAATGTCGTCGAAAAGAACATGTTCCAAAATGGCTAGTAAATCATATCGAAAATCCTAACGCGATTAATCTTAGTAGAAATCCAGCATCATCCATTGCAAAACACTTATTAATGTCACGTCACAAAATCAATATTATTAATGACTGTTTCACAATTATTTCACATAACTCTAATTCAAAGTTATTGAAGGTGATGGAAGCACTTTGGATTAATCACATACAGCCTAAACTGTGTATACAAAAATCAATAGACTTCAATCTTCGCCTACCCTGGACTGCATGACCTATTTAAATATGATTGGTCATTAGTATGTGCTTTTGTTTTTTATTTAACTGAGTAATTGTCATGATCTTTATTTCATTATTGGTAAGCATGTTAGTTGTAAAGTGGTTGTAAAGAAACTACGAAATGAAGATATCATCTCGCGAAATTTGTCTTCTTAATGCTTTATTCAAAGTCATAGAGTAGTAATAAAATGTGGATGGTGGGAATAGTAATAATAATAATAATAGTGAACTAACATATTAAAAGAGAGGAGAAAAATTATAGTAAGAAATTTACTCTGGCCATGGTAGGGCTAGAGAATTTATGTATCGTTTTTGTATGCATTGGTCCGGTTTTATGTCACGAATAGCTAATGCCTCAGCTATGTACAGATGTCGTATCCGGAGTCCTTTTGTACGATATTGAGGGACTCTGTGTACCACTGTGAAGCATTCGTGTGGGGCTGCCCGATGTCCGGAGATAACAAGGTGTTCGAGGATTGAGCTGTTGCTATTCTTCTTTTCTCATCTGGCTAACCAAGCTGGGCAGTGTTCCAGGATACGTTTGTGGACTTGACGTTGCGTTCGACCGATGGAATAAAACGATCAATAGACATGTAGCGAAATGCATCAGACTGGCGAAACAAAGTAGACATCATGTGACTACATATCAGTGCCGTACATCCATGAGCTTTACGCAATCTACACAATATTCTCATTCGGTACAGCTCATCGAGTACAGTGTACAAGTAGTAGTAGTAGCACAATAGTTTGTTTCACTACAGCGAGTAATTTGGATTTCACTGAATCTTTTTTTTTTATATATATTCAAAATTATCTTTTCAATATTTACTTAAATGCATATCCCTTTCTCTTTACATTTCAAAAGATTGAAAAAGGAGCATTTCTACCGACAAGCAGTGATCGTGCATATATCAAGTTTACCAGTATATCAACTCGGAAACGTGAAGAGAAAGAAACTATCGAAGATTCAGAAGCACCTGGAGCTATTAAACTGTTAAAAATCAATAAGTTAGTGATTTATTATTTATTTATTTTTCAACTATTTAATTTATCTAACTAACTGACTAGCAGTGGAATCCAGTGCAGGATAAGGCGCATTTCGTCCTATTTGGGACTCATCTCTCAGCTGGATATACCTGCATTTCCCAGAGAGTCAGTGATGATGTTCCCACCGAGGCTCGAACCCAGTGCCCATAGTTTCAAACACCAGCCAAAGCTTTATCCACTAGACCACTTGGGCAACGAGAGCCATGTCTTGTGCAACGGATCACGTTAATTTAACTGAATGCCCAGACATCGTGTAAGCATCTACACAAGAAGCCGACGGACATGTCAACCTGAGACCGAGCACTTCGGCCCAATCAATCGACGGGAAAATTTAAAATTCAATTATATTTAATTTATCATTTGTTTCTTGTGATTCATACACTTTTAGTAAGACTCCCATGTATTCTGTAAATAACTTAGAAGTTGTTTTGTGAGTTTGCTTGGTGTCCTGATTCTCTGGTCAGGTGTGTTGCAGAACAAAATAGCTTCAGGAGGAACTTTTTTCTTTGTAAAACTATGAATGTAGACAAGTGTTCGATGATACGTTTTTGGATGAGAAACTGTAGGTACGTTCGACATACTCAGCTAGCTCAACTCATCCGAGCCACCGGCAGCAAGAAACAAGGTGTCAGCGAGACGGTCTGTGAAGCAGATGGCACGCCAATCGCCAGCTTGAAAAGACGCCTGGAACGCTGGGCAGAGCACTCCGGGAAACAGTTTAGCTGGCCACCAGCTTCAGTGTCTGCTGTCCTTAGCCCCAGTGCTCCTTGGCTGGTTAGTACCGAAGCGGAGGTCCGTAAAGAACTGCAAGTTCTAAAACGCCATAAGGCACCCGGCCCAGACAATCTACCCTCGGCTGTTTTTAAAACGTTGGTGAGACTCTCGCGATGTCTCTAACTGGATTGTTCAGGAAGGTTTAGGAGACTAAGAGTGTACCATCAATGTGGAACGAAACCATTTTCGTCCCCATTGGGTCGACGTAATTCATGCGACAGTCATAGGGGTATCAATCTGCTACCAGTTGCATCTTATAAGTTTGTGTATCTGGGTAGTTGTGTGAGTGCTGGCGGAGGGGTGACGGATGAGATTTCCAACCGTATAATGAAGGCTAGGGTGGCATACATCAACTTGAGCCACCTCTAGCGCCGTCGCGACGTTAGCCTGGCTGCCATGGGTCTGGTATATAATGCATCGGTGCAGGTTGTTTTGCTCTACGCCTGTGAAACCTGGCCTCCCCGAGTAGGCTGAGGATGTCCGGCGGCGACTCTGCGTGTTCGATCATCTCTGTCTCCGCAGGATTGCTTGCGTCCGATAGCATCATCGCGTGAGTAAATTTGAGGTTTGGCGGCCTTTGTTTGAACACAGTGAAGATCACCATTCATCGAGTGTCATCATCCGGAAACACCGGCTTCGGTGGCTTGGAAATGTGCTACGGAAAGGTGGTCAGTCCATGACGTGGCGTCGTGGGATGAAGGATTTTTGTGCTAGATTAGCATCGGTTGGTGTTTCACGACTCCATGGTTGGGGTCCGCGAAATAGCTTGAAACGTTATCGGATATAGCCAAGAATCGCAACCAATCAGTGGCGAACGTGTTGGAATTTCCTTCCCTTCCCTATGATAGTTAATGAATACTGTTTGAACTTGTTAAGCATGACTGTTTTCCTTCCAGATGAAGTTCTTTATATGTTCTCTACTTTTATTTTTTTTACTTTTTATCTATGTTGTTTTGTTATTATTGTGTGGCGCATCTTCTTGGTACCATATTGTACCAAGATTTTTTCTACATTTAAATAAATAAATACTCAGCTAGCTGCGCTTTAGCAGGTGAATTGTTAGTTGCAGCCGGCCAACGGTGGTAGCTTAGTCTTCACGTTCATTTCAGTCATCTGTTTTGTAGTGAAAGTTATTCAAAGTTCAGCCGCGAGGAGACGGTTTTGTTCAGTGAGCTAGCTGGACAGACGGTTTGTTCAGTGTTTCTGTTGATGAGTCTCTATAAATCTTGGAGGTTATCCATTTTGTACCCAAGTAGTTGTTTGAGCCTCTCCAGTTCCTCATCGATTTTATATCTTTGAATATGGCATTAAGAAGACAAATTTCGCGAGATGATATCATTTCATAGTTTCTTTACAACCACTTTACAACTAACATGCTTACCAATAATGAAATAAAGATCATGACAATTACTCAGTTAAATAAAAAACAAAAGCACATACTAATGACCAATCATATTTAAATAGGTCATGCAGTCCAGGGTAGGCGAAGATTGAAGTCTATTGATTTTTGTATACACAGTTTAGGCTGTATGTGATTAATCCAAAGTGCTTCCATCACCTTCAATAACTTTGAATTAGAGTTATGTGAAATAATTGTGAAACAGTCATTAATAATATTGATTTTGTGACGTGACATTAATAAGTGTTTTGCAATGGATGATGCTGGATTTCTATTCAGATTAATCGTGTTGGAATTTTCTATATGTTTCAATAACCATTTAGGAATATGTTCTTTTTGACGACCACATTGGAACATTCTATTGCTTCTGTCTATATAGGTGTCACCGCAACAACTGCAGGTGAACTTGTAGATGCAGTTTGAAGTAGAGTCGACAGAATTTCTTCATTTAATCGTAGATACAGGAATGGAAAATGTTCGGCATATGAGAGAAAGAGATGATGCGGCGTAGAATGTGCGTTTGGCGGCTGGCTGTCCGAAGTGTCTTTGAGCTAACTGTCAACTGTATAATCTGGTCACCCTTGAATGGTAGGTTAATAAAGATAGCTTTCTTTGGTACAATAGACTTCAACCTTCGCCTACCATGGACTGACTACATGACCTATTTAAATATGATTGGTCATTAGTATGTACTTTTGTTTTTTATTTAACTGAGTAATTGTCATGAAGTTTATTTTATTATTGGTAACCATGTTAGTTGTAAAGCGGATGTAAAGAAACCACAGAGTGACGATATCATCTCGTGAAATTCGTCTTCTAAATGCCTTATTCAAATTTATCAAAGGGACGAATTGTTTTAATGATTTTAAAACTGGTACGTATCCTTTTTATTCCTAAGGATAAGGAGTAGTTCGAATTTCTCTTTCTCCTCAAAGCCACCCAACTATGAAAATAATTCAATACTTCCTAATATTCCATGGAGGATTTCATCATGAGCTGACGTCATTTAGAGAGCCACTGGAAAACCCAGGAGTACTGGACAGCTGTTTCGTCCTAGTTTGGGACTCTTCTGCAGTACGCATACACCACAGGGGTTTGAACCCAGGACCTTCTGGTTACAAGGTTAGCGAGCTCTTATACCATTAAGCCACTGGGACCCGATCCAAAAGCCCATGAATTCTAACTCCTGCCACTAAACGATATAGCGCGACCATTTCGCAATGTCTTCTTCGATGAGTCACTGCCTCATCTTCAACCTGTTGTTGTACCCTACTGGTCACGGTTTTCCACTAGAGCCCCGGGTTAACTACCTGAATAGGGCCAGTCGCTAGTGAGCATCAGATTAATTAATTTTCAAGTATTGGTTTTGTAGAGACTTCGTGTTTGCTTGCATGGAGGATTTCATCATGAGCTGACATGTAATATGTTTTTTCACTGCCTAAAGTACTAATTTAGAACGAGCATGGCATGCTTCTCGAATGGTTAGTCGTGATGATTGGACCCAGTGGTTGAAAACATTCAATATGGCTTTATTAAGAGAATCACCAAGTCCCGCCATTCGTGCTTGCAGTCAACTGACTGCTATTACACCGGGAATTGGACGCACTTTATTCAATGCTGCATTTCTTAGTTGTTGGCCTGAATTAAATTATCGTCAACAAGATGATTTAATCAATACACTGGAACGTGTCCTACGGATACCGGATCAATCACCAGAAGTCAGTCAAACTATTTTAAATTTGGAAGAATTTATGGCACATATGGATAATGTAAGTGGACTTTGCGTGTAACAACTTTATTCATCTATATGGTAAGATTTGATTGAAAATATCAAGTATTGGTTTTTTAGTGATTTGCTTTGACTGGTTTAGAGGATTGCATCATGAGTTGACATCGGTTAAGAGGACCATTGGAAACCAGCTGAGAGTACTGAACAACCGTTTGTTTTGTCAGTCTAGTTTGGGACTCTTTGTGTGTACTCACCCACCACCTGAGTTTGAAACCACGACCTTCTGGTCTCACACTTCTGTTTACTGTCTCTAATATGCGTTTCTTTTAGTTTTTTCTCTTGTTTTGTGTGCTACAAGGCGGGAGTGCGGTGACTCGAACTATTGCATATCGGTGCAAAGTTCTATGTCGAAAACAGACAGATAGACAGAAACAACAACTGATGGGAGGCATCTTGACTGTCGAAGGAACTAAAAATCTTAAGGGATTTGAACTAAACATGTGTATGGAATTACTCCTATGGAATGGTTGTTAGTCATTTTTCTGTCATACTTTAAGTTCATGAATCTTTTGACCCAATACAAGATAGAACTCAGGATTTTATCATGAGCTTACATCGTTTACAGAATGGTTCGTAAACCTGAGAGTACTGGACAGCTGTTTCGCCAGCCTAGTTTGGGACTCCTCAACAGTATGCATTCACCACCAGTGTTCGAACCCTTGACCATTCTGGTTAAAAGGCTAGCGAGCTTATAAACTATTCATCAGCCACTGGAACCCCACCGATCCAATTGCCAGTTCATAAATCCCAAGTCACGATAATATTATAGCGTGACTGGTTATCCACGAAATTTCATCAAATAGTGTTTAAAATCGAATCAAAACACCAACAAGAAACCATCATCAAAGACCACAAGAAAATTCATCGTACCCTATATGAGAAATATCTCTGAAATAACAGCTAGAATACTGAAACCGTTTGATATAGATATAGCACATAAGCCAGTCAAATCTCTTAGTTCGATATTATGCAAACCAAACGAGCCGACAGAAAAAGGAGATAAAATTTTATACCATTTACAAAATAAATTGTATGAACTGTAGTAAGCATTACATCGGCCAAAGTGGGCGTCCCCTTCGAATCAGAATCCAAGAACACAAATCAGCCATGAAAAGACACGATATATATTCCTGTTTCATATCGATGCACATAGACAATTATGGACAACAGTTTGATTAGGATAATGTCGAAATCTTAGACAGAGGAAATATCAAAAGTGCAGTCAGGGAATTCCTAGAAGTCTGCTACTCAAACGAATATGCAATTAACAAACACGGAATATACCAACTAATAAAAAGTAAATCATGTGACCAGAAAGTTTAAAATCTATCCCAGTCAATAGAAAATGATCAATCCATTTGTAAAGATGGTTACCGGGAGACGCAATTCTATCACTCATGAAGAAAAATTTAAATCATTTCACTTTATGCTAAATACTGCGCTGAGGATGTGTTGTCCGGTAGGGGGACGACGAAAGCTCCGCAACTAAATCAACCAACTGAGAAAACACTATTAATTGCAAATTCCAACTTCTGCCAATTCCCAATATTACAGCTCGACTGCCACTAGCCAATATCATCACTGGTGCGAGTATTTTTCCTCACACCCGACTTGCTGTTTCCCAACTGGTCACAACACTTCTCACTAGAGGTAGATCGAAGTGTGCGAAGCAGAACACCTACTACTCTTTAAAACCATGAATTAATTGTGAAAGTGCTTTCTATTAGTAGAAATTCACCAACTATCTCTATCGTTATGACACGATAACTGCAGAGATAATTTTTTTTTCAGTAATATATATCTTCGTCTCAGTTTCACTTAAGATGCTTTATACTATTCTCTGTTTTTGTTTTTTTTCGTTTCTTTTTTTCGATAAAGAAAGGAAGACGAAAGTTGCAGTATAAAATGATATCGTCATTCTATTTCACAGGTTCTCATCAGCTGCAGACTACCTGAAATTACAGTGGTTATATAGATGATAATAACATACTTTAATGTTCGAGTAGTGGTAGAAAAGAGATACTATAAAATTGACGCATCTAAATGAAAGCATTACAATGCTTTTAGTTTAAGTTTTCATCATCAATTTATACGCTTTTAAAGTTGAAAAGAGGGGGAGGGGTAAGACAGAAAACAGAAAAAATTGATTAACAGAACAGTGTTAGCTTGTAGCTTGTTCACATAGCAACTCAAGAAACAAAAACGGTTTCAGTTTATGAGATTAAGATTTGTTCAGTGAGTTGAGATCACTGAATTAGATGACTAATCAAAATCAAAATTCTGTTACCAAGGGTGTGAGAGGTTAATCACACTCTCTTTCTGTATGCATAAGTCTGGTTTAAGTCTTTTGATTGCGATTGCTTCGGCAAATCGTAGTAAATTTGCTGTCCTTTGTCTATTTAATGTTTGAAGGACTTAGAAATCTCTAAGAGATATCCGGTATCAACAGTGTGTCTGGTAATCGCACTCTGGGAATATCTGCTTCCTTTCAGGCACAGGTTTTTGGGAATATGTTCAGAAAACCGGATAGAACCGGATAGGCTTTCATTTAGATGCGTCAATTTTATAGCATCTCTTTTCTACCACCACTCGAACATTAAAGTATGTTATTATCATCTATATACCACCATTGTAATTTCAGGTAGGTGTGTGCAGCTGATGAGAACCTGTGAAATAGAATGACGATATCATTTTATACTGCAAATTTCGTCTTCCTTTGTTTATCGAAATTTATCAAGGGAACCAAATGTATGAAGTTTCTTTTTTTGTTCTTCTTGTCCAAAATAGCATTCTAGTTCATCACATCGAGTTCATTTACCCCTACCTTTGGGTGTTTTAGCTGATAGAGCATTGAAAAATCGTGCTTATGCTAAAGCATTATATTATAAAGAACAAGAATTTCTTATGGAATCTGAAAAACGTTCATGTCCTAGTCCAGCAACATTATCATCTTTATTAACGATATATAGTAAATTAAATTTAGAAGAAGCAGCTAATGGTGTCCTGCTATATGCTACACGTAGTACACAAGATAAATTGGTAAGTCCTATTTTATGTATATATATATATATATATATATATATATATATATATATATATATCCAAACCAAGTTCACCTTTAACCGTTTGAAAAAATTTGGGCATTGGGTAATATGATATTCATTATAATAAAGATTTTTATATTTCCCAATGAAATGAAAAACAAAACGACATCGTTGTTTTTACTGACGTTTTGCTATTTAATGTTGCTGCTAATAGTTTTATCAAAGTATTATTATTATTAAACCGGAATTTACAAAATCTCAGCATATATATTAAACAAAGAGTTAAGAGGTGAGAAAATAGACTAATTAGGTCAAGTTAAATGGACACATTGAAAGTCAAAATAACAATGAAGATTACTTAATTAAATAACAAAGGTAATAGTACGTCTGTTATGATATCAAAAACAAAGTTTACTAACTTGATCATCGTTCGTCAGTCGGGGGTCATTTTTCGTTGTCGAGTTGGCCAATTGGTTAAGATAACAAAACCAAGTGTAGATTGTTGGATTTGATCAGTGTGTAAAATTATAAAAGTAGTGTGTGTTTACATTGTGAACTTGCTTATCACATTCGCGTTGATTTTGTCACTTCACGGGGGAGGGCGGGGGTGTTGTAACCAGGTCAGATTCGCTTTTAATCCATCATTCCTATTCAGCTAAGGTAATTCGGATACCACTTGATATGAAGTGCTTCTGATATGAGACGTTCTTTGTGATTTCTGAAGTGCTTTTTCTGGATTATTTCAATATTGTCAAAATCTATTTTATGACCTGATTCCACAGCGTAGCATGTAGACCTATGGCTGATGATTTTTCAAGTTTTTCTAGTTCAACTGGATTTCTCGGTGGTCGAAGAGATCCTCTACGGTGTTCATTTCCTCTGATTTTGATTTCTCGAGATGTTTGTCTGATGTTTATCGCACCACATTCCAAGCATTTTATTTTATAGACACAATTAGATAGAGAATCTCTAGGGATTCAGTCTTTTATATGGACAAGGTTGCTTTGAAGTGTGTGTGATGTTAACTTTTGATGTCCATGTTTTCGGAATGCGTTTTCGGCCATACTTAATGTCAGTGTTGATTTTGTTGATGAAGTTCCTTGGGTAGTTGTTTTACTTGAGAGTTTCAGTAATGTTTGATATTTCTTCCTCTTTTCCTTTGTCATCCGTTTTCAGAGGGTGTGCTCGTCTAAGAAGACTTGAAACAACTGAAATCTTTGCGCTGATGGGGTGTGATGATTTGAAGTCTAAATATTTATTGGAGTGGGTTTTCTTCCTGAATATGGATATACTAAAATGTCCGTTTTCCTTTCTCTTTACTAGGCAGTCTAGAAATGGTAGTTCACCGAACTGTGGTTCTGCCTGCTTCCGAAGTGAACTGGATTTTGGGAGATACACAGTTTATTTTCTCCAGGAATGACGTGTGTAGATCTCATTTTAGTACCACAAAAGTATCGTCCACATATCTTAACCATATTTTAGGAGTGAGTATGCTTGAAAAGATATTATTTTCGAATTTATTCAAGTAAAGGTCGGCGACTATTGGGGAGCCTGGTGAACCCATAGCAACACCATTTGTCTGTCTATATAAACTCCCTTTAAATGTAAAATAATTACTTTCTAAACAGAGTTTTAAGCCCTTAATTATTTCACTGGTGTCCAGTGGACATCTCTGTGATAGCGTTGTATCTGATTCTAGTAGACTGGAAATGATATCAAGACTTTCGGTGATAGGGGTACTAGTATATAATCAGTTAATATCATCATAGCTTACCCATAATGTCTTCTTTATCAATTTCTCGGTGTTCTATTTGGGATTTGAAATCATATGAATTTCTTACAATATTTTGAGTGTCCTTTTGTAATGGTTGTAGTACCGAGGGTAATATGATATAAGGGAGTGGATGTCATGTCTTTTGACGCCTAGCTTATGTTCGTGGATACGAAGACGAAGAGGACATCCACTTTGGCCAATGTAGTGTTTTTCGCAGTCGTTGTACATTATTCTGTAAATGATGTTGGTTTATTTTTATTCTTTCGTTGTTGAGTCTTTTGGTTGACACAGAGCTGAATGAATTGATTTTGCTGGTTTGTGTGCGACATTAATTTCTTAGAGTTTGAAGAGTCTTGCAGTGATTTCTGAGACGGCCTTTATGTATGGTAAGATGATTTTCTTTGTGCTTTCTTTTGGGTCCTTCGGGGGTAGTTATCTTTTGATGAAATTCCGTGGATATTCATTCGTTCGGAAGACGTCCAGAAGGTATTTTTCTTCAATTTTTCTTAATGTAGGAGTGCAGCAATGAGTCCTGGCTCTCTTAAATGATGTATGTGTGCCAATTTTTGTATGTTGTTGGGTTGTTGCTGTTGTAACTCAGGATTTGGTCTTTATGGGTTGATTTTCTGAAAAAAAAACTCGCGTCTCTAGTTTTCCTGTGGTTTTTCGTTCAACTAAGACGTCCAAAAGTGGAATTTTGTTCTCAGACTCTTCTTCTCTTTTGAATTTGATGTCGTTGAAGATGTTGCTTATTAGGTTGTAAAGTTTTGTCGAAATCGTTTCTTTTGATTATCAAGAATGTGATTCTTCCAGGTAACATATCCAAGTCTTGGGTTTGACTTTTGGTAGGATTATGTTTTGGAGTCTGTGCATTACTGCTTTTGCAATCAAACCTGATATGGGCGATCCCATGGGTATTCTTCTAACCTGTTCATCAAATATTTGGCCGTTAAATTAGAAGTACATTGTTAGGCATAGGTCTGTGCATTCCATCCAACTTGCGCATTGCAACAGCTACACTGGCTGAAACCAATGTTCCTGCAGGTCCTACCATGCCAGGAAGGTTGTTAGGATAGCGATTAGACTAAAAGCAGTTACCGGCATTGTATAAGAATCTTTCTTACACTATGCTGGGGGTCTGAGTGCGAAGTTGGACTGCTGGGGAACAGGGGTGTAACAGCAGTGAGGTGTTTCCCTCAGATGACCAGCATGCCGGCTAGCTATGCTGTCTCTCCTCTCCGGAGGGAAGGGGTTAGAAAAGGTCGACCCCAAAAATTGTACAGCCCGACTAACTCTGTGGTTGTCCGTCTGTAGCCGGTGGTAATTTTGCTAGTATGGAACCAAACCAAGAAACCTGTTCATATAGGCCGTGTGTGACCGTCTGGCCTCAAGCAGTTGTCCCCTGGGCTCTGTGGTCACGCAACACTAACCCTCTCTCTGTTTTAGGTACCCGAGGAGTTAATCAACTTCCGCAGTGTGGATAGCCGGGAAGTAACAACCGCCCACACACTTGCAAAAGCACTCGAAGCCTTCCTTTCAGTATAGCTAGGGATAAAATGGGGGCAAACTACTGTTGGGAGAGGTGTCATTATTTCTATCACTAAGTCTGACAACCGAAATTTCAACTATTTTTGTAGTAAAATGAATGCATTAGTAGCGTAGTTATGTAGTGCGAATTAATCATACATAGTACCTCGAGGCAATTCGAGTGTATTAAAATGGCTACATATAAAAAGAAGCTTATGTGACCAAGTTTTTTCTCCATTAGTGAGAAAATCAATGAGCTTTCGTTTACATAAAAATACTTTTCTCTCACTATATTTCATCTGGTAATTATTGCCCTTTCCCTACCTCCATTCCTGCCCACGTTGAAGGCGAATGAAGAAATCTGGAGAGAGAAATTACACGATTGGAAGTGTGCTCTAAATTTGTACGAACGTAAATTAGAAGATGATCGTATCAAGGATAAAAGTTCTTTGATTCTTGGTCGAATGAGATGTCTTCGCGCCTTAGGTCAATGGTAAGTGTCACTCTCTTCGTTATATTAATTTATATAAATTACTGAAAAGAATAATAAGTAGTGGTATTTTCCTTTGGAATTTAACCATGTCTGAGAACTAGTCATAAATGTGTTGGCTAACGAATATGTAGAAGGAGGTGGAGACCTTCAAGTGACGATATCACACTGCATACTCTTGAGTGGAACTCGAATGAGATGTATGCGTGTATGACCTTTTCGAGGTTGATATGTGATATGTATCCACATATATATTTATGTGTGTGTTTATGTTGGTCTCTCTTTCTGTTTGCTCGGTTAGTCTGTGACCACTTCACTTGTATGAACTTGTCTCCTTTAATAATGTGTATTCTCCTTATATTATATTATATATAATATGAGTGTTTGTTGACAGTCCGTTGCTTGGTGACATATATCCATATATGTTTGTTGGCATGTCTGCTATATTCGCTATGTATAATTGGATCGACACTCCATTATAATTAGCCATTCATGTTAAGACTGTCTAATGATTTTTCCCACGCTTGTCTGAAATATTTATATATATTCGCATTCACAATTTGTGTGAACTACTTTACTTTACAACTACTTTACTTACTTACCACTTTGGTGTGAGACCATTTATTTTCGTCTCCTTGTGTTTGGACAATAGAAGTATCATCGCAAACCTAGTGGTCTTCTGATTTCCGCCTTCTCGCGTCAGGACTATTAGTTTCTCGACCAGTCCATAACAATAATTCAGCGACGAGTACATAACAATTTGGCGACGGGGAAAACTAGTACATAACAATTTGGCGACGGGGAAACTAGTACATAACAATTTGGCGACGGGGAAAAACTACTATTAACCACTCAGCAGCAGCAACATAACAATTTACTATGGATCCTTCTAAATTGGAATTATTGTTTGAACGACAAATGAAATTAATGGAAATGTTCGTCAACCAACAGACTGGTCCAGCTTCACCTTCAAGCAATCCCAATCATACCATGCTACCATCTGTCGACGGAATTGTGAACAGCATTTCACAGTTCAATTATGACCCAGAGGCTAATGTCACTTTTGACACATGGTATCAACGTTATGAGGATTTATTCACTGTTGATCTCGCCTCACAAGACGATGCCTGGAAGGTGCGAGTTTTGCTACGTAAATTGGGTCCGGCAGAATATGAACGGTACTGCAACCTAATTTTACCACAGAAACCACGTGACAATTGTTTCGATGATACAATAAAGTTGCTGCGTGAACATTTCGGAGACCACTCCTCATTATTCAGTATACGTTATCGTTGCCTCAAGCTGGCAATGAATGAAAATGATGATTTTCTTACTCACGTTGGCACAGTCAACCGAGAATGTGAGAGATTTCGACTCAGGTCCTTAACAGATGATCAATTCAAAGCCTTGATTCTCATATGCAGTCTCCAATCTCCTCGTTTCACAGATATCCGAACTCGACTGCTCAATCAGCTAGAACAAAATCCCAAGTTAACATTACATGACATAGCTGATGAATATCAACGGCTGATTAATCTGCAGAAAGACACACACCTGGTCGAATCAACACCTTCGAGAAGCTCTGATATTCGTGCATTACGCAAGAGCAAAAATCTCTCATCATCCAGTCCTGACCCACCTTCTTCTAATGTCCCGCGGAAATCTACACATACTCGTCCAACTTCACAAAATACTGCAAAGAAGACCCCTCCATCACCATGCTGGCATTGTGGCGCGTGGCACTTTGTAAAGTCTTGTCCATACAAAAATCATCGTTGCAGCAAGTGCAACATCATCGGTCATAAAAATGGTTTTTGTCAGCCACGCAAACCCAGATGTCAAAATCCAGCAAAAGCTCAACAAAATGTTGGTCCTAAATCCCCAAAAAGTCATTGAGTCTACGCGCAACCCGTCAAGTCACAACACCAGGTATGCGGAAATATCTTGATCTTCAGATGAATGGTCATGATGCACGTCTGCAGCTAGATACCGCCTCTGATATTACTGTTATATCAGAGAAACTTTGGAATTATATTGGCAGACCACCTATCACCAATACTTCCCAGTCTCTTCTCAGCGCCTGTGGTGGGCGGCTCAAACTTATTGGTGAACTCAAATGTTCTGTTTCCTTCCGCAATACCAAATTCACAGGAATTTGTTACGTCACGAAGAATGATTTAAATCTTTTGGGACTTGATTGGTTCGATCGTTTGCATCTGGCTGATGTCCCACTAAATTCGCTATGCAATGCAGTCAAGAAGCATAAAATGTCAGACAATTCCGGACGGAGCCGAAGCCGCAAACCCAACAGCAGACGAAACGACAGGCGTCAACAACAAGCCCAAAGGTCCCAGATAAACCCCCAGGTAAACATCCTACTAATCATCCATCTTCTCAAAAGGGGAGGTGATATGTATCCACATATATATATATATATATATATATATATATATATATATATATTTATGTGTGTGTGTGCATGTTGGTCTCTCTTTCTGTTTGCTCGCTTAGTCTGTGACCATTTCAATATGTGATGAGGAAATGAAAGTTATTGGACAGTTGTGAAAGCATTTGAAATTTACAACAGCGAACCGAGATCAATGGAGATTTGTCACTGATGCCCCATGTTCCACTCATGGAACTCAAGTGACGAGTGATAATAGTTTCTAAAAGTAGTTTTAGTTACAGGATTTCATCATGAGCTGACATCGTCAGGAGAACAGCTGTTTCGTGAGACAAGTTCGGGTTTCTTCATCAGTATACATCCACTTCCAGGGTTCAAACTTGCGACCTCCCGGTTACAACGCTAGCGAGCACGTGAACCATTAAGCCACTGAGACCCTATGAATTGGCCACTGCGTGAATTCCAACTTTTGCCAATTCACGACATAACGCGATCACTAGCGAATGTCATCGGTGGTGAGTATTTGTCCTCACACCCGACCTACTATGCCCTACTGGTCGCGACTTCTCACTAGAACCTCAGGTAACTACCTACCTGAATAGAGCCAGTTGCTGGGAAGATCCTGGGTTCGAACACTGGTGGGTGCGCACTGCTGAAGGGATCCAAACCAGGACGAAAGAGCTGTCCAGTACTCCCAGGTTTTTTAGTGGTTGTATCACAAATGTCAGCTCTTGATGAAATCTTGTAGCCAATCAATCAAATCTCTACAAACCAGTACTTGTGTAAGAATAGTTTTGTTGAAGTACGGTTAACTTGTAAGATACCTTTCATCGTTATAAATAATAGATTTTACTTTTAAAACGTCTTTCAGAGTAAAGGAGGTTAACTGTGATTGAGTATTCAGATTGTTATTGTTGCTTGCAGTAGGGTTTCTATCATTTCAAGCCACGTAGAGGTGTTGGTGGCGGTCGTCGTCGTTATTCGTCACGCGCAGACGTCAATTAGGAAAAATCGTTGAAAATCAAGGAAGAGTGGACAGCTATTTCTCTTTAGTTCAACACTCTTCAATAGTGCACATTTACAAAACCACGTAGTACTAGTGTGGTAAGTGCTACTGATAAGATTTATCAATAGTATATATATAGAGAGAGACGTTCATCGGTATGAAAGCATCAAATAGCAGGTAGATACATTTTGATTTAAGGGAAGGCAAATGATACTACAGCGTCGTGGAGACACGTGAAAGGAACCACAAAGAAACGCAGCATGAAACCCAGAAGTAGCACAACACGAAGATCTGTGTACAAATGGTGATTTGAAGATAAGATAAGGTGTACATAATTTGAGGCTATATATAGAGAGATACCAAATTCCTGATAAACATTCCTTAACCAAGTCTTCGTTGTCTACTGTCTCGCTACTTCTCAACTCCTTCAACTTACAGACCGAGGACATTGACCCCATTTACATTGAGTGGGTTGGAAGTCGATGATCTGTGTATTTTTATTTCTGTCCGTTCGCCATTGTATATCTATCTCATAGAAAATTTCCATTGTAACATATAGAAAATCAAAATAAGTGATGATTCAGTGAAGCGACTCTTTTCCACGAACTTATTATCAAGCTGTACAATCGTATATACACATCTGCTTTTTAGGAAGTTATATCCGATGAGGGAATTGTATCACAGGTGTGAATGCATAAAATAATAGTATGAAATGCAATTAAAGTTAAAATGTTTGTGATTATACTCATAGTTAAATGTCAAGTGGCAAAGCAAATTAATGTCATATGTTTAGAATAATTCATAGGATGGATAGAACTTGAAAAAGGGTGTGCAATTATAGGATTAGTAGACAAATCGAATAAAACAAAAAAAACATTACGTAATATTGTGTGAAATTTAATAGTATAGAATTTAACGTTGTAAGGAAAGGAACTGATTTAGAATGGCAAGTGGAACAAGTGAAATAATACCGGGGACAGTTCAGTGGGAAAGTAGTAATATTAACAATCGACGTAATAAGGGAGAGTATACAAATTGAATATGATTAGGGATTATCATACTTTAGCGTAGAGGGGTTAAGACCATGAAAGTTGTAGGGGTTGAACGAACTTCTTCTGTACACAGAGATCTGGCTCTTCTGTTTCGATAGTCAAAGAAGCCTTCAGCAATACAGATGAGTCGGGTAGGTAGGGATTTGGGTAAATTACTCTTTACCTTGTAGATGACTTTAAAGGCGGTGGTTGTTGAGGTGTAGGTTGATCATTATCGACCAGATGTTCAAGGATCGTGCTTCTTATTGCTCCGTTTCTCCATCTTCATAACTACCATGCACCTTCTTGTACAAAACTCGAGTCGAACGACTGATATACCTAGATCCACACGAGCAGAGATCAATTGATAAACACATGTATCTATTTATCAACCTTGACTGCCCAATAGTATCAATGATCATCCAATTCACATCTAACCTCGTCGACTGTTTTGTCAATATTTCTGCAAAAGTGCCTATACTGAATTTAATTCAAACTGATGATCAGCTGTAAAACTTTACATTAAATTTGTGTGGTTAACTTATAGAGTCACTGCTCTGTTTGTGTGGCGTGTTTATAATCTTAAGATACGTGATGACGTAATTTAAATCATTCAGGAAACGTTGTGTCTCGATAGGCAGCAGCAAATGATTTCCTATTAATCTTCCATATTAGGGTGTTATATTTATCTCTGTCCTCCTTTATGGCTGTGACACCTGACCATTGACAGTGGAAGACATGAAAAACCTGGAGAGCTGTGTTCGATCATAGGTGCCTGCGCTCTATCTCCCGTGTGAATTGGTATAATAAGGTGAGCAATATTGAAGTTAGGCGTCGAGTGCTAGGTAGGTGGGAAGGGTAAATCAATCGACGAGGCTGTGAATCTGGATCGACTGAGGTGGTTAGGATATGTGTTACGTATGCTTAGTCATCGCCTTCCTTGATAGATGGGCAATGTTAGTTGACATAGGATTGGTCAGGCTGGAAAAAGAGCTAGCGGCGGTCAAACCAAAACATGGCCTTACCAGTCAATGAAATCCACAACAGTTAGTTTAAGCCAGCCGGCCACGTAAGAATATGTAGACTTCCTGGTTGGTGTCCTCGGGATGGTAAAAACCAATGAAGGCTGGAGACAATTGGTGATATGACTCAGAATCCTTGTTCTCAATGGTGCAGATGCATCCATTCCTTGTGACTTATGATTTCTAATGAAACTGTTTTGTTCTTCGTTACTACTATTGCATTGTCTCATACCTCTGTTTACTGTCTCTATTATGCATTTCTTCTAGTTTCTTCTCTTGCTTTGTGTACTACAAGGAGGAAGAGTGTGGCGACTTGAACTGCCGCACATATGTTCAAAGCTGTATGTCAGATATTTGTTATATTATTATTATTCTCATTTCTTGTCGTCACAATAACTGTTCATTATAATTTGTTTCTACTTCTTCTTCTAAGGGCTCCGCTAAATAATATGGCATGGGAACGTTGGGATAGTGTTAACGATCAAATGCGTGTATTTATGGCACCGTTGGCTTGTAGTGCAGCATGGGCGCTTAATTCATGGGATCGTGTAGAACGTTATGCTGAGGCGTTATCAGCTGATAATAGTTTTGATGGTGCATTCTATAGAGCTGTGCTAAATATTCACTCTGGACAATATGCTAAAGCCTGTGAATTTATCATGAAAGCACGCGATGTCCTGGACTCCGACCTGACAGCAATGGCTGAAGAAAGTTATGATCGAGCTTATGCTGTAAGTTAATTTTTGTTTGTGTATGTGTGTTAGTGTGTGTGTGTGTACATGAGGTTTGTCAAGTTTAGATAATTAATTAGGTAATACAAGAGTGAACTAATCTAGAAACAAGGTTAATTAGACATCAATTAAAGTAAGATTGTGTTAGTCAGTTAGATGACTAAAATGTTTCAGGAGCTGATATTGGTTAGAGAACCATTGGCAAACCAGCTGGGAGTATTGGACAGCTGCTTCGTCAGCCTAGTTTGGGACTCTTCAGCAGTACTCACCCACTGGGATTCGAACCCAGAACATTCTGGTTACAAGGCTAGTGAGCTCATAGACCATTAAGCCACTGCGACCCGATCCAATAGGGATCAAATCCCTACAAACCAACCAACACCTGAATATCGATGAGATGCTCACTAGCGACTTGCCCTATTCAGGTTGGTAGTTACCTGGGTGGTTCTAGTGAGAAGTCCTGACCTGTAGGGTGCTGCAGGGCGGGTGTGAGGATAAATACTCGCCGAATACATTGGCTAGCGTTTGCGCTATATCGTGAATTGGCAGAAGTTAGAATTCATGGACTGGCCATTGAATTGGTCGGGTTCCAGTGGCTTAATGGTATACGAGCTCAGTAGCCTTGTAACCGGAAGGTCCTGAGTTCGAACCCCGGTGAAGAGTCCCAAACTAGGACGAAACAGCTGTCCAGTACTCACATCTGGTTTTCCAATGGCTCTCTAACTGATGTCAGCTCATGGTGAAATCCTGTAACCAATCAAATCTCTACAAACCAACACTTAAAATGTTTAAGCTTAGGTCAAGATAGCAACGGAGGTAGTTACCGGTAGTGACTAAGTAGAGGTGGAGGGTAAAATTAGGATTAAAATTGAGCAAACAAATTGGATGACGTAACATGAATGACTTTGCCTCGGTGGCATAGTGGTAGTAGAATGCTCGACACAACCATGGATGTTGTCCGGGGTTAGATCCCCGGCAACTGGACGCACCTATTTATCTCGCTAAACCAGTAATAAGACTGGTAAAGAGGAAAGGTTGGGCATGAAGCTAGCTATTCCATCCTGTAAAAATAGGCACCACTGCTACCGAAACTTCGAGTCTCTAGCTTAAAGCCGTATGTTCTGCTGGGAACGTGAAGGAATGGAAAAAAAACATGAATGACTCGAAATTGAGTGTTGGTCAAGTCAGTAACACTGGTAATGAAGTATAGAAATTAAATCAGGTGGGGGGTGGGGGGTGGGTAGAGAACAGGAAAGTTGACAATACAAAATATTACAATTGAAAAGACGAAATAATTAATACAAGTGAAGTGACAGAAAGAGAGAAAGAAATAGAATTTACCTGTCGGGCATTAAGACAGCTTACATCCATTACAAGTGTAGTGATTGAACGAACTTCTTCTCTATGCAGAGTTCAGGACTTAGCTCTAGTGAATCGCCATTGCTTCTGCCGTGTGGAGAAGTTTGACTCGTACACTATTTTGTCTTATGTATCTTGTGATTAGATTATAACCGCCATCCATACATTTTAATAATTAATTCTCCATTATTATTTTTTTTTAGGATTTAGTTGGAACTCAATTGTTATCTGAAGCAGAAGAGGTGATACAGTATAAATTAATGCCAGAACAACGTCCAATACTTCGTGAAGCCTGGCAATCACGTCTACTTGGTTGTAATACTGTAGTAGAAGATTGGAGTCAAATTATTCAACTGAGAAGTTTAGTACTAGAACCATTTGAAGATCGTAAATCATGGTTACGTTTTGCTGGACTTTGTCGTCGTAGTGGTCGTTTCGTAAGTGTCTGTGTGTGTGTGTGTGCGTGTATTCAGTATTATTGATTCTGTTACTACTTTTATGCTAGAGCTTTTTTCGTTCTTTACATTGTAATGTAGTGAAAATATTCATTCAGACATCCGGTAAAAAAAAATAGTTGAGGAAAGAATATCCTCCTTTCGATAATTTCCCCTTCCATCTAGACAACTGTATGCATACATTTGCATAGACAGAATATTCTAGAATAATCGTTATTAACAAAATTGTTGTCTTTCTGTCTAAATACTATCGATTTGTTAAGAACACAGTGGAATTACCACAGTTCAAGAAAGATGTATAAGTTATAATAATAATAATAAGCATAAAAATGTAATAACTAATAGAATTGTAACGACAGAAGACAAGAGCCAGGCAACAGATACTTTCAGGATTTCATCATGAGCTGACATTAGTTAGAGAACCATTGGAAAACCTGCCAGGGAATACTGGACAGCTGTTTCGCCCTAGTTTGGGACTCTTCAACAGTACGCACCCGCCGGAAGCTCCTGGGTTTGAATCCCAGTGGGTGCGTACTGATGAAGAGTCCCAAACTAGGACGAAACAGCTGTCCAATATTCCCTGGCAGGTTTTCCAATGGTTCTCTAACTAATGTCAGCTCATGGTGAAATCCTGAAACCAATCAAATTCCTACAAACCAATACATGAATACAACAGATAGTTAATTGAGAAAATTAACAGATATTTATAGATTTTTATGTGCATTATCACTAGTGTTATTGTTAGCGGAGAAGCAATCTCTTCTGATTGGTTTGATTTCTTGCTGAAGATTATTCTGTTATTGCGCTTTTGTGGTTGTTTCTCAAAAAATTAAGTCATATATACATCTGTGAATCATATTTCCACACTTTAACTCCTCTGTGATTGGCTAGTGATTTTCTGAAGGTTAAGCTTTGTTATTGTCCTTTTTATCTCATTCCCCTAATTCGGGACGTCAGTATTGACGTAAATTGTTGTCTACAATTTTGAATTGTTCGCAGCCAACTGTCACCACAGAATAACAAAGAAAATTAAGGAAATTTCCACAATAAATTGACGATCGTTAAAACCTTGATGGCCAGTCAGCTGCATAAGGACACTGTCTGAACCAGTTTCGTCAGGATACATGGATTAGGCTTTTTAATGTAATTTCCAACAGCCACCCTTGGCAATTAATGTGTAGTAGGCGAACACTTTTGACGTAAAGTCATAATAAGTTGGTATGCTGTAGTTGACTTTGAAAGCCTCCTGGTTAACATCAGTCGTGTGTTCTGCATTTACGTGATGAGACAGAATAGACTTCTGATTATGAGTGGCAATAGTTTGTGCTCGAAACGTCATCAGTTAATATAACTGTACAACACTGTGTGTGATTTATCAAAATAAAATCTTATCCATAATGGAGTTATACTCTACCACAGTGCCAAAGTTTTATACTTATATCAACTTCTGAATGGACTTTTTTCTCCCTTACTTAACCACTATGCAGGGTAGTGTTCGGAAATCTGACAATAAACATACCTCTTTTATGTGTATCTACCAGTCTGACTGCTCTTCTGTGGTGAGCCAATTACTTCCATACTTCCGTACAATTAGGTGTGTTTGATCGTCGGATTTCCGAACAACATCCTCCATGATGGTTGAATAAAGCAGAAAAAAAAACCATATTCATAATTTTTTTTTATTTTCTCATCTCGTGGATATAGAACACAAAATTGGCTGCTTTCAAAGTCATCCACCGTATACCAACTAATCTTAACTTCACCTAAATGGTTCATCTACTACATATTGTTGAGACTGGCTGTTGGGATCCAAATTAAGAAACCTAATCTATGTATCCAAAAAGAAGAAATTAGTTCAGACACTTTTCTTACCCCGCTGACTGACCATCGAGCTTTTAATGATCCTAAATTTTTTGTAGAGATTTCCTTAATTATTATTTAATATTCCACTTAGTGAAGTATTACATTTTTATGTTTATTATTATTATTATAACTTATGCACTTTTCCTCAACTGGAAAGGCAAGATACACGTTCATCAACTTGAAACCAGTTGGGAAATCTTCTGCATGGGTCAGAATGTTCGGCATGCGATTCGCTCCCGCCAAATGTAAGATGATGTTACAGGACTGGACTACACTGACTCTTAGTTTAGAAATAGGGAGTGAAGTAGTTGGTAGGGCACGTTGACCACTTCTCTTATTTGGGAAATTGCATCAGCCAGTGCTAACGGGTTGATCTCTGACGAAATCTCCGTACGGATACAGACGGCTAGTTTCACATATGCCAGTTTACGCCGTCTCTGGTTTAGTAGACGTGATATCCGGCTGGCTGTCGACCAAAGGGCGAGTGTACTACTCATCAGTCATCTCTCTTCTCCTTTATGGCTGTGAGTGAGACGTGGCCATTGAGAGTGGAAGACATGAAAAGACTAGCTGTCTTTGATCATAGGTGCCTGCATTCTATCTCCCGTGTGAAGTGGTATAATAAAGTGAGCAATATTGAGGTTAGGCTTCGGTCGAGTTCTAGGTAAGGAGGGGAAATCAATCGGCGAGGCTGTGAAATTTCACCGCCTGAGATGGTTAGGATATGTGTCACGTATTCCTAGTCATCTCCTTCCTCGGCCGACAGGCAATGTTAGCTGACATAGGGTCAGGTTGGAAAGAGCTAGCGGTGGTCAAACCAAAACATGGCTTCAGTCAATGAAATCCACAACAGCTAGTCTAAGTCACGTAGGAAGGTATAGACTGCCAGGCTGGTTGGGTTTTTCGGGATGGTAAATACCAATGAAGGCTGGAGACAATCGGTGATATGGCTCAAAGTGATCGTTCTCAATGGATGTTGAAGATGTATCCATTCCTTGTGACTTATGATTTCAAGTGAATCTATATTGTTCCTCGTTATTACTATTCCTTTGTCTCACACCTCTGTTTACTGTCTCTATTATGCATTTCTTTTACTTTCTTCTCTTGCTTTCTGTGCTATAAGGAGGGAGTGTGGCGACTTGAAGTGGTGCACATTTGTGCAAACTTCTATGTCGAAAACAGACAGACAGGTCAGAAACTTGTACTACTTGTCACTGAAAAGAATTTCCAACAGGTTGCAAAATTCCATCAATAGTTGTCCACTTCTCTGGCTCTATAATGAAGATCAAATGGCCGGCCGATTGACGAGAAAGAATTAGCAACAAGAAACTGTGACCCTCAACGAACTAACCAAAAGCCTATCACTCAACATGTATGTAGAAATAAGTGGAGATTGGTCGGGCATACATCACTGAGGCCTTCTAGGGACATCACACGCAATACAGGCCATTGCTCGAGTAGGACCCGCATTTGAAACGACGGGTGGGTCGTCATTGAGAGGATGACATGGAGGAGATCGTCTGTTGGTTGGGGAGGAGGAGATGAGAGATTATTGGCATTCTGGGGTTTAGCCAGTTGAAGTGGACGGCGGAAAATAGAAGGAAGTGGCGATGTGTTGTTCAAGGTGTATGCTCCATTCGAAACCCATGGGATTAATAATTAATAATCATAATAATAATGAATGCTTCTAGCAGTAGTGTTGTTTCTACGAGATAGAATTTTTTTTTTATTTATTTTTATTTTTGATTACAGCTTGATTCCACACTGTATTTTTAGTACAAGTATGGAATTTTCAGCATGTGATATCGGTAGCCCAAATTTTGTAGGCCGACCATAAATATTAGTTGTGCGTCGGCAGGGGATCGAACCTCGGACCGGACCATGTGCATGGTCGGCAAGAGTCCTAACCACTGTTCCACCGACTCAGTGTGCTCCTACCTGGCGTGTAAGCAAGCAATCGATATGTCAAATTCAGGATTCGATTGGTCGGTAATCGAACCAGCACCTCACATGTTGCTTGACGATCATTCTACTATTAAGCCCCACCAGTGTGCCTCTGTATGTTAGAATAACATGTTTTCTTTTGTCAATCAACATCATTATTATTGCTTTTTTTTCTTCTGAAATTCACTTACACAGATTTTATCCCGTCAAGTATTAGAAAATCTCCTAGGTTTAGATCCAGCTGGTATACCACCGAGTGATCCAATTCCTAGTCGTGATCCTGCTATTGTATTTGCCTATTCTAAATTATTATGGGCAGTTGGTGCACATGAAGAAGCTGTCAGCCGATTGTGTGTATTAAAAACACAAGTTTTAGAACCATTAATTAAAGGTGTTGGCAGTGGTGATGATACAGTCAATGCGTGTGGATTGATGAATACAACTATTGGACAACAACAACAGCAACAACAACAACAACAGCAGTTTTGGTCTCCAAATTTAATCAATTCAAATGAAATATTTGATAGTTGGGATTTAAAAAATCTCAGTAATCATGGAAATAATAATAATAATAATGAAGAGTTAAGAAAACTATTGGCCAAGTAGGTGACTTTTTGTTATAATATCCTGTTGTCCGTCCATTCGATACTTCTTTTTTCTTCCTTTTTTTTAAATGTGGTTATCATTCAGATTAGCAATTGAAACGTTGAATGCGATTATGTCTAGTTGTTTAAAATGTGTTTGTTCAAGTGAAATCTGATTGGAGGATTGCATCATGAATTGATTGCTGTCGGTTAGAGAACCATTGGAAAACCAGCCACAGGAAGTACTGGACAGCTGTTTCGTCAGCCTAGTTTGGGACTCTTCACCAGGACGCACACACACACACACACACACAATAGGAGTTCGAGGTCGCCGTGTAACCAGAAGGTTTCTGGGTGCGTACTGATGAAGAGTCCCAAACTAGGCTGACGAAACAGCTGTCCAGTACTCCCTGTGTCTGGTTGGTTTTCCAATGGTTCTCTTACCGACAGCAATCAATTCATGATGAAATCCTCCAACCAATCAAGCTAAATCTCTACAAAAACCAGCACTTTATAATCTAAATTTGACTATGATTTGCCAACTAAAAGTTCCCTAATCAAGTCACATCTTAGTAGCATCACTTTGTAATGTCTTTTCATGTTATACTAGATGTGTCTGATGGTAATGAAAAGAGATGAATATATTCAAGTGTTGGTTTGCAGGGAGTGTTGATTGATTTCAGGATTTCATCATTGGGAGCTGACATCGGTTAGAGAAAAACAATTGGGAAAACTATTAGGGAGGCATGGTTTTTGAAACTGACGTTTACACTTATTTTAAACCTATGTATATAAAACGTGTGTGGGGACGTATCCTAAAGTTTGTAGAATCCCCAACCGGCAATTGAAAAAGTTTACGCCAACTTTATGCATTCAACGCAACAATTTGTCATCACACTAATAAACCTTTCTTAGCAAACTTTGTTTTGATACTAGCCAGGGTAGATGCTGATATGTATCCATATATATATATATATATATATATATGGTGATCTCTCTTTCTGTTGCTCGCTTAGTCCGTGACCATTTCACTCTGATGAACCTGTCTCCTTTAACAATGTATATTCCCCTTATATTATATATAATATGAGTGTTTGTTGACAGTCCGTTGCTTGGTGACATATATCCATATTATATGTGTGGTTGTTGACATGTCTGCTATATTTTGCTATGTATATATGGATCGATACTCCATTATAATTAGCCATTCATGTTAGGACTGTCTGTTGATTTGTTCACACACTTGTCTGGACATTCATATATATTTCGCTCCCACAATCTTGTGTGACGACTTTGGTGTGATACCACTTATTGCTTCTCCTGGTGTTTTGGAAAATAGGAGTATCATCGCAAACCTAGTAGTGGTCTTCTGATTTCCGTCTTTCTTGCGTCAGGACTATTAAATTCTTGGCCAGTACATAGCAATAATTTGGCGACGAGTACATAACAATTTGGCGACTGGAAAAACTACTATTAACCACTCAGCATCAGCAACATAACAGATGCACTGTTTGTTACCTCTGTTATTTGGATTAGTGATCGTCACTGTTTATTTTGACCTTCAATAGGTCCTTTTAGCTTGACCTAAATAGTCTATTTTCTCACCTCTTAATTCGCTATTAATTAATTAAAAATGCCCATTAAAATTCTCAAAAGAATGGTTACTGAGCAAAAAATACTGTTTTCAATAACCTGATTTTCATCAGGTTCTACTGTTATATACATAGTGAATGAAATAGTGTTATGAACAACAATAATGTTACTGTTTAAATAACATCGAGTCAATAATAACAGTAACATCAGTGGATTACATTTCAGTAGCATCAACATAATACTAAACTGAATGTCAAAAAAATTAGGAAACAATATTACAAATTCATGAATTTATAGTGTCCACTGAAGTCTGGTCAGGTCAGTAGTAGTGGCTAGCTGGACTTGCTTCTTTTGCACATAAAGAACTGATTGTGTTTCATGCGAATTGCGACAGCCTCAACTGTTTGGAGCATGCGTTACCTGGATGTTTTTCGCAATTTATTCGGTAGCCGATAGATGGTGGAGAAGGAAACTTCAATTCTGGCTGCCTTTGTGGCCGGCCGCTTTGGACCAGATGGTCTAATATCGAACTGTTAATGGCTTTTACTACACTTTTGCTTAGTCATACTGGTAGATGTTCTCGAGAGAGTGCACGAAAAATCAAGTTCCTGGAGCAACAGCCGATATAACTCGCCACACCCAAAGCGCAGTGGAATCGGTAGATACAATTTGAAGTGGCTAGTCTAGTCTAGTTACGTCATCTTTCAGTCTACGAATCACCATCGGTCGTGTAGAGAATAAGATGTGTAGTTTGCCGGCATTAAAAGTTCTTTGAACTGATTTTCTTAATTTCTTTGTAATTATCTCACTTGGTATATCGCCCTTGAATAGCAGTTATATATATATATATATATATATATATATATATATATATTAATGGGGATAGATAGGTAGGTAGCTAGGTATTCTCATGAGAGTGTGATCAGATTGTTCGAAATAAGTGTTGTGCGCGCAAATGCACACAGTACACACACAATTTAGAGAAATCACGTCTTCCTTTTTATTGCTTTGTCTAAATTCATAAAGGGGACTACTAAGTGTTTTAAATATCAATCTATGTAGATTAGAGTAAAGCGTGTTCTCATTGAAAACAATATTTTCTTGTTCTAATATTAAATAGTTGGGAATATTGGGAATACCTGTGTCTATCCTTCACTAGCCGCCCAATGTTCACCCAGCAACTCAAAGATGTCTTACCTAACCTTGGCTCTTCTTCATGCATATACCATTTCAATTGTTCCTGTGGTTCAAGTTATATAGGGCGCACGATTAGGCAGGTTCGTCTACGGGTTTGAGAACATTTATCAGCTTGGTTCAGCAGGGGGGAAATTAAGTGCGTAAAAAGCTCGATCCTGTCACACTTGGTCATTACTGGATATCGCATAGATGTCAACACAGCTTTTAGGGTTATATACCGAATTCCGAAGTCGTTATCACGTACAGTTCGCTTACGTCTCCTACACATAGCTTAAGCTGTTGCAATAAGATCGACTAAACTGGAACTTTGTATCTAAAAAGAACACGTCCAGACTCTGTTCTTACCGCTACCAACCTTGGATTGAAGATTTTTTTCTCACCAAGAGTGCTCCTTCCCCTTAACTCTCTTGGGTTTTTGTCTTTTTTTTTACTTTGCTTATTATTACAATTATTATTATTATTCGTCATAATTTATGCCCTTTATGCAAACATCCCCTCAAAACTATCGAATTTTTCATTTATACTATCCGGACTTATTATTAGTGATATTATCTGTTTTCTCAATATATACTTTACTTTCCTTCGGCTATCTCCTACGGGAGGATGAGCCGGCTTCATTAACATCTCGAATCATCGCTGCCCAGGCGCGGCTATCTGATGCAAGGTTTTGCGACAGGGTTATCCAATCCTTGTTCCACAGACGGAGTCCGTAGACGGTTTGTAGCCCCAGCCCAGACACTCCATATCAGCCTTGACTGTACCAAGCCATGTTTTCAGCTGTCCACCCCTGCGACATCGCCAAGATGGAAATGGCGAGGGATTTAGAACTGATTTGACCAGATCGCCATCTGGTCGGCGCAGAACATGGCCAAACCACCGAAGGCGACGTTGTTGGACCAGTACTGGAATTTGGTTGATGTTGTAGAGAGTTCAGAGCTCATGAAGTTTCATGGGAATTTGGTACGAGTGATGTCCCCAGAATCGCTCGGCCTTTTGTTTGAGAGTGCAGCTCTAGCCTTTACACAACCAAGTGTGACCTACAAGGTAGTAGGAGTGGAGTAGGAAGTCCACTATCCATTGGAAGCCAGCCGGTGACCGGAGTCCGGTTCATACGCCTTTTTGAATGGGGCCAGACATCCAGGGCATCGAATAAGCCCTTTGTCCATACGTCTGCCGGTGAGCTTCATACGCCAGTCGTTGGAGGTTTGGAATCAGGGTTTAGCCATCTCCCCTAGACTGTCATCCAATGGAAAGTCAACCCGGTGAGGAGCGCTGGGCATCCGCTTTTGCCCTCTCACTTCGGTGAAAACACCTTCGCCACGTGAAGGCAGTGAGTAGGACTTCCTCAGGAGAGGCTATATAAGACGCCCGGTCATATGGGAGCATTTCAAGAGGTGTACGGAGGGGTGGCCAACCTGCAGCGCAAGGCACCCACCCCCGATCATCCTGAGGCCTCCACCTGTTTCATTTAACATATTCGTTATTTCATTATGAACCTCTCATTGCAGTCTTACTATCTCCTGTTTAAGACAGACCAATTTGTACTAGCCACTCACTCACATGGCACCCTTTTTAACCTTGAACTGACTTGTCAATTTTCCTACCCCACACTCTATAAATCTGTTATGATTAATCACCACTGTGCGTCGGTGGCACAGTGGTTAAAACTCTCGCCGACTATGCACATGGTCCGGGTTTCGAGCCCACGCCGACGCACACCTGGTATCTATGGTTGGCCTGCGAAATTTTGGCTACCGATATCACATGCTGAAAATTCCATACTTGTACCAAAAATACAGTATGGAATCAAGCTGTAATCAAAAATAAAATAAAAAAATACAATATTTTGGTAATCGATTCCAGCCAACTAGCAGGTTTGTCACACAAACACGACTATTTATTTTGACACCCCATAACTAATCTGTTATTCTATGTTAAAAATGTATCCGCCGCCTCATAACTGGCCTTTATTGTAACGACAACAAATATTACATATTTTTAATAATTCTAAGAACCTGAAGAAGCGAAATTATTGAAAAGAATATTCTTCGTTCAGATTGACTTTTAATGAATATTTAAAGATTTAAAATTAAATGGTTAATTTTCCTTTCTTATTATTTGTTGCTTTTTAATTTCCAATTTTTGCTTTTGTTTTTAGATGTTGTCTTAAATTAGGCTTATGGTACTCAGAGTTGTATACGCGTTCGCCACCTGGGAGTAGTAGTAGTGGTGTAGGTCATCAAACAGACAATCATTCATTAACTATACCACCACCTCCAACAGCCTCCTCATCGTCGTCATCTTCTTTGTTCATGACAGCATCGCATAATAATAATAATGGTTTACAGTATTCTGTAGCAGCTGCTCGTAAACTATCAAAAGTTAATAATAGTAATAATAATAATATTACCAACAGTAATGATCCACATTTATCCATTAATACAAATGATACTGTCGTTGTTGATATGCATGAATCAAATAGTCGTAATAATACTATGCATAATGCAAATATTACACAAACATGGGAAGAATGTCAAGCATTTGTTATACAGTGTTATCAAACAGCTACGCTATATGCACCAGATAATCATAATGCTTGGCAATCATGGGCTATGGCTAACTATGCTGTATTCAATCATTTAGATACATTGAAAGCGTGTTTAGAACGAGCTGAATTAGAATTGAATAAGGTAAGTTTTTATATTCAGAGAGAATGTTTGTCTTTGTTTCGCTTTCCGTGTACCTTCGCATTCGAAGTGGTAGAAAAAATCATTGATTTCCATGGGTTGTAGGGGGTGGTGTTTATTTTTTTTTTGGCTTCTACTGGATGAGGTTGTTAGCCGCATATTCTTCCTCCCATCTTTTCTGAGCTCAATCACCACCGGTTTGTAAACTAGGCGAGAACAAATTGATGGAATCATGTTGGCCTTATTTTCTCTATTCTTTGGAACACATTGTACAGTGAGCAAGTCTTCGAATGTTTGACATGCGAGCGATTCGTTCTTGCTGTCAAATGTAAGATAAGATGGTACCTAGTTGCTACAGGACTGGACGACATAGATTCCTAGCTTTTAAAGATAGGGAGGTGGCCAAGTGGTAGGAAGTTGCATCATCCAACCACAGTGGGTTGATTGATCTCTGACGAAATCTCTGCACGGATACAGAAGGCTTGTTGAATTACGCCATCTCTGCCGTAGACGTGATATCTTGCTGGCTGTCGATCAGAAGGCGTGTGTATTGTTCAGAAGTTCGCGCCGTTCTCCTTTATGGCTGTGAGTGAGACTTGGTCATTGAAAGTGGAAGACAGGAAAAGCCTGGCTGGCTAGCTGTCTTTTTTGATCATAGGTGTCTGCGTTCTATCTCCCGTGTAAGGTAGTGTTAGAATAAGTTGAACAATACTGAGGTTAGGCATAGGTGGTCGAGTGCTAGGTAGGTGGTAAGGAGGGGAAATCAATTGACGAGGTGGTTGTGAAGTTACATCGACTGAGCTAGTCAGAACGTTTATTACGTATGCCTAGCCATCGCCTTCCTCTACCGACGGGCAGTGTTAGCTGACATAGTGTCAGGATGGGAAAGAGTTAGCTAGTGGTGGTCAAACGAGAATATGGCTTCATCAGTCAACGAAATCCAAAACAGTTAGTTTCAGCCAGCCAGCCACGTAAGGCGGTGTAGTTTGCCAGTCTTGTTAGGATCCTCGGGATGTTAAGAACCAATGAGACACTTGGTGATATGGTTCAAAATCGTTGTCATTGACAGCGCAGATGCATTCACTCCTTATGATTTATAATGTATAATAAAACTATTGTTCTTGCATATCTCTCTTTATTACCTCTCTTTACTCTCTTTATTTTGCTTTGTGTGCTGCAAGAAGGAAGTGTGGCAAGTGGAACTGCTTGCTGTGCATCGGTGCAGAGTTTTCCGTTGAAACCAGTCAGTCAGTTAGTCATTGCCTCTATTCAAGTTTAGCAAGGGAGATAATTGTATGCAAAGTTGTTCATTGGCTTCTTTCTTAAACACTTGACCATCGACCATTAGTCATATCAAGTTACGAACCCCCGTTTTATGCTAATAGAGTTTTATGGCGATAGGTAGCTAGGTATTCTCATCAGGGCCAAGTTAAACTTTAAGCACCAATAACTAACTACCTCACCAATGGCCTTGAAACACCCCCTTAGCAAGTTTAATGAAACATGGCAAATAATACCGTCATCATCAATAAAATACGCTCATCGAAGAAGTGTAATATTATTTTCAATGGGATATCTGGCAAGTTTCAGCTTAGGTGTTTGGGAAGGATTAAGTTACGCTTTAAGCCAAGGACACAAGTTAGGGTTAGGTTAACCTAATGAAGGTGAACATTAGGGTTGGTTTGAGTTAGAATACAGTTAGTTTAGGGATATTTTCACGCTGGGGTTTGGAGTTAGAAGACCTAAATAATTACACGCATAGAATGTGGTTAAATTTCTCTGTTTATATAAGAATAGAACTTGTGCAGTGTGGTACGGTATAATTCTCCACTGTGGGTAAAATTTATTGTGATAAAGTGTCAGAGTGTTAAACAGTAATATTTACTGATGACCACATTTCGAGCTCAATTTATTGCTCAGTAGATATTACTATATTACACTATGAAACTTTATACTCTGCTGATACTCCAACTTAAAACTGAGAGCTAATTTTTTTTCTATCATATTTGAGATGAAGGTATCCTCTGTAACACTTTTCTGGAGTTTTTAAGTATTTCTTTTTCATAAATATATGTGCCTCCTTCACGTGATTGGTGCGCTCCAGGTCATTCGCTGATTGGTGGTATTTAGTGGTGCTTAAAGTTTGATTTTGCCCTCATCAGTTGTCACACAGTAAAATTTCTAGGTCATACACAGAGTAGGTAAATGCACTTGACGGTGAATTTTTCTTGACTAACCTCCTTTACCTACTTGGGAAGCATCGTTTCAACTACAGGCGGACGGAACTGATGAGGATATCAAAGCCAAAATCGGAAAAGCAAGACAAGCTTTCATTACTCTTAAGTCTGTGTGGAGGTCAATAGCACTCAGCATCAAAAATAAGATCCGGATTTTCAACTCCAATATGAAGTCAGTGCTACTTACTGTACGGATCAGAGATTTGGCGCGCGTCATAAAGAGCATCTCAAACAAACTACAGACCTTCATCAACAGCTGTCTTCGCTCAATACTTTACTCAAGATCAGATGGCTGGCTAGAAAAGACCAGAACACAGGGATCTCTGGCAATGAGCGAACCAACCCAGCGGGAACCGATTGTGCAACAAATATGGAGGAAGAAATGGAGATGGATTGGCCATACTCTGAGGAAACAAACCATCAAGTAACATCATAAGACAAACCCTAGAGTGGAACCCAAAGCGAGTTGGTCGTCAGTGCAAGGGTGACTTGGAGGAGGAGGTCATGTGAAGAGGAGATGAAAGCATGTGGGCAGACTTGGAGCGGGGCAAAAAAGTTGGCAGAAAACCGAAGGCAATGGAGACGCGCAGCCCCATATCTTCTTTCTAGAAAGCAGTATCATCACTGTTAACTTTTTTAAAGCTTATCAAAGTACTATTAAACTGTCCTTCTGAAAGATTATGATAAAGTATCGAAGCATTACACACCAGATATTAAATGGTGAATAATAATGCGTAAGAGGATTCTCTATAACTGGAAACTATTCATTTTTATCTTATCTAGTCACCGTATATATTTTTGACAATATGTTGAAAATTAGTTTTCATGGATAATCCCCATCCAGGAGGCATTAATGAAAACAAAACACCTAGTGTTCAGCGAAGAGTCTCTTTTCGACGGCGAATTCATTCGCGCTTAGCTGTACAATCGCAAATATACATATGTGAGTTATTTTGTATGCATGTGTACATTCTGTCTGTCTGTCTGTTTTCGACATAGAACTTTGCACAAATGTGCGCCAGTTCAAGTCGCCACACTCCTCCTCCTTGTAGCACATAAAGCAAGAGAAGAAAGTACAAGAAAAGCATAAAAGAGACAGTAAGCAGAGGTGTGAGATAAAGGAGGAGTAATAACGAAGAACAAAACAGTTTCATTGGAAATCATAAGTCACAAGGAGTGGATGCATCTGCACCAGCCACTGAGAACGATTTTGAGCCATGTCACCAATTGTTTCCAACTGTCATTGGTTTTTACCGTCCCGAGGACCCCAACCAGGAAGTCTACACCTTCCTACGTGGCTTAGACCAACTGTTGTGGATTTCATTGACTGGTGCCAAGTTTTGTTTGACCGCCGCTAGCTTTTTTCCAGCCTGACCCTACATCCGCTAACATTGCTCGTCGAGGAAGGCGATGACTAGGCATACGTAACACATGTCCTAACCATCTCAGTCTTTGTAACTTCACAACTTCGTCGATTGATTTCCCCTCGTTATTTAGCACTCGATTCACGCCTAACCTCAATGTTGCTCACTTTATTATGCCACTTTACACGGGAAATAGAGTTTGTCAAACAAAAATAGACAATTGGTCATACTTACTTTAACTAAACAGGTGAAGATTGGCAACTGGAGTTATGTAATGCCAAAATCAGTCAAGAAAATTAGGTGTTAGTGAAATTAGGGTAGTAACAAAGGTGATGGGTTGTCACAAACAGTTGTTAAAAAAGAGGTTATGTAATAATATGAATAGTCTGATGATTGAGTTTTACTCAGGATACGCACATAGGAACAAAGTGGATAATACGAAATCGCGTAAGAGTTCTAAATGAATATACAAGAATTATAAGCAATTAAAGAAACAGGCAAAGAAACAAAATTAAGTCATCAAAAATCAACAAAGTTATTACCATGACAGTCGAAGGGGTTGAGTAATTCTCGTTTTTCTATGCTCAGCTCCGGGTTTTTCTATGTGAATCGTCAGAGCTTCAGTGATACAAAGAAGACGAAACCGTATTTATTGCCTTTGATAATTGAACACCTGGTTAACACGGATCATTCCATCTCAACAAACGCCTCCTCCTTCAAAGTAATCTACAGAGTGTCAAGACTAGCCTACCCAAAAGCAATACATTTTCGACTTCTATATATTGCTGAAACTCTGACCATTCACACATAGAAAAACTGGAGCGCTGTGCATACAAAAGGAGGACTAATCAACCACTTCTACTGTCATGATAACAATTTTATTGATTTTTGATGACTTAATTTTGTTTCCTTGCCTAATTCTTTAATTGCTTATAATTCTTGTATATTCATTTAGAACTCTTACGCGATTTCGTATTATCCACTTTGTTCCTATGTGCGTATCCTGAGTAAAACTCAATCATCAAACTATTCATATCATTATTACATAACTTCTTTTTTAACAACTGTTTGTGACAACTCATCACCTTTGTTACTACTCTAATTTCATTAACACCTAATTTTCTTGACTTGTTGTATTACCAATCTTCACGTATTTAGTTAAAATAAGTATAACCAATTGTCTATTTTTGTTTGACAAACTTAATTTACACATAAATACAAAATACCTCATATGTATATTTGCGAGTGTACAGCTAGGAAAATGAATTCGCCGAAAAGAAAATTAATCTACAGATACAACCAACTTGTTTTGAAGTGATTCCACCCCACCGTCGCCACATTCTGAACAAAATCCGATTGGGGTGTGTGAGTACGCATCTTTGATGAATTGTACCCTTAAATAAATGTGAAACGGTCATCTAATGTGTATTTTTAGATCACTGCTATCGGTGTCGGTGGCACACCGGTTAGGACACTCGCAGACCACGCACATGGTCCGGGACTCAATCCCCGGCCGACTTACTCCTTTACCTCGCTAAGCCAGAAATAATCCTGGTAAAGAGGGAAGGTTGGGCATGAGGCTAGCAACCTCATCCTGTAAAATAAACACCGCTGCTACAGAAACTTCAAGCCACTATCTTGAGGCCCTATGTTCCACTGGGGAACGTGAAGAAAAAAGAATACTGTGATGCTGAACTGGTTTAGGTAAACCTCCCCCTTCATAACCACTATGTTGTTACTTTACCAAATTGGATTGATAATGGAAATAATTATCTCTGTTTTCTTATTATTCTTTTTTTCTTAGGTTGGTGGTGGTATTGAAAATCAAAATCTACGATCATCATCTCGATGTAATTTCTCATCACCGGCTGCTGGTGGTAGCCATGGGTCGAATGCTTTGAATTTATCTGGTGGAGGTGGCGGTATTGGTAATGTCTCATCATCATTACCACAACCAATAGCAGAGTTGGTTCGTGCAAAAGCTGATTTACAACGATGTATGGAGTTGCATGCTGCTCCATCTGTTCGAGGTTTTGTGAACTCCATCAGCTTATCACCAACAGCAAATCTACAGGTAGGTGTCGTCTCACACACCTGTGTGTTACATCAATGTGAAAATGACAAGATTTTATGTGATTTACTAGAAATAGGCGTGGAATGTTTTATTTTTTAATTTTTTTTAAATTTTATTTTTGATTACAGCTTGATTCCACACTGTATTTTTTGGTACAAGTATGGAACTTTCAGCATGGATATCAGTAGCCCAAATTTCGCAGGCCGACCATAGATATCATTGGATACACGCACTAAATAGTGTTAGGCGTTTAGTTTTCTGTTTGGGGTAGACTAAATTCTCAGTATTTAAATTGGAGGATGGTGACACTAGCATTGGAATCCATGGCAACGCGCATTTCGTCCTATTTGGGACTCGTCAGCTAACTGGATGGATGTACCTGCATTCCCTAGAGAGTCAGTGATAATGTTCCCAACGAGGCTCGAACCCATAGTGTGCCTATAGTTTCAAACGCCAGCTGAAGCGTTATCCACTAGACCACTTGGGCCACGAGAGCCATTCCACTTCTTGTGCAACGAGTCATATTAATTCAATTTAATTTTTAGATTTCCCTGTCGATTGATTGGACCGAAATGCTCAGTCTCAGGTTGAAGCATCTGCACAAGAAGCCAACAGACATGTCGACCTGAGACTGAGTGAGCACTTTGGTCCAACCAATCGACGGGGAAAATCTCAAATTCAATTAGACTAAATTCTGTCATTCGACAATTCTTAGTGCACCGTGATGGCGAGCTATCTATACTCTGTGGTGGCCACATTGCAAAGTTGACCTATAAAATTCAGACGTGTATAAAATAAAACAAAATAATTGAGCAAAGAATATCCCCCTTTCGATAATTTCCTCTTCAGACTCTTCAGTCATGTATACGTTTATATACATAGAATATTCTAGAATAGTACTCAATAACAATATTGGTGTTTTTCAAATAATATCGATTTTTAAAGTAAGATCAATAGAACTACAGTTCATTAAAGATGCTTAAATTGTAATAATAATAAAGATATAATAGCAAATGGAATATCAACTAAAAATAAGATAGTTCCACAAAAATTGAGGATCACTCAAACCTAGATGGCCAAGGTAAGGATAATGCCTGTTTGAACTAGCTTCTTTTGGACGCATAAATTAGACTTCTTAATGTGGATCCTAACAGCCACCTCAGCAATAAGTAATAGCTGAACTCTTGAAGTGGAATTTCGCTTAGTAGGTATACGGTAGATAACTTTAAAAGCCGCCTCGTGTGTTCTCTATCCACAAGATAAGATAGAATAGAACTATGAATGGATTTGGTTTTTCCTTTACTTAACCACGTAGAATGATGTCCAGAAATCCGACGATAAACACGCTTAATTGTACGTCCTATGGAACTAACTGGCTCACTCCACAGGAGCAGTCAAACTGGTAGATATACATAGAAGAGGCGAAATTAGCCAGTTTATCTTTTTTACTCATGAACACAAAATGGGTGTGTGGTTTTGAAGACACAGTGTAATTCAATAGCAGGGAATGCTCTTTGTTTCACCGCATTCCTCAGATGTTGTGTGTTAGTATCTTGCTGATGTTATCCCCGAGGAACTGTTGGTACCTTGGGTTGCACCAAACAAACGACTAGATATATTACACTAGTTAGTATCCAACATAATCATTCGTACAACAGTTTAAAATCACCTCGATTTATCCCTAACACGTGCCCTTATCAGTCAGTCAGTCAGTCAGTAGCATGTCTTGTGTAGTAAAAACTGTTTTCATATTCCACAGGGATTACTTGTGAAGTTGACCGTGTGTTGACCGTTAAACTGTGCTGATGATGAAAGCTTGATTTTGAAGCGCATATTAAATCATTGTTATGTGTAGTGTGAAGTGGCGAAACATCCGACGGAAAAAAACACTGGCTTGTATTTGGTTCATGGTTGTCAGCATTGAAATCCAGGAGACACCTTTCGTCCTATATGGAATGCACAAACTACATCCCTAGCGGGCGAGAATGATGATATTGATTGCATTCTTACTCTGCGCTGGAATTATCGACTCATGTCAAGTGTTTACTCTCAAGACAAATTTCAACGCGTGTCTCTATTTACAACAGTGAATTTGTTAACAGGAATCGGTTATTTCCTGTTCAGTGGCTGACTGACTGACTGACTTACTGGTTTCAACATAGAACTTTGCGCCTATGTGCACCATTTCGAGTCGCCACACTTCACTCAGCACACAAAGCCAAAGAAGAAGAAGAAGAAAGTAAAAAAGAAACGCGAAATAGAGACAGTAAACAGAGATATGAGACAAAAAGAATAGTAATATCGAAGAACAATATAGTTTTTTTGGGTATTATACTCACAAGGAGTGGATACATCTGCGTCAGCCATCATTGAGAACGATGACTTTGAGCCATATCACCAGTTGCCTCCAGCCTTCATTGGTGTTCACCGTCCCGAGGACCCCAACCAGGAATTTAACACCACTTCCGACCTGACTGGCTGGCTTAAACTCACTGTTGTGGATTTCATTGACTGTGAAAGGGCCATGTTTTGGTTTGACCACCACTGGCTCTGTTCCAACTTGACACTATGTCAGCTAACATTGCCCGTCATCGAAGAAGGCCATCGCGATGGCTAGTGATGCATGCGTGACACGTGCCCTAACCATCTCAATCGATGTAATTTCACAGCTTCATCGATTGATTTCCCTTGATAAAACTAGCACTCACTCGTCGCCTAACCTCAATATTGCTCACCTAATTATACCACTTCACACGAGAGATAGTACGCAGGCATCTATGATCAAAGACACCCCCTCAAGCTGTTCATGTCTTCCACTCTCAATGGCCAAGTCTCAGTCACAGCCATAAAGGAGGACGGAGCGGACTGCTCAGTAGTACACACGCCCTTTGGTCGATAGCCAGCCGGATATCACGTCTACTAAGCCAGAGACGGCGTAAACTGGCATATTCGAAACTAGCCCTCTGTATCCGTATTCAGCTGAGATTTCGTCAGCGACCAACCCGCTGATGGGGGCTGGCTGATGCAATTTCCCAAATAAGTGAAGTGGTCAACGTGCTCTACCGCTTCACTCCCTATTTATAAGCTAGGGGTGAATGTAGTTCAGTCCTGTAGCATCATATTACATATTTGACGGGAGCGAATCGCTAGTATGTCAAACATTCGTAGATTGCAGCTCAAGGTGTTCGGAAGACTCTACATTTCCGTTCAATGCATTTTATTATTATTATATCCTTTAATTCCTAGAGGAACATAGGGCTTCAGCTGCGCGTTTCCATTACCTTCGGTTCTCTGCCAACTTTTTCACCCCACTCCAAGTCTGCCCACATGCTTTCATCTCCTCTTCACATGGCCCCCTCCAAGTCACCCTTACACTGATGACCGACTCGCTACTTCCAGTTCGGGTCCCACTCGAGCAATGGCTTGTCTAGTGATGTCACTTGATGGTTTCCTCAGAGTATGGCCAATCCATCTCCATTTCTTCCTGCCTATTTGTGGCACAATCGATTCCTGGTTGGATGGCTCATTTCCAGAGATCCATTTTGCTGATCTTTTCTCGCCGGCCATCTGATCTTGAGTGGGATTGAGCGAAGACAGCTGTTGATGAAGGTCTGTAGTTTGTGTGAGATGATCTTTATGACGCGCCAAGTCTCTGATCTATATAGTAAGTAGCACTGACTTCACATTGGAGTTGAAAATCCGGATCTTATTTTCATTTTGATGCTGAGTGCTGTTAACCTCCATACAGACTTTTCCGATTCTAGCTTTGATATCCTCATCAGTTCCGTCCGCCTGTAGTTGAAACAATGCTTTTCATGTATGTATGTGAAGGAGGTTGTTTATTTCAGGTTCCTCCAATTTATGCTGATTGTTTACTGTTGTTGCTGTTGCTGTTGGCCAGGAATCTTCATCACCTTTGTTTTATCTATGTTCACCTGAAGTCCTATCTTTGATGCTTCAATGTATATGCATATCTAAAATTATGAACATACTCCTCATTTTTTTTTCACACCTCAGCTTTTTTCTTTTCTCTCTTTTTATACAGGATAGTTTACGTTTAATCAATCTATTGTTTAAATTTGGTCATTTATTTGAAATACGTGAAGTAATCCGTGAAGGTTTAACAAAAATTCGACTAGATAATTGGTTACTTGTGATACAACAATTATTGGCGCGTATTGATACACCGATAGAATATGTTGCGAATATTATTGTTGATTTATTAATCTCTGTTGGTAGACGCTATCCTCAGTCAATGGTTTATCCATTAGTTTTATCCTTCAAGTCGGGTGGATCAGATCGTCGCCGGTATAATGCTAACCGGATATTGTATAGTATGGAGGAACAAAATTCACGCTTACTATCAGAAGCATTTTTGGTGAGTACAGCGCTTGTTATTATTATTATTATTATTATTAGTAGTAGTAGTAGTAGTATTAGTGTAACGATAGTAGACAATGGTCAGGCAAGAGATCGTTTATTGAGAAAATCAATAGATATTTATAGATTTTTATGTACATTATTATTCGCTATTGTTAGCAAAGAAGTAAAGTCTTCTGTGATTGGTTACAGGATTTCATCATGAGATGACATTAGTCAGAGAACCATTGGAAATCCAGCTGGGAGTACTAGACAGCCGGCTGTTTCGTCCTAGCTTGGGACTCTTCATCAGTACGCACTCACCGACAGGGTTCGAACCCAGGACCTTCTGGTTACAAGGTTAGCGTACTGCTAAAGAGTCCTAAATTAGGACGAAACAGTTGTCCAGTACTCCCCGGTTTTCCAATGGTCCTCTAACTAATATCAGCTCATGATGAAATCCTGTAACCAATCAAATCCCTACAAATCAACACTTGAATCTTCTGTGATTGTTTGCTTTCTTGCTGAAGGTTATTCTGTACTGCTTGTGACCGTTTCTTAGAAAGTTAAGCCATATATCTGCGAACACACGTTAAGTCTGCTATGATTGGTTGTTGAGTTCCTCAAGGTTAAGCTTTTTCGTTTTTCTCAAGACCCTTATTCGGGACGTAAACGTTGACGTATATTACTGTTTACAATTACAGCTCCCACCACAGTAGTAGTATTACAACTTTCCATTACAGAATTATACTGAGTATTACTCATGATTTCCAAGAAAAACTTGTATCGGTTTAATGCATATGTATTGGTGTCGATTACTTATCTGGTGTGCTTGAGATTTTAGGTACGGATGATGAAAGGCGTTTTTGTTTGTAATGTAATAAAGTCGTCTAAGACACACAGGTACGACGATAATGGATACCATGCAACTACTTCCCCACAGCGCCTTCTGCTCCACTAACTAATAAATAAAATAACAAAAGACGAAGACTATCCTGTGACTTTGTGATGATGACCTCTCCATTTCGATACAAATAAAATTACAACAGGTCGGGTATGAGGACAAATACTCGCCACCGAAGACATTGGCTAGTAGTCGCGCTATGTAATGAATTGACAGAAGTTAAAATTCATGGAATGGCCATTGGATCGGGTCCCAGTGGTTAATGGTATACGAGCTCGCTAGCCTTGTAACCAGAAGGTCGTGGGTTCGAACCGGTTGTGGTGACTGCGTACTGCTGAAGAGTCCCAAACTAGGACTGGCTGTCCAGTACTCCCAGGTTACCCAGTGGTTCTCTAACTAATGTCAGCTCATGATGAAATCCTGTAACCAATCAAATCTCTACAAACCGACACTTGAAAATCATGAAACTGTTGTTAGTACTCAGTTCGTCCGGTCTATAAGTCATACGGTTATGGTGTGAAGGCTGGTAGTGTTAACCAGCCGCCTAGGCTGAAGTAGGTGGACCTTTATTCGACTCCGAGATCCATTGACTGAAATTTAGTTGTTCAAGCCAATGGTTCACTAATCACCATGGTCATCATCATAAAACAAATTGTGATTAATTCTGAGGGTTTAGAAATTATCCAACTAGGTTTTTATGTCCATTTAAGAACTTAAAGTTGGATTTGAAACTCGTAGAAATTGTAGTTCATCCGTCTAACCATTGGGTTTTCAGTTGAATTGGTTTAAATCTATCTCCGCCTATGTCGATATGGGTAACTAGGTTAGTGTTAGGTGGTGAGATTATCAGCCGTTCGGATAGTTCCACAAACTTAATTATTAGATAAGTTTGTGATACACAACGTAAACAGTATTTGTATTTTCATATCAAACTTTGATGGATATGTTCCAATCAAAGGTCACAAAATGCGTTTGTGTTATACAATAATGTCTGTGCGTGTGTGTGTGTGTGTAGGTGTAGGTGAACAGTTACATATCATTTGCCAGCAAATTGAAAGTAACATAAAACGGTGTTAATACTGGTGTGGTGAGAGCTGGCTGTTAGTCAAAATTGGTGGACAGTCTAATTTACGTCAATGTTTATGTCCCAAATATTAGTCGTGAGAAAAATGAGAACAAAGGCTTTGCGTAGGCGGATACAGTTAACATATAGATGATCTGACATTCAAGAAACAGTCACAAAGAGATGCAAGGTTAACTTTCTGCGAGAAACCACCAATCAGAAGACTGTGTTTTTCTGCTAACAATAATCTATAATAATAATGTACATAAAAGTCTATAAATATGTGTTAATTTCTTTAATAAACGATCTGTATCCTGGCTCCTGTCTTCTGTTGTTACACTAGTTGCTATTTTCAGTCATATTAATGGTATCTTTTTAAGTTTTCAAATTATCTTCATCCATAATGAAAATGTGATATGACCGTTTATACACAATCGTAGTTGGGTTAACGAATTTCCTACCTAGTCGAATCGCTAGTCTATTGTTCTAACCAATATTAGCTACAACAACAACAATAACAACGCGATACGATGCGATACCACCGAAAACGCGATGTAAGAAGAGAAGTCTGTTTATATATATATATATATATATATATGAGACCGCTGTTTCGTCAGCGTAGCTCGGGACTCATTGGCAGTACGAACCCACCTCAGAAGGTTTGAACCCAGGACCTTCCGGTTACAAGGTAAGTTTGTAGACCATTCATCCACTGGGATCCGATTCAATGATCCATGAATTCTATCCAGTCAAGTGCGAGGATGGATTTCCCTGCTGTGATGACATTGGTTAGTGATCGGGCTAAATCAGGAATTAGTCGCAGTGGCTGAATGGTATACGAGCTTCCCTTGTAATCGGAAGGTCCTAAGTTCGAACGCCCCTGTCGGGTGGGTGCGTACTGCCAATGAGTCCCGAATTGGGCTGACGACACATCTGTTCAACACTCTAGTACTAGCTTTCTTAATGGTTCTCTAACTGATATCAGTCCGTGGTCAAAACGAAAGGCAAATCAAAATCCTTACAACAAAATAACCCTTGAAAATCACAAATATTAATCTACTTTTGTTAAGCGCACTGTAAACAGTGTGTACTTTTGCATCAGAGGTTTAGTAATTACTTTCGAATAAAGCTCATGGTCTTAGATAACTGAACATGAAAATATTTATATATGTATATACGGTATACAATGGTCTATGTGCACTTGGCAGCAATTGTGAATCATTTTTTTATTAATTAATGAGGACTTGTCATGGATCAGCTAACATCACACCTTCACCTATTGTTCAAACTTCTGGTCTTCTGCATTCAGTCTTTCTTTATACACGAACCAAAATCTTTCTGTAGAATCTTGCTACAATCAAAGTCGGTCTTGTGTCCTGTGTCTATCGAGTCCAGTTCAATCGCCGTTCTGTTTTCTAGCTCTTTCAAGTCTGTACAGGTCTTGACAACCACCTTTAGACATTATTTATGCTCCTTTACTCTTATATTCACCCGTCTAAAAGTTTCTCCTACATCTGTGGCGTCACAATCGCCACAATTGATCTGATACCCGCAATTCTGTTGGTTGTCATCTTTTATTTTATCCTTAACTTTCACTAGTGATGAGCGTAAGGTGTGTCCGTGGCACGAAAATACACTTTTATGTCATGAGGGTTAAGGATTCGCTTTATCTCATCCGATGTTTTCCTTTTTGCGGTAACAAATCACCACCGTAACAACTCAAGTCTTAGCAACAGGTTTCAATTCATCCTCACTTTTCACATTTGAAGTGTCTTTGATTCAAGAATGGACTGAACCAAATTTTGAGTTCCCTGTTGATGTCTCTTCCGCCTCAGTAACTAGGTAATATTTGGCTTTGTTAATCAGATTCTTGGTCACAGTTACTTATCCGAAGTTGTAATTCAATTTCACTGTTTTTTTAAACGTCACCTTGGTGATAAAGGTTTTTGTATTTCCCAATGAATGAAAAAACAAAACGATATTGTTGTTTTTACTGACGTTTCGCTATTTAATGCTAATAGCTTTATCAAAATAGTATTATTAAACCGGAATTTAGAAAATTCACTCAGCTTACTTATAACTTAATATTAGTGATATTATCTGTTTTCTCAATATATGCCTCCACCTGTTTCATTTAACATATTCATTATTTCATTATGAACCACCTCTCTCATTGCAGTCTTACTATCTCCTGTTTAACACAGACAACTTTGTACTAGCCACTCACCTGACACCTTGAACTGATTTGTCAATTTTCCTACCCCACACTCTACAATTCGGTTATGATTAATCACCACCATTGTCTCCCGTTTTACAATATTTTGTAATCGATTTCAGCCAACGTTTGTCACTCAAATACGACTATTTATTTTCACACCCCATAACCGCTAATCTGTTATTCTACGTTAAAAATGTATCCGCCGCATAACTGGCCATTATTGTAAAGACAACAAATATTAGATTATATTTTATAGTTGTAAGAACCTGAAGAAGCGAAATTATTGAAAAGAATATTCTTTGTTCAGATTGACTTTCAATTCATAATATGGGAATATTTCACACTATCAAAGAGTTAAGAGTTGAGAAAATAGACTTAGGTCAAGTTAAAAGGACATATTAAAAGTCAAAATAACAATCAAGACCAGTAAACCAAATATCAAAGGTAATAGTACATATGTTATGGTATCAAAACAAAGTTTACTAACTAGATCATCGTTCATCTGTCTAGGGTCATTTTTCGTTGTCAAGTTAGTCAACTGGTAGAGATAACAAACCAAACTATAGAAAGTTAATCTGATGCTCGCTAGTGACTTGCTCCAGAATGGAGTTTCCTGGAGTTCTAGTGAGAAGTCATGACCAGTGAGGTCCAATTAGCTGTCACGTGTGTGGATGGATGTCCCACCAACGGCAATGGTTGGGATCGCGCTAAATCACGAATTGGTAGAAGTTAGAATTCATGAGCTGGCCATTGAATCGGGTCCCAGTGGCTGAATGGTATACGAGCTCGCCTTGTAACCGCAAGGTCCTGGGTTCGAATTAGTTGTGATGGGTGCGTACTGTCGATGATTCCCAAACTAGGATAAAACAGCAGCTGTCTAGTACTCCCTGGTTTTCAATGGTTCTCTAACTGATATCAATCCGTGATCAACTCGTAAAAACATAACTAACCCTTACAAACCAAACTATAGAGATAACAAAACCAAGTATAGACTGTTGATCAGTGTGTGACATTATAAAAGTAGTGTGTGTTTACATAGTGAACTTGCTTATCACATTCGTGTTGATTTTATCACTTCGTTGGGGAGGGGAGGGAGGTGTTGTAACCAAGTCAGATTCTGTTTTAGTCCGTCATTCCTGTTCAGGTAATTTGGATTCCACTTGATATTGAGTGCTTCTGATGATATTGGATGTTCTTTGTGATTCCTGAAGTTTTTCTGGATGATGATTGCTATATTGTCAAAATCAATTTTGTGTCTCCTAGGTGAATTACACTCTTATTAACATTGATTTTAATGAATGATAAAATTCTTCTCCATTTCTCTCTCTCCCCCACTCACCATTCCCTCTTAAACAGTTAAATGAAGAACTAATACGTTTATCCATCACATGGGTTGAAATGTGGTCTGAATCCCTAGAAGATGCAAGTCGTGTTTATTTTGTTGAAAAAGATATTGCAAAAATGTTCCGTCTACTTCATCCGTTGCATCAAATGATGGATCGTGGGCATGAAACAATTCATGAGGCAACATTTCTACAAGAACACGGTAATGATTTGGCTGAATGTCGTTTATGCTGTGAACATTTTGAAAAATCTCAGGCTAAAATTGATTTACAAAAAGCTTGGGAAGGTTATTATACTCTGTATAGACGTGTAAGTTGTTTTTTTTTATTTAAGTGTTTTTTCGTAATTTTCATTTCTGATTTGTACATAAAGTATTCGGTTGAGGATGAAGGCATAATCGGTCGGATTGTCTGAGATGTCAACAAACTGAAGTCTACCAGTCAATCAGGGAATGATGACTAGAATTGGTTACATGTGCACGTGGGTGTAACTCTAGCAAACTGGTGTCCTGTGATTGGTAGTCAACCAGCCAAGTAATCATTACCTTAATCCACCGCAGAAGTATTCAAGCTTAATGAATATATGTGTAAAACATGGGCACTGTGGTAGTATGCAATTCCATATCAAGAATACAATATTCAGTGTGATGTGTCTAGTCGCTTCTTCGGTGCAGATTGAATTCTATCAGTCAGGTTTGCAATGTAGCCACCATTCTAGGTGGCTCTCCGTCATGGTGCATATTGATTTCATGGTATTAGAGAGTCGGAGGCAATCAGCAGGGGAAGCCTTGGACCTAGGTTTCGTGGTAGTTGGCGAGCTACCAAAAATGGTGGGCACATTGCAAAACCTGACTGACAGAATTCAGTCTGCATCAAGGAAAGGACTAACTCGACACGTTACACTAGTTACTAGTGTTCAATCAAAAAACAGCCTTCCCAGCTAGTCTCGTACATTATACGGACATTCCCCGTCCCCCTTGTAATTTTAGCTTTCGTTGAAAGATAAAGAGAAGACGTTCAGCGAAGAGACTCTTTTGGACGGCGAATTCATTCACATAGCTGTACAATCGCATTTATACATAATTATTTGTGTGCGTGTGTGTGTGTACATGAGGTTTGTCAAGTTTAGATAATTATTAATCAGGTAATACAAGAATGATCTAATATAGAAACAAGCAACTAAAGTAAGACTGAGTTAATAAGTTAGATGATGTAATATAATTGACTAGAACGTTTCAACTTAGGTCAGGATAGCAACAGAGGTAATAACAGGTAGAGACTAAGCAGAGGTCAGATAGAGAATAATATCATTTAAATTAGAACTGAAATTGAGCAAATAAGTTGGATGACTTAACATAAATGAGTGACTAGAAATTGAGCGTTGGTTAAGTAAGTAACCATGTGGTAGTGAGGTGTAGAAATTCAATCGGGTGGGGGTAGAGAACAAGAAAGTTGAAAATGTAAAATATTACAATTGAGAAGACAAAATAATACTAATGAAGAGACAGAAAGAAACGAGATTAGGTAGAATTTACTTGTCGGGGTAATAAGATATATTACGTCCATTGCAAGTGTAGTGATTGTGAATGAACGTCTTCTGTATGCAGAGTTCACAACTTAGCAAGTGAATCGCCATTGCTTCTGCAGTTTGAAGAAGTCTGATTCGTACACACCTTTAGGAAGACTACTTCTTACTCTGTAGACGACTTTGAAGTTTGTTTGCGGTGTAGCTTGTAAATTATGAAATGCATTGATTATCATCCAACTATTTTACAGGATTTCATCATGAGCTTACATTGGTCAGAGAATCATTGGAAAACCAGCTGGGAGTACTGCACAGCTGTTTCGTCCTAGTCCTAGTGACCAGTGGGGTGCAGCAGGTCGGGTGTGAGGACAAATGCTCGCCAGCGATGACATTGGCTAGGGGTCGCGCTATGTCGTGAATTGGCAGAAGTTAAAATTCATGGACTGGCTGGCCATTGGGTCAGTCGGGTCCCAGTGGCTGCTGAATGGTCTACGAGAGCTCGCTAGTCTTGTAACCAGAAGGTCCTGTGTTCGAAACCTGGTGCGGTGGGTGCGTATTGCTGAATAGTCCCAAACTAGGCCGACGAAACAGCTGTCCAGTACTCCCAGTTGGCTTTCCAATGGTTCTCTCTAACCAATGTCAGCTTATGATGAAATCCTGTAAACCAATCAACCAGATCACTACAACCCAACACTTGAATATCATTCAATTGTACTAGTCTTATTCACACTTTACTTTCTCACTTGTTTTCTTTCTTTTTTCTTCTTCCTCAGTTTTCTAAACAAGTCAATAATATGACTACCTTAGAATTAACTGTAGCCTCTCCTCGTCTTCGTGATTATGGACAAGATTGGCAGTTAGCTGTACCTGGCACTTATGAACCCTATCGCCCGTTAGTTCGTATTTCAAGTATTAAAAATTGCTTGAATTTCATTACATCAAAACAACGTCCACGTAAACTTACAATCATGGGTATGTTGATGTTATTTTTATTTTTCCTTTGTTTTGTTTCCCAAACTCTGTGTGCGTGTGTGTGTTTGTATTTGTTAAAGAATTCCCTATACGTGCGACATCATCAAGTTAGTAAACCCCACTAATAACCGTTTAGAAGTTTGAGTTCATCTTCTGTTGCATTCTAACCCAATGACTGGTATTAGATGATGGTTGGAGGCAATCAGCCGCAGGAAGCCCAGCTTGACCTTGGGTTTCGTGCTAGTTGGCACTCACCAGCCATCAAGGCGTATCTGCAACCTTGAAGGAACTCATGTCCCTCCTCCTGAGATTCGAGCCCACGTCATCCAGTGCCGCCTGTAGTCAGAGACGTTACCACTGAGCTATTCACGCTCGCGGTTGACCTCCTGTAGGACTGTAGTGGATATTTTCGATTGCACACTAGTCAGTAACTAGTGTACTGTGTCTAGTCCTGACGATTGCCTTCAACCAGCTAATAACAACATCTCACAGTACACCATAATGGTGAGCCACTTAGTGGCATGGTGGCCATATTGCAAGCTTGACTGATAGAATTCAGTCTGCATCGAAGATAGGACTAAACACATTACACTAGTAGTTACTGACTAGTGTGTAATCGAAAAAAAAACCCAATGACTGAATGAATAGTCAACAGACTTGATGACCTTATAGCTTGAAGGTTCTGGATCCCAAATACTCTGATGAAAAGTTTTAAAAACTCGGAAAATAGTAGCAGCAGTAGTAGCTGTCCTGTAAACCGTGATTTTTACTTGGTTCATAATGAAGTCTACCCTGAGTTCAATCAAATACTCGCCGTCACTGCTCACTGTGAGCTGTTGATATTAAATGGTTGGAGGCAATCAGCTACAGAAAACCTTGGAAGATATAGAATGTCGTGCTAGTTAGCACTCACCAGTAAGTCAGCAAGGCAGGCGTATCTGCAGACTTGAAGGAAGTCATGTCTCTTATGAGATTCGAACCCGTGTAACCCAGTGCCGCCTGCAGTCAGAGACGTTACCACTGACACATTAAGCTTAGTTACTGACTAGTGTCCAATCAAAAGATATCCAATACAGTCCTACAGGAGTTGGTCAATCGCCATCCCGAATAGCTAGCTGCTCAGCGGTAACATTTCTGACCGCAGTCTTACAGGAGGTCAGTTGCGAGTAGCAAGTAGCTCAGACGAAACGTCTTTGACTACAGTTGACACTGAGTTACACGGGTTCGAATCTCAGTAAGGGAAATGAGTTCCTTCAAGATGGTTGCAGGTACACCTTGATTGATCGTCTCCATCATCCACCTATGTTGTTTTGCTTAGCCGTATGTTTAGTTTTTAAGTTGTCGTCGTTTGCATCGTATCAATAAAGTAGTTCATTGTATGAAAAATTACAATCTTCGAAGTGAATATCATCAGAGTTTCGCTGAGAAGCCCAAAATATTCATATTGTAATATTATGATGACCTGATTAATAACGATAAACGGTGAACAAGAAATCAAGTGCAATATATGATAATACATAATATACTACTCACTGATATGAGTAGTTGTCTGACCACTTACGACAACCAGTTAGCACCTATCAGTTAATTCGTTCGACCTATTCTAATAAGAGTAACTGATGTTTATAATAAAGGGTTTTTTTGTACTTCTCAATGAATGAAAAAATAGCAAAACAATATTGTTGTCGTTTTTACTGACGTTTCGCTATTTGATGCTTATGCTAATAGCTTTATCAAAGGAGTATTATTAAACCAGAATTTACTAAATCCACTCAGCTTGCATTATATAACAAAGATATTAATGAAGTAAAAGAAAAATTGTGCGTCGGTGGTATAGCGGTTAGGACGCTCGCCGACCATGCACATGGTCCGGGGTTCGATCCCCGGCCGACGCACACCTGTAAGCCAGAAGTAATTCTGTTAAAGAGCAAAGGTTGGGCATGAGGCTAGCAACCCCATCCTGTAAAATAAACTCTGCTACAGAAACTTCAAGCTACTAGCTCGAAGCCCTATGTTCCACTGGGGAACGTGAAGGAAAAATTAAAAATTAGAAGAAAAATTGAAAGAAGTAATGGAAAAAGAAAAGTATGAAAGCATACTACAAGCTGCACAAAAACGAAAAGAAACTACTTATGAAGAAACAAAGGAGAAACAAATCAAAAAATTTAATAAACTCATGACACCGAAAACCCGAATGACAGACAAGTAACTAAGGCCAATTGGATTGTAAACTTGTCAGACAGAAAGCTAACAGAAGCAGAGGAAAATTGTACTGATGAAAGGGATGAACTTCAATATCAGCAACAAAAGATTAAAACCTGAAGATATCACACCTGTAATTGAAACAGCACTCGAAGGATATGACAAGCAAAAAGCGGAACTGGTACGAGCAAAATGTGCACTAACCTTTAAAAAAAAGCAAAAAGCAGAAAAACCAAATAAAAACGAAGAAGGAACTAAAAGCACTTCAAGACATAAAAGCAGACAAATCCATTGTCATTACTCAAGCAGACAAAGGATATTCATTAAAGTCACACCGGATACATGTAACAAGGGTGACTCAGTGCAACTATCAACAACTTGGAATATAATTCTAAATACAAACACATGAGTGAATGTGGAATATTATTCTGAACACACATACTGAGAAACTTTTCTCACACATAAACAGACACGTCGACTCATTAAATTTCACAATGGAATTAGAGAATGAAATTGGAGAACTGCCCATGTTAGACTGCAAACTACAAAGAATGACAGATGGTAGCATAAAAACAACGATATATAGAAAAGCCACACATTCTGGAAGATTCCTCGGTTATTACTCAGCTCATCCACTCTCGGTAAAACGAGGATTAATACAAGGTCTTGAAGATAGAATACGTAGACTTACAACAGCACCAGAGGACCAGCGTAAAGAAATAAAAGTCCTATTCAAAATGCTACTCGAAAACAACGACCCTAGAGAATTTATAAAAGATAATATAAAAAAGAGAAAAAAGAGGCTAAAACCGGAGAATAACAAGAAGGAAGAATGGAAAAAACAGTCGCAATACCATATAGAAATGGTACATCAGAGGCAATACAAAGAAACCTCAAAAATATCGGTATTCGAACAACCTTTAAACCGACAAATTTAATCAAAAATAAAATAAATCAACTGAAAGATCCTATAAAAATGATGGATAAAAACAATTTGATTTATAAAAATATCTTGTGCTGACTGTCCAACTAAATATGTGGGGCAAACGTCCAGATCACTCAAAATAAGAGTGAATGAATATAAACGCCTAACTAAAAAAGGTCAACCAACAGGGACACAAGCTTACAAAAATCTTGAAAAAAAATTCATCGATAGCTGCACATGCATGGGACAAAAACCACAATATCGATTGGGACAATGTGTATATTCTAAAAACAAACATGAACAAATGGAAAGAAAGACTCATAACAGAATCGATATTCATTAAAGTCACACCGGATACATGTAACAAGGGTGACTCAGTGCAACTATCAACAACTTGGAATATAATTCTAAATACAAACACATGAATGAATGTGGAATATAATTTTGAACACACATATACACACACAAAACATGAATGAGCAAAAAATGAACTATATATATTCGAGTAAAAATCATAAATGTGTGAATAAAACAATTCCAACAGTGGTGTGAACACGGGCAGTAGTAATTTTGCTCGAAATATTACCAATAACAAAACTTATCATTGTGTGTAAATTATTGAAATATACTTATGCCTTTATTTAAAGAGTTAAGAGGTGAGAAAATAGACTAATTATGTCAAGTTAATAAGGAGGACATATTGAAAGTCAAAATAACAATGAAGATCATTAAACCAAACAAAAAGAAAAGATAATAGTTACTCAGTTTATCTCACATCCTACTTACTTTCTGTTGGTATTACTTTTTTCTCCTAATTTCACTAAGTAAATCTATTTCATTATTCTTTTAGAAATTTATTGGACGCTTTTTTTGTGTTTTTTTTCATTTTCAGGCTCTGATGGGCATCAGTATGTATTTTTATTGAAAGGACATGAAGATACACGTCAAGATGAACGTGTTATGCAATTTTTCGGTCTTGTAAATACTCTACTAATCAATAATCCAGAAACTCTACGTCGTAATCTAACGTAAGATGATGATCACCTTTCATCTTCATTGATTTCTTTTGCTTATTATTATATGGTGAAAACTATTCATATATCAGGGGGTGGTTGAATATATATATATATATATATACATATATATATATATATATTCCTATGACAAGTCCGTGTGTGATCAGATTGTTCGAAACGTGTTGGGCGAATACATATTACGCCTTCCTTCTTATTGCTTTGTCTGAATTCAAAAATGGAACTAAGTGTTTAAAAGAAATAGATTTAAGAATGATTGACACAACACCTTGTAATCCAATCAAATAAAGATTACCAAGGTAATTAAGAGTAATTAATAATAAGGTATTTTTGAACACACAGGGGTGGAGGCTTAAGTTTATGAATAGCTATAGCCTCAGTGTATTTCAATAAGCGCCCTTTATCGTTATTGTAAATGACCCTAAAGGCTGAGTTAACATCAGTCTTATAGTTCATCTCGATTAGATGTTTGGCTATCGATGAAGTTGGTAGTCTGACACCTGCGTCTATTGATTTTCCACAATTCATTTGTCTATCTGACCATTTCAGGATATGCTCTCCCACCGTCACAAGCGAAGCATGATTACTCCTCCCAATATATGTGTGACCACACACACATACACACGAAAATTGGTAAATAGTATGGGATGTGACATAATCACTTGTGCACTTTTGAGGTTTGCAGTGGGGCATATTATTTTGGCTTTTTTTCTATCATTACAAGTCGGGTTGCGTAATAGGTCTTATGGATGACTGTTCTTTTCCCCTCTATAGGATAATTTGATGAAAACGCTTTTCTTAGGGACGGCATAGATTGGAGGTTTAAAGACTAATTGACTTCTACAGCTGTTTAAAAAAATTTTTAAATGATATCCGTTTTTTCGACAAGACTATCCATCAGTGGTTAGGACTCTCGCCGACCATGCGCATTGTTCGGGTTTCGATCCCCTGCCGACGCACACCTGATTGATATCAACGGTGGGCCTGCGAAATTTCGGCTACCGATTCACATGCTAAAAATTCCATACCTATACCAAAAATATTGTATGGAATCAAGCTGTAATCAAAAATTTAAAAAATTATTTTAAGTCATACAATAACCATTCAAATTCGTATTTGTTCTCTCTAGAGGCCAGGCAACAGATCGTTTACTGAGAAAACCAATAGATATTTATAGATTTTTAAGTACATTATTATTAGCGTTATGTTTAGCAGAGACGCAGCGTCATCTGATTGGTCATTTTCTCTCTGAAGGTTATTCTGTCATATCTTTATGGCCGTTTCTTAGAAGGTCAGACCATATATATATCTGCTAATCGTATCCGCCCACGCAAAGCCTGCTGTGATTGGTTGTTGAGCTTCTCAAGGTCAGGTTTTGTTCTTATTTTTTCTCATGACGTCCCCGATTCGGGACGTGTTAACATCGACGTCAATTGTTATCTACCAAGTTCGGCTAACCAGACAGCTTTCACCACAGTCAGTATAATTCGTTTTTAACTTGATTGTTCTAATATTTCTCGCATACGAAATTATAATTTTCGCCTTAATTTCTTAACTTTTTTTACGAAGTATCCAACGAATGTCTATCATCCCGTTATCCACATACACTGGATTAATTGGTTGGGTGCCGAATAGTGATACTTTTCACAATTTAATCCGGGATTATCGTGAAAAAGCTGATGTTGTACTGAATAAAGAAAATCGTGAAATGCTTCGATTAGCTCCAGATTTTGATCGTCTTAATGTTATCCAAAAGACAGAAATATTTGAAGCTGGTTTAAGAGAATCACCTGGTCGAGATTTAGCTAATATATTATGGTTAAAAAGTCATAGTTCTGAAGTAAGTTAAAACTGGTTGATGTTGTTGTTGTGTTTCTGTGTGTGTGTGTGTGTGTACGTGTGTGTGTGTTGAAATATTTATTTTCTTTCCTGATATAAGTATAAATATTGGGCACTGTACTGGTAGAGCATAACTCCATTATGGATAAGATTTTATTTTGATAAGTCAAACAGCGGAGTGTTATACAGTAATATTAACTGATGACCACACGTCTCGAGCACAAATTATTGTTGCTCATAATCTCATATCAAGTCATTCACTCACACAACTTCCTTCCCTCATTTATATACATGAGTGAAACTGAATAGACATTTGAATAAAAATCAGTATAGGATAATGTACATTCAGATATAATAATAATATGAGTGTTATACGGAATAACTGTAGATGCTTTATATTCTCTCTTATTTTCGTTATCATAATTAGTTTCACCATATAACGAGGAGACATCTAAGGCCCTACGTAGGATTGTCAGTAAAACAGAAATTAGGGTGGTATTTAAGCCTACAAACTTATTCAGAGACAAGTTTTGTGGGCTAAAGGACCTTACCGGTAGACCCAATTAAACACAATAATATAATTTACAAAATACCATGCAATGACTGTGAGTTAAGCCAACTACATAGGTCAAACTAGTAGATCGGAGGTAATTAGATTGATGGAACATAAGAATTTAGCTAAGGTAAGAATGCACTACATGCATTAACACACAACCACACAATAGGGTAGGAGAGGGTTAACATTCCAAGAAGTAATCTAGATAGGTGGAGAGAGAGAGGTTGATTACTGAATCCTGTCTGGTTCATTAAGTCTACACCCAACACATTCAACAGAAATTACTCAACGCAAATACCAGAAATATGCATGGAAGATATTATTACCACCAGTCAGTCAAATCACAGGAGGATAATAAATAACCTTAAAATTCTATTTCAATTCAATTCACATACATTATAACATTCTAACAAGTTACTTATTATGACTATAAAAGCACTCGTCTTATTTCCCATCTGATTGTAATTGATCAATAACACCAATATTATTATTTCTGAATGTACATTATCCTATATGGGTTGATTTTATTCAAATGTCTAATCATGAATTCCACTCATGTATATAAACGAAGCAGGAAAGTTGTGTGAGTGAGTAACTTGATATGAGAATATGAGCAGCAATAATTTGTGCTCGGAACGTGTGGTCATCAGTTAATATTACTGTGTAACACTCCACTGTGTGATTTATCAAAATAAAATCTTATTTATAATGGAATTATTTTCTTTCCGCATGAGAGTTTAATCTCGGTGTGCGTTTATCCTGTTTAGGATTCGTTTAGTAGAGATAGATGTACCTGTATCCCGTAATTAATTCGTCATTTTGTTCATAATGAGACTTGAACCCAAATGCTCTAAAGCTTTATCGACCAGGTCACTGGACCACGATATTTATTATTCAAGGATAAGTTGTAATTGTTGTGTGATTACATACCAGTTCATAGAATTATAATTTCACTGACTCAAGAAATGACAAGTTGAATACTGAAACTTCATTAGGTAGAGATTCAAATGTTAGGAGTAGGTTATAGGTTCATTTAATTTGTGAAGAAATTCATCTTTCAGTTTTACAGTTTCAAATTCATGGGACAATAGGTTTCAACTTACAGGAGATTGGCTAAATGTAGTAAATATGTAGTGGCTGTCATCTGAAGACTTCGTGTTTTACTCCTGGTTTGGTCATGGATTTTTTCTTATGCATAATCCACATGTAGGGCGTAGTACGACAGGTGTAAAATATATATATATATATATATATATATATATATATATATACATATATATAATACTATTATTATTGTTCCTCTGGGTTCCTAGTGAAACATAGGGCTTCAACTGCACGTCTCCACTTGCTTCTGTCTTCTGCTGTACTTTTCACCTGTTCATGTTAGTCCATACTCTTTCAACTCCTCTTCACACAATATCCTCCAAGTCATTATCGCACCGACGAATCATTCGTAACTCTCCATTTGGGTTCCACTCGAGCGTTGGCCTGGTTAGCGCGCCATGTCATTCGACTGCGTATGCCCGAAACATCTTCATTTTCTTCACTTCTGGGCTGGTTTCTTCCCAGCCAGAGTTTCTTGTTATCAATTCTTTGTGGCTAGCTGGCTGGCCGGCCATGTGATCTCCAATATAAAGCCAGTTAGGGAGACAGCTGTTTACATAAAAGTCTGCAACTGGCGGTTGGAAACACTTTCCGTGATGTGACCGCCAATTTTTCTGACCCACATAGAAGTCACTAATGCGACAATGGTTTTCAAAATTAGATTGTTTATTCTGGCTGAGTGAGAGCAGAAGATTTCCCAGCCGAATTCAGATTCATGAAAGTGTATCTTGCTTTTCTGATTCCGACTGGCTTTGATATATTTTCATCCGTTCTGTCGCCTGTGGTTGAAACGATGCTTCCTAGCCAGATAGGTGAAGAGAGAGTGTTAAATCTCTCCTGTTGATGGTGATTGGTGTTGGTTGTCGTCTTTGTTGCTCTTGGTTGGTTGGTTGGTTATCTTCAACACCTCGGTCTTCTCTATGTTCATCTGGAGTCCTGTCTTTGCTACCTGCTCGCTTCTTCAGCCAGTTGGTTGGTTTTCGTCTGCCTGCAAGTCTTCGAGTTTGTGTGACATTAAACATAAATCATCCACGTGAGGAATCCAGATCTTCCAGAGTCTTCTTATATAATTGGTCCCTGGAGTTCCTAGTGGAATATAGGGCTTCAGCAGTACCATTTCACTCTGTTCTCTGTAGTCCCTTTTATCTGGCCTCAATATTGTGCATAAGCTTTTACCTCCTCCTCATACGATCTTCATATCGCCCCTCAGATTCAAGCCCAATTCGTCGTTTCCCCTTTCACCCGTTGGTGGTAGTTCAGTCGAGGACATGTCTGGCTTCCTCACTTTATTTCCAATCCATGCCCATTTCTTTCTGTGTAGTTATTGAGAAATACAGAAAAGCATTTCAGTACTTAATTCACATTAGTGAAGTATTGATAATTAATTGTTCATTGGACTTTTACATATTATATATTCCTTAAACGTTTAGCGCTTTTTATCTCTCAATTTGTTTCAGGCATGGTTTGAGCGTAGAACTACTTTCACTCGATCAATGGCGACAATGTCAATGGTTGGTTATGTTTTAGGCTTAGGCGATAGGTAAGTTAGGCAGGCAATGCATATTTGTTTTTTTTTTTTTTTGAGGTTTTTATCATTTTTCATTTATCACCAATGATATTCCTAACTGGAGCCAGCTTGAAGTTTTGGCGACAGTGGTGCTGGCCTCATGCCCAACCTTCCCTCTTTATCTTACCAGTGTTATTACTGGCTTAGCGAGGTAATGCAGTAGTGCATCCATTTGGTCGGAGATCGAATGAACACTGAACCACACGAGGGCATGGTTGGCGAGCATTCTACCCTTTGTGCCACCGACTCACTTGGGACTCGTTAATTAAATGCGTGATTGTATCTCCTACCGCTGGTGTATCGATGCTATCTGTCTGTCTGTTTTCGACATAGAACTTTGCACCGATGTACACCAGTTCAAGTCGCCAAACTCCCTCCATGTAGTACACAAAGCAACAGAAGAAAGTAGAAGAAATGCATAATAGAGACAGTAAACAGAGACAGGTGTGAGACAAAGGAATAGTAATAACGAAGAACAATATAGTTTCATTGGAAATGATAAGTCACAAGGAGTGGATGCATCTGCGCCAGCCATCATCGAGAACGATTTTGAGCCCCATCATCAATCGGCTCCTGCCGTCATTAGTTCTTAGCATCGCGAGGACCCCAACCAGACAGTCAGACAGTCTACACCTCCCTACATGACTGGTGTAAACTAACTGTTGTGGATTTCATTGACTAATGAAGTCATGTTTTGGTTTGACCGCCGCCAGCCCTTTTCCAGCCTGACCATTATGTCAGCTAACATTGCCTGTCGGTCGAGGAAGGCAATGACTAGGCATGCACTCGTAACACATGTCCTAACCATCTTAGTTGATGTAATTTCACAGCCTCATCGATTGATTTCCCCATTTCACCTACTTAGCGCTCGACGCCTAACCTCGATATTGCTCACCTTATTATACCACTTCATACAGGAGACAGAAATCGATGCTGTCATAAAAGTTACTGCTATAATTTTACTCAAGATGAAGACTGTGAAGAATAGTGACGTTTCACATTAGACATCTAACAGAAACCTAACGTATCAATGACCCTGGAATTCGCTGTGTCAGAGCAAAGCATTGAAATCAGATGAATGAAAATGTATTCATGAAAAAAAGTGTTCAATGAGTATTTGCTTAGTTTTATGTTAGATTTAGACTAGTGACAGGTTTTGTATTAAGGTTAGGCACTCGAATTTGCTTTTTAACGCTGACTACGTGTTGTAAAGTTATTTTTGGTGCATCTACACCACCTCTTGAATAATGTCTAATGTCGAACTTTTCCCGAATCCAAGTATTTGGTTTGTAGTGATTTGATTGATTGATTGATTACAGGATTTCATCATCAGCTGACATGGGTTAGAGAACACCGCGTTGGAAAACCAGCCACAGGGAGTACTGGACAGCCAGACAGCTAATTGTTTAGTCAGACTAGTGTTTGGGAGTAACTCTGCACTCACCGCTAGCGTTCGAACCCCAGGACCTTCCGGTGATATAAGGCACTGGGACACGATCCAATGGTCCGAATTTTGCCGAATCGCTAGACTTATGATACTGTTTTTACAACACTCCATTCACCAAACAATAGATTGCAATAATCATGTTCATTGTATTGTTAATGACAGTATACTGATATATATATCTATCTATGTATCTATCTATATCTATATTTTATATATATATATAATTATTAGACATCCATCGAATATAATGTTGTCTCGTGAAACGGGCAAAGTGATACATATTGATTTTGGTGATTGTTTTGAAGTGGCTACACTACGAGAGAAATTTCCAGAAAAAGTACCATTTCGATTAACACGTATGATAATTGCTGCTATGGAGGTAATGAATGAATGAATGATGAATTGACATTATTAAAAATTTCAAACTTTTTTGTACATTTTTGTTTGTAATGTTTTAATTCCAAGTTGTGTGTGTGTCTGTGTGTTTGTTTGTGTAGAACAAATGTTCAAGTATTAATTTTTTTTGTAGGGATATTGTTTGATTAGTTGGAGGATCTCATCATGAGTTGACATCAGTTAGAGAACCATTGGAAAACCAGCCACAGAGAGTACTGGACAGCCAGTTGTTTCGTCCTAGTTTGGGACTTTTCGTCAGTACGCACCTACCTCCAGGGGTGGAACCCAGGACCTTCTGATTTCAAGGCTAACGAGTTCGTAGACTGTTAGGCTATTCGGACCCAAGCAGCCCGACTTCTGAAACTATCACTAGCGAATGTCCTCACATCCGACCTGCTGTACCCCCCACACTGGTCACGACTTCTCACTAGAACCATCCAGGTAACTACCAACTTACTTGAATAGGGTGAGTCATTAGTGAGCAGTGATCAGATTGATATTCAAGCGTTGGTGGTAGTTTACAGGAATTTGACTTGATTTGTAGTTACAGGATTTCATCATGAACTGACATCGGCTAGAGGAACCATTGATAAACGTTGAAGTTTTTGATTGCACACTAGTCAGTAATTAGTGTAATCTGTCTAGTCCTATCTTCGCTGCAGACTGAATTCTATCAGTCAAGCTTGCAATGTGGCCACTATGCTAGGTGGCACTGTGAATTGTTGGTATTAGATGGTTGGAGGCAATCAGCCGCAGGAAGCCCAGCTTGACCTAGGTTTCATGCTAGTTGGCACTCATCAGCAAGGCATATCTGCGGCCACCTTGAAGGAACTCATGTCCCTCCTCCAGAGATTCGGACCCGCGCACACTAGTGATGCAGTCACAGACGTTACTAGTGAGCTATTTGGGCTCACAACTGACCTCCTGTAGGACTGTATTGGATATTTTTGATTGCTCACTAGTCAGTAACTAAAAATATCCAATACAGTCCTATAGGAGGTCAATCGCGAGCCTGAATAGCTCAGTGTTAACGTATGTTGCTGCAGCGTTGGGTGACGCGGGTTCTAATCTCAAGAGGAGGGACATAAGTTCCTTCAATGTGGTTGCTGATGAGTGCCAACTAGCACGAAATCTAGGTCCCGCGAAGGCTTCCTGTGGCCGATTGCATCCAACCATCTAATACCAACAAACGTTGGAGTACTGGATAATTGGCTGTTTCGTCAGACTAGTTTGCGACTGACTCTTCATCAGTACGCATCTTTACTTATTATTATTATTTTCTTCTCTTTAATTTTTTTGCAGGTGACAGGAATTGATGGTGTCTATCGTCATACCTGTGAAATGGTTATGTCACTTATGCGATCTAATCGTGAAAGTCTTCTAGCCGTCTTAGAAGCATTCATTCATGATCCATTATTACAATGGGTACTACATGAAAATCGCAAAGAATTCAATCATTTAGAGAATAAATTAGATGATGGCGGAGGGGCAGGAGCAGGTGGAGGAGGCGCTTTAGCAGTCGGTGGAGGAGCAGGTGGTGGTCAAGTTTATCCAACTGGTCAAATGAATGCCAATGCTACAGGTATCGCAGTTGCAGCTGCTGCTGCAATGGCGACAAATTGTCTAACAGCTGGCGGTGGTGGTGGTGCTGGTGGGGGCGCCGGTGGTCAAGCTGGCTTAGGAACTAATAATCAAGTCGTTCAACCAAAACCACAAACTAATCGTAATTTGGACTATGCATATAGACATGGACTACTTACTCATCATCAGGTGAGCTTCGAAAAAAAACAGTACTTATCTGATAAAATATTCTAATATTTATTGATTACTATTATCATTATTATTTATTATTATTTCCTTTAATTCCTAGAGGAACATAGGGCTTCAGCCACCCACGTCTCCACTGCGTTCGGTTCTCTGCTAGAGTTTTCACATGACTCCAAGTCTGCCTACATGCTCTCATCTCCTCTTCACATGACCTCATCCAAGTCACCCTTGCATTGAAGACCGAGTCGCTGCTTCCCTTTCAGAGGGTTCCACTCGAGCAATGGCTTATCTAGTGATGTCACTTGATGGTTTGTTTCCTCAGAGTATGGCCAGCCAATCCATCTCCATTTCTTCCTGCTTATTTGTTGCACAATCGGTTCCCGCTGGGTTGGTTCGCTCATTGCCAGAGATCCCCGTGTTGTGATCTTTTCTGGCCAGCCATCTGATCTTGAGTAAAGTATTGAGCGAAGACAGCTGTTAATGAAGGTCTGTAGTTTGTTTGAGGTGCTCTTTATGACGCGCTGACCAAGTCTTTGATCCGTATTATGAGTAGCACTGACTTCACATTTGAGTTGAAAATCCGGATGTTATTTTTGATGCTGAGTGCTGTTGACCTCCACACAGACTTGAGAGTAGTGAAAGCTTGTCTTGCTTTTCCGATCCTCGCTGCCTTGATATCCTCGTCAGTTCTGCCTGTAGTTCAAACGAAGCCTCCCAGGTAGGTAAAGGAGGTTGTTTCTTTCAGGTTCCTCCCATTTATGCTGGCTGATTGTTGTCTGTTGTTGTTGCTGTTGCTGTCGGTGGTATTGGCCAGTAATCTACATCACCTCTTTTTTATCTATGTTCACCTGAAGTCCTATCTTTGATGCTTCTTCTGCCAGCTTGTTGCTTTTCGCTTGCAAATCTTCCAGTTTGTGGGAAATCAGACACATATCATCGGTGAAGTCCAGATCCTCCAAGTTTTTTACGATGGTCCATTTTATGCTTGTTTCCTAGTCTCCAGCCGCTGTCTGTCGCATTATCCAATCTACTGCAATCAGGAAAGTCATTGGCGATAGTAGGCAGCCAGCCAGCTAATCTTACTCCCGTCTTTACTTCGAAGGCTTCAGTAAGCTTCCCGTTGTAGATTACTTGTAATGCAGCATTGTCGTACAACTATTGGATGAGATGTAAAATTGTCGTTGGCACCCCTTGGTAGTAGCGTAGTAGTTTCCAAATCACCTCTCGATCGGCGCTGCACTGTCGAAGACCTTTTCGAAGTCGATGAAGTTGAGATAGAGAGGTGGCTACCATATCAAGCTTTGTTCACAATGATGATCCGTTGTGTGGCGATGTGATCAATACATGACTTGTTTCTCCTGAATCCATGCTGTTATATAATGTTTAGAGGTAATTGTTTTTACTAAGGTCAAAGTTCACTACTTACTTATTGTTGTTGAAGAATAGTTGTCACGATATAATAATGGTGATGATGATAGTTGTTATCGGTTCACTGTTAATCATTTGGAGAATCATTGAGAAAACCAGGAAGAAAGTGACAACTGTTTCGGCCTAGTTAGGGACTCGCCAACAGTTCGCACCCATAAACTCACCGGAAATCGAGTTCAACAAGTGAGCCCGTTGATCGCTTAGCCACTGGAACTAAATCCATTAATTCTTGAATTCTAAGTTCTGCTAATTCGTACAGGTGCTTGTTTCGATCCTCAGTATGCTATTCTGAGGAGCCTCAAATGTGGACGAAATAGCTATCGAATATTCCTTGGTTGTGCTTTGGTCAATAGCCGGATATCATGTCTACGTCAGAGACAGCGTAAACTGGCATATGCGAAACTAGCCCTCTGTATCCGTACTCAGCTGGGATTTCGTCAGAGATCAACCCGTTGGAACTGGCTGATGGTACTTCACAAATAAGTGAAGCGGTCAGCCTGCTCCACCAACCACTTCACTCCCTATTTCTAAGCTAGGAGTCAATGTAGTCCAGTCCTGTAACATCATCTTACATTTGGCGAGAGCATATCACTCGCATGCCAAACATTCGTAGATTGCAACTCAAGGTGTTAAGAAGACTCTGCTCTATTTTGTCAGCGTCCTCGCCTAGAAGGACTATATCGTCTGCATGTTTTAAGTCAACGAGATTATTCCCTCCTTGGTAGCAAGTCAATCCCTGAGTCGCTGAAGTCACTTAGGGTTAAGTCCATTAGTACATCTATGATGAAATTGAATAGAAATGGGGATACCGGTTTCACCGGAAATCGAGCACAACACCTTGAGATTACGAGACAAGCCTGTCTTACTATTCACAGCTGCCCCGTTGAATTCTAAATTCTGTCCAGTATAAATTCCATGGTTTTTAACATTTCTATCACTGATTCGTGCGTTTGTTTGTAACTGGAATATCAATATAATTATTTGAACTATTTCAATACATATTTATTTAGAAATATTTAATGCATTTCTTTTCCTTGTATGTGTGTAGAATACGCCTCATCGTGTAATCGATAAAACTACTGGTCAACAAATTCCTCAAGGACACTGTCATCCACAACAATTACAACATCAACCATCGACTCAACAGCACGCCAATAGACGAATGAATACATCGAAAAAGGTGTTTACTAATCCAAATCATCCAGACAGCGTTTCATTACGTGATCCACAAAAAGTTAATCCATGGCGTCATCATTTATGTAATGGACCATGGTTTGGTTGTTATGAAACTGGTATGTTTTTTAATGCAACACATTATTATTATTATTATTATTATTATTATTATTATTATTATTATTATTATTATTATATCGTAATGTATTCACATTTTTTGTTTATTATTGTTGTATTGTAACAACAGAAGACTAGAGCCAGGCTTGTTGTTGTCTGGAATCTCGGCGCTCGCTGATGTTCATCTGTTTCTCTTTGTTTACTATTGCGATTGTGTCTGCGTAACCCCATCTCAAAAGTGACCATATGTGGTCCTTCCCACTGTGGAAACTGTTTGCCTGACCCTGTCCGAAATTCGTCGGTATTTCGCCTCACACTTTCAAATGCTGCTTTCTCCCGACCTCCCAGCAGCGTCCCAAGTAACAGCCTCATTGCTGACAGATTCTGAGCACCACTCAACTGTGCAGAAGCCTTGAAGTCCTGCCTGAAGATTCATATGTCTCCATCAAAAACTGCATGTTATATGCCTTCCATCTGTCGGTAGGCAGCGACACCAAATGTAACGATAGTTTATTGCTTTACCTATTCTATCCTCCATCTGTAATCAGATTCTGCGTTTAGAAAGACAGAAAGAAAGAGAAAAAGGATGTATTCAACTGTATCCTTGGCTGTTTTTAACGGCAATCTCAGGAGTTTCTTTGTTATAACCGGAATTATGACCTGGTAGACTCACGTGAGTGAATAATAACTTAATTCACCGGATAATGGTCTGTTCTATTCACACATCGACAACAATGAAGACCACTTAACTAAAATAGCAGAGGAAATAGTACATCTGCTATGGTACCAAAACAAAATTTACCAAGGAAGGTTTATTACTGTGATGACGAATTGTGGCTTTGAATGCATAAAGGTGGTTTAAACTTCCTGTTCTCACCATTAATGGGTTCTGGGGTATTTGCTTTTGGAGCCATTTAAGAATATGCTGTGAAGTCCTTACTTGCAGACATCAATGAGTCCTCCCTTCTATGTATGTGTGTCCACACTTACATTGAAATTGATGAATACACTGGGATGTGACATTATTTTTCGCATGTTCGAAGGGCTTAGATGGATGGATATATTGACTTCACATTCTCAATTATTATTATTATTATTATTATTATTATTATTATCATATTAGCTGCATAAGAAGTCTTTTTAACAGCAGCCTTCAGTCTTTGTCTAGTTATCAAACTAGATAACTAGACAAAGTAAGTAACGGCTTCAGAGCATATTCCTAAATAGCTCCAGAAACAAATAGAATCTTCAGAACCCATTAATGCTGAGAACAGGAAACCCAGCTTCTCTATTGAAGAACATATTATAGAAACAGGACATAGAATATTGATGTTTACACATCTTCTAAACCTATCTTTCTATAAAACGTGTTTGGGGGCGTATCCTAAAGTTTGTAGAAGCCCCCCAGCTGGCAATTAGGAAGTTTAAACCACCCTTATGCGTTCAAAGCAACAATTCGTCATCACACTAATAAACCTTCCTTAACAAACACAACAACAATAACACTGACAGCACGCAAAGACAAAATAAAAGAACTGTGAACATTGATCAGAGAGCTTTTCCTGTTTCAAAACAACGGTCAGAAAAAGACTGATAGCGCTTAACCTTGAGAAGCACTAATGTCGTTGATAAATTGGGACAGGGATCAACCAATAGGATTTTAATAGTTTCTAAGTAGGATGAGGGAAAATTAGGAGTCATAAATCAATAGATGGGGTAAGAGAAATACAAATAGACATGAAGAAAATCAGGGCTACATATATCATTCTTTTCGTTCGAAAAGTTTCCGACTACAACATCTGTCCACCGCTGAAGGCTCTTCCTTTTCTACACAAGCAAAACCTGAACTGTTTATTATATACAGAAGTGGTTAATCTAGTGTGCTTTCTTTGCTAACCCCACACACACACACACACACACACACACACACAATTATATTTTTTTAACTTTTTTGCTGTTTTTAAAAACTTTGATATGAAACATGAAGGTGAGAATTTGTTGAATTGAATACCATCTCGTTTATAGTACAGAGATTGTCTCTATTTATTTTGATGTAGTGTTGTGTTCTCTGGGCTGGCTGGCTTTCATTGTCCTACTTACTAACTAGGCAACAGCTTCAGCGCATACACTTCAATTTGTTAAAATGAGCTTTTAGATTTCTCCACGAGTTGATTAGTCATCTCTCTCGTTGTGAGTGACCTTAAATCAAGGGGTTGCTTGTTTTTGTGTCCGTTCATCCACTAGGATACTGAGTAATGATTGTTTCCTTTACCTGAAGTTAGCCACTTTGTGTATGAGATTTCCTTCTTATAGATTGGTAAATTTTGTATGTGTCAGTGTCAATTAGACAGGGGGGAATACCTGGTATTCCAGTATTTATTTTACAGCCTAATTCCACACCGTATTTTTCGATACAAGTATGGAATTTTCATCATGTGATATCGGTAGCCCAAATTTTACAGGCCGACCAAAGATATCAGGTGTACGTCGGCACAGGATCGAACTCCGGACCATGTGCATGGTCGGCGAGAGTCCTAACCGTTGTGCCGCCGACGCACTGTATGCATATATTGATCGATTGATTATTGTTTAAAAATGAACTTTGTGCAAGTATGTTAAAGTTGTTTTTGTAAATATATTTAATAATGTCATTGACCTGTAAGCAAAGCAGCTGACGAGAAGGCAACGAAATGAACAATAATGGTACCACTGTATTCTGCTAAAACTCTAGTTATTGCTTTGTTCAAATTTATTAAAGGGGAATAAATGTATGAAATTTCGTCTGAATTATTCCTTTTGCTGTTCAAATAAAAGAGACACTATAATCATCAACATGATGTCGTCCTTTTTGTGTGTGTGTGTGTGTGTGTATTTGCTTTATCGGATCCTGTTTGTTTTGTTTTTTTTCTTTTCATTTCTGTATGTAGCTAAACGTTTAAGAAGGCAAACAGAATCTGGTCACATTGTCATTGAACGCCATGGTAAGTGTATGAATGAATGAATCCAATTTTTTTCTCATATTTCAATTCATGTTTTTATTTTATCAGTTGTAGCGTTATGATGTTATACTCACGTTTTCTCTTTTCAGTTTTCATTTGTGTGTGTGTGTGTTTGTGTATGCGTTCTTTTGTGTGCGAAATTGAACTCTGTAAAGTTTTGCACCAGTTTTGTCAGTTTGTTAGTAGATACAGGCAATGGGTGAAATTTTTTTTACTGGGTTTATAAGTGATATTTTACGTTATTAAAACGACTGAAAAATAGCAATTTCGTATATTATTATTATTATTATTATTATTATTATTATTATTATTGTCATTAATTTTTAAAATATATTTGTTCATTGAAGTTTCTGTAACGGTTTGGTTGAGTTTTGGGAGTGGAGTTGCTGGCACCACGCCCCAACTCTCCCTCTTTATCCAGGCTTGGGACCGGCTAGAAAACTAGCAAGCTAAGTAGTCTACGCGAGAATAAGGTGCCCACTGACTGGAGGAAAAGTTACCTCGTGAAGCTACCAAAGAAGATCGACTTAGGACTCTGCAAGAACTGGTGAGGAATCATGCTCCTGTCGATGCCAAGTAAAATCCTGAGTCGCATCATCCTGGAGAGTATTAAGGACGAACTGGATACACGACTCCGACCAGAACAAGCTGGATTCAGGAAAGTCAGACAAATCATGTTCTGACCAAATTGCAACTCTACGCATCATCATCACAGAACAAAGCATGGAATGGCAATCAAACCTCTACCTCAACTTTATAGACTTTGAGAAGGCCTTCGACAGACAGCGTTGACCGCGAATTAATTTGGAAAGTACTCGAGTACTACGGCGCACAGTGACCCAAATATTCATCAACCTTATTCAACAGTTGTACGACAACGGAACATGTCAAGTGATCCACAACGGAAAACTCAGCGAGGCGTTCGCAGTAAACACAGAAGTCAGACCAGGGTGCTTATTATCACCAATGATATTCCTAATTGTGGTGGACTGGGTTATGCGTCAGACAGTGAGTGGGAAACTAGAGGACAGGGATATCCTGGACCGACTGATGTGAAGAACCTAGAAGACCTGGATTTCACGCGTGGATGATTTATGTTTGATGTCACTGTCACAAAATCGAAGACTTACAAGCGAAAACCGACTGACAAACTGGTCGAAGAAGCAGCTGGCGAAGACAGGACTCCATCCAGGTGTACATAGACAAGACGGAGGTTATGAAAATAACCAACCAACCAACCACCACAACAGCACCAACATCCAGCGTCGATCACCATCAACGGGAGGGATTTGAAAGAGGTTACTTCATTCACTCACTTATCTAGGGAGCACTGTCTCAACTACAGGCAGTCGGAACGGACGAGGATGTCAAATCGAGCGAGAAACACATTCATCAACCTGAAACCAATCTGGGAAACCAATCTTCGTCACACAGCATCAACAATATTCGATCGGATTTTCAATGCGAACAACGTCAAGTCAGTCCGTTCTTCTATACGGGTCAGAAACTTGGCGCTTGGCGGGTCACAAAGAATATTTCCAACAGCCTGTTGCAGACGTTACCTTTATCAACAACTCTCTTCGCTGGCTCTATACTGAAGATGAATCAGATGGCCGGCCTGGAAAGAATCACCAACTATGGGAAACTATGGGAACAAACAAAACAAGAACCAATCGCCAACCAACAAATATTCCGGAGAAAGTGGAGATGGATTGGACACTCGCTGAGTGAGGAGGCCGCTGGGTGACATCGCGCGCCTGTCAGGCCATCGCATGAGTGGAATCCGAAAGGGAAGTGGCGAGTGGGTCGTCAGTGAAAGGGTGACATGTAGGAGATCGTGTGAAGAGGAGTTGTAAGAGTATGGACTAACTAACATGGATGCAAGAGAAAAGTACACTAGAAGACAGAAGCAAGTGGAGACGTGCAGTTGAAGCCCTATGTTCCACTAGGAACCCAAGGGAACAATAATAATAATTATTATTATTGTTATTATTATTATCATTTTTATTATTAATTATTTTTATTATTAATAATTAATATTATTATTATCCGTTTCACCCACGCTGTGTGTTCTCACTGAGTAAATAGTCGTCTGGGAATTCAAGTAGACGACTTTGGTAGTTGTAAACTGATACTCGTGATCATAGTGTGTCTGTCACTATTGCGGGTGTCTGTCTTTCAATTCGAACCACTGTCTTTGAATACGCGCATGACCACTACCGTTCATAACGTTGGGATGAACGACTGTATTAGGTTTTTATTAATGAATTACAGTTGTATCACTTGCTGAAGTCGTCTACTGTGTGTGTGGACTTATTATTACCACTGGTTATATCAACACATAAATTATTCACATTTGATCATAGGGAATAATGAAAAGACGGTTGCAGGAAAGAAGAAAATTTTCTTTTCGGCGAAAGCAACATCAACTAGACAGCTGTACATTCGTGTGTATTTATAATAAATGGGTGAGAAAGTTCCAGAATAATTTCTGGTCAAGGGTCAGATTATATTAAAAAATTACAATTAGGAATTAAAATGCCATAATAAACAGGGGTAGGGACGGATAAAGCTCAGACAAAGTGTAGCATCATAATTACTGAGAAAAATGACATATTGTGCAATTGGGGATTAGAAATGTAGAAATAACAAAAATAAACAGGATGTTTGGATAAAATCAAATCTAGTGAGATCATAACTAATGTGACAAATAACTGTTTATGCAGTCAGGGATATTAAATATGTAAAAATAATAAAATGACAAAATAGACAGGAAGTTTGGATAAGAAAGTCAATGGGATAGTCACTATCAAAAAATTAAAAATTATTATAATTCATTTGGGTTCCGAGTGGAATATAGGGCTTCAATAAGACATCTCCACTTCGCTGTATTTTCTCCTGTCCTCTGCAGCTGGCTAGGCCTACGATCGCCCATAATCTCTCATATCCTCCTCCCCCATGTCACCCTCGCACTGATGACCCACTCATCATTTCCCATTGAGATTCCACTCGAGCGATAGCCTGCATTACGCGAGATGTCATTCGATGGACTCCTTAGTGGTGTGTGGTCGATCCATCTCCATTCTCTCCTACATATATCTGTTGAGCGATCGGCTCTTGCCTATTGGTTTGTTCCAAGCCAGAAATTCTTGTTGCTAATTCTTTCTGACGGGCTGGCCGGCCGGCCGACCGACCATTTGATCTTCACTATAGAGCCAGCAGCTGTTGATAAAAAAAGTCTGCAGTAGCCTGTTGGAAATCCTTTTCGTCATGCACCCCGCCAAGTTTCTGACCCGTATAGAAGAACTGACTTCACATTTGTGTTGAGTCCTCATTCTTATTCTTGCTTTCATCGAAAGAAGACACATCGGCTGGCTGGCTGGCTAAATGGCTTCCTCCCGAAGGTGGACTTTCATGAGTTCGCATCATTTCACCCCCTCCCCCCGATTCCAGCGAAGAATAAGTCTGCTTCTTATATTTCTCATGCGTTGAAGTGTGTGTGTGTGTGTGTAGCAGTTTGATTGGTTCTCTAGCCCCACGTTGTAACCTCTCTCTTTGCCCTTCTGAGCCTGGGACTGGCTAGATGATTAGCGACCTAGTAAACTAGACGAGATTATCAACACAATTTTAAAGCTACTTGTGTATATGAGGTTTGTATTTTGCAGTAGCATTATTCATTTTCTAATTTTGTTGTACTCAACAGCTTTTTCTTTTTTTACGCTTTCTTTTACTCAGGACTACAAGGTTTCATCTTCTCAGCTAAGCCTCCAAGTACAGAGGATTCATCGATAGATTCAGAAGGTAATGTCTAACCCCCTAGTGATTCATTTTCTTCCTTTCTTTCTTTGCTATTGAATGTGTATTCAACAACTATTTAACATTCTCAAGTGAGTGTTGGTTTGCTGAGACTTAATAGACTTCAAGTTAGATTATGGGATGATACCAGTTAAAGAACTATGTCTGTGCTTTTGGAAGTGTGTGGACGGTTGTTACTTCCCGGCTGCCCACACTGTGTAAGTTGATTGACTCTTCGGGTACCTGAAACAGAAAGAGGGTTAGTGTTGCGTGACACCTCAGACACCAGGGGACAACTACTTGAAGCCGGTCACACATGACCTGTATGAATCGGTTTCTGGGATTGGTTCCGTATTAGTAAACTTACCGCCGGTTACGGACCACCGTAGGTTGGGTAAGTCGGGATGTACAATTTTTGGGGTCGACCCTTTCTAACTCCCTCTCTCCAGAGTGGAGAGACAGCATAGCTAGCCGGCATGCTGGTCATCTGAGGGAAACACCTCACTGCTGGTACACCCCTGTTCCCCAGCAGTCCGACTTCGCCCTCAGACCCCCCAGCATAGTGTAAGAAAGATTCTTGCACAATGCCGGCAACTGCTTTTAGTCTAATCACTATCGTAACAACCTTCCTGGCATGGTAGGACCTGCAGGAACATTGATTGTAGCCAGTGTAGCTTGTTGGGTCATTGCGATATGTAAGCCCGACCACTAAGTTAAGGTAGCAGCTATCGTTCGGGTAAAGAACTATACACAACCAGCGAGTATTCGTCCTCATATCTGACCCCTGGTGTGGACCCCACTGAGGTGGTCACAAATTCATGGGCCGTTTTATTCCATCTCATTGGGTGAACGAACAGTCAAAGGTGGTTACACCTCGTAACATCCGAGGCTCTTTAGTGTAGAGTCACACGTGCATATATATATATATATATATATATATATATATATATATATATATATATATAACTTGGGCACTGTGGCAGAGTATAACTCCATTATGTATAAGATTTTATTTTGATAAGTCACACATTGTTATACAGTACTATTAATTGACGGCGTTCCGAGGACAAACTATTGCCACTCATAATCATATCAAGGTACTCACACAACTTTTTTCCTTCATTTATATACATGTGTGGAATTGACCAGATATTGGAATAAAAATCAATATGAGATAGTGTACATTCAGAAATAACAATGATATGAGTGTTATTGATCAAATACAATTAGATGGGAAATAAGACGAGTGTTTTTATAATCAAAATAAATAAGCAACTTGTTAGAATGTTATGATGTACGTGAATTGAAATAGAATTTTAAGGTTATTTATTATCCTCCTGTGATTTCACTGATTGACTGGTGGTAATAATATCTCCCATATTTCTGGTATTTTCATTGAGTCATTTCTGTTGCATGTGTTAGGTGTAGACTCAATGAACCAGGATTCAGCAATCAACCTCTCTCTATCGCCACCTACATAGATTACTTCTTAGAATCTTAACCCTCTCTCACACCCTATTGTGTGATTGTGTTAATGCATGTAGTGCAATTGCTGATTTTTTTTTCTAAGTTACTTATCTTCTCTGGGTCAACCATTCTTACCATAGTCAAATTCTTATGTTCCGACTATCTGATTTACTAGTTTGACCTATATAGTTGACCACAACTCACAGTCATTGCAGGGTATTTTGTAAATTATGTTATTTTGTTTAATTGGGTCCATTGGGTCTTTTAGCCTACAGAGCTTGTCTCTAAGTTTATATATATACAGCTGAAGAGACTTTAATTCGAGCAAAACAGCTTTGTAGTATACTCTGGTTTTCGATAGCTCTCTAAATAATGTCAGTTTGTGTGACTCAACTTGGAGTCAACTAACAACCTACTTCTCTCTCTCACCTTAATATATAATGTGATTGGGAGTTACGGAAGTTTGATGTTAAGTGAACAGTAATGTAGCGCATTCATTCACTTGATAGCTCGGCGTTATCTTTTCGGTGGTAATCGGATTGAAGTGGTGATCTGGTTAGCAGTGGTTGGTTCGCATAGCTGACACATGGTCAAGTTCGTCGAATCAGTCATTGAGAGGAGCCTTAGGTTCAAATCCTAATATTATAGCCTATTCTATGAGTATCTATAATTATAACAGGAGAAATCATGGAAAATACCCATCAATCAGGACATTAGAGAGAAAACAAGTTCTGTCTGTCTGTCTGTCGGTTTTCGACATAGAAGTTTGCACCGATGTGCACCACTTCAAGTCGCCACACTCCCCTCCTTCTTGCACACAAAGCAAGAGAAGAAAGTAAAAGAAATGCATAATAGAGACAGTAAACAGAGATGTGAGACAAAGGAATAGTAATAACGAGGAACAATATAGATTCACTTGAAATCATAAGTCACAAGGAATGCATGCATCTTCAACATCCATTGAGAACAATCACTTTGAGCCATATCACCGATTGTCTCTAGCCTTCATTGGTATTTACCGTCCCGAAAAACCCAACCAGCCTGGCAGTCTATACCTTTCTACGTGACTTAGACTAGCTGTTGTGGATTTCATTGACTGATGAAGCCATGTTTTGATTTGACCACCACTGGCTAGCCCTTTTCCAGCCTGACCCTACTATATCAGCTAACATTGCCTGTTCGTCGAGGAAGGTGCTGACTAGGCATGCATACCTAACACACGTCCTAACCATCTCAGTCGATGTAGCTTCACAGCCTCGTCGATTGATTTCCCCTCCAACTCACCTAGCACTCGACGCCTAACCTCAATATCGCTCACCTTATTATACCACTTCACACGGGAGATAGAACGCAAAAACAAGTTCTGCACAAAGACATCTCGTTGATGATTTCATTCCTACGTGTACTTTTTTCATTTTTATAAAATCCTGTAACCAAATCAAGTCAAATCCGTGGAAACCACCAACACTTGAATATCAACCTGATGCTCACTAGTGACTCGCCCTATTCAGGTAGGTAGGTAGGTAGGTAGGTTGTTACTTGGGTGGTTCTAGTGAGAAGTCATGACTAGTGTGCGGTACAGCAGGTTGGGTGTGAGGACAAATATTCCCCAGCGATGATATTGGCTAGTGCCAGTCGCGCCATATCATGAACTGGCCATTGGATCGGGTTCCAGGAGCTGATGAATGAATGGTCTATGAACTCGTTAGCATTGTCTCGGGATAGGTCCTGGGTTCCAGCCCTAGCGGTGGTTGTGTAGTGCTGAAGAGTCCCGAACCAGGATGAAACGGCTGTCCAGTACTCCCTGTTGGTTTTTTTCTAATGGTCCTCTAAATGATGTTCGGCTCATGATGATATCCTGAAACCAATTAAATCAAATCCTCTTGCAAACCAACACTTGAATAAAATATCAGTTTTCCTATTAATATATGTGGAAAACTCGGGCACTGTGGTAGTAAGTAATTCCATATTAGTTTGTTAATTAAATGTATCACACAGTCAGTGAAACATTATCATTTACTGGATGACAATGTTTCGAACAAAATTTATTTAATCTTCATAATCATTTCATCGATTATAATCACATGACTTCGAAACTTGAGTTTTATAGTTTTCTTTGTCTTCTCCTATTTGTCGTAGGGGTAGTAGAATTTTCCAGATGTCTAGGTGGAAAGGTGTTGAATCATACCTATTACACGTGTAGGTTTGCAGTTGATCCGATAAACAAAGCTTTTGTTATCATTCTCTCCCTTCACCCTGTTAGTTGCATTAGATTTTAAAACTGTGGTGTAGTGCTAAAGCTGAACTATTCTCTAGATTTCTTATCTTATTTGGGTCAACCAATCTAGATTTCACTGCTGGGTTTTTATGTTCGGCTAGTCTGATTGCTCCTGTTCTACTAGTTTGACCTGTGTATTTGATCTGAAAATCATTACAGACAGGGTATTAGATAAACTAGATTGTTTTGTTTTAAAGGCTCCACAGGATTGATCCTTTAACCGACAAAGCTTGTTTCTAATTGAGTTTGTGGGTTTCAATGCGACTTTTATTCCTGCCTTGTTAAGAATTCTGTGTAAGGTTTCCGAGGTTTTTTCCCTGTATAGAATTACTGTTAATGACTTAGATTCTTTATTGTTGGTGTCGTCATTTATATTATTATTATCACTATTATTATTAATATTATTATTATTATCATTGTTCATCGAATCAACTGCAAATACGTGTAATAGCAATGATTCAACACCTATCCAGTCGGATATCTGGAAAATTCTACTGCCCCTACGACGACAAATAGGCGAGGACAAAGAAAACTATAAAACTCAAGTTTCAAAGTCGTGTGATTATAATTGACGATATGATTATGAACAATAAGTAAATTTTGTTCGAAACTGTGTCATCCAGTACTTCTAATAAATAAACTAATATGGAATCAGTTTACCTGTTTTCAGAATTGTGACCATCTCCTTGTCCTGTTTTTTTTTCTATAATCAATGGTCATTCAAGTTATTGATAAACTCTGTAAAACGTCACACGATATACGTATATATACTACTTATATCGATTGTTATAAGTAGTTTACACATATAGTTAGGTATACATCACAGAATATGAGTGCAATCAATCTCTTCTGTGTAATAGAGTAGAATAATTTTCTTTTTCTTTAAATTGTTTTTGTTTTCTTTTTTGTCTTTTACAGTTCAACCGGTGACATTGGGTAATGTACGTGCACGTTCAGTAATGGAGAGAATTCGACAAAAATTGACAGGTACAGAAAGAGATCAGCTGATGAGTGTATCTACACAAGTTGACTTTTTAATACGTGAAGCAACATCAAATCAAAATTTATGCCAAATGTATATAGGCTGGTAAGCAAGCAACTAAGGAGAAGAAATTACTTCTGAGTTTTTTTTTTTTTTTAATATTTTTTATTTTATTTTATGGATATCATTTCTGGGGGAAATTTTGTGTAAGGATTTACGTTGTTTTGTTTACGTTTTTGCTTCCAAAAGAGATGATTTGGTTTAGTTTGAGATTGGTTGAAGTGCTCGGTCTTTTATTTAGTGGGTGCAGAGTTTAAATCCTGTTGCAGTTAATTCAGTTAACTGGAGAAGGGGGAACGAGATAGTATCATCAGTCCTTACATACAGAGATACAGGGTAGCTCTTATTGTAACAACAAAAGCCAAAGGTCAGACAGCAAATCGTTTATTTACGAAATCAACAGATATTAATAATTTTTACGAGTTGATCACGGATTGATATCAGTTAGAGAACCATTGAAAACCAACACTGGAGTGCTGGACAGCTGCCGTTTCATCCTAGTTCGGGAAGCATCGGAAGTACGTACCCACTGGGATTCGAACCCAGGACCTTCCGGTTGTGAGGCAAGCTCGTATACCATTCAGCCACTGGGACCCGATTCAATGGCCAGCTCATGAATTCTAACTTCTACCAATTCGTGATTCAGCGCGACCCCAACCATTGTCGTTTGTGGGACATCCATCCACACACGTGACATCTAATTGGACATCACTGGTCATGACTTCTCACTAGAACTCCATGAAACTCCATCCTGTAGCAAGTCACTCGTAAAAACATAACTAACCCTTACAAACCAAACTATAGAAGAAAGATGTTTATAGATTTTCATGTACATTATTATAGATTATTGTAAGTAGAAAACATAGTCTTCTGATTGGTTGTTTCTCACTGAAAGTTAATCTTTCATCTCTTTCTGGCTGTTTATCGAATGTCAGATCATCTATATGCTAACTGTATCCGCCTACACAAAGTCTCCTGTGGTTGTTTGTTGAATCAGTCTTCGTTCTTATTTGTCTCACGACCAATATCGGGGACGTAAACATTGACGTAAATTACTGTCTACTAATTTTTGGCTAACAGCCAGCTCTCACCACAATATGATTATCCCAGTTTGTAAGAAAGGAAACTATCTGTGCAAAGTGCCAACGTCCCCATTTCTGTTTACTTTCATCATAGATGTACTGATGAAATTAACTCGAACTGACTTTAGCTACTCAGGGATTGACTAGGTGCCAGAGCGCATAATCTCGTTGACTCTGAATATGCAGATGACATAGTTAGTTCTTCTAGGAGAAGACTGACAAAATGAAGCAGAGTCTTCTGAACACCCAAAATCAGAAATCTTCGAATATTTGGGATACGATTCGCTCCCGCCAAATGTAAGGTGATGATGCTTGCTCGCTACAGGACTGGACTACATGTATTCCTAGCTTAAAAGTAGGGAGCTGGTGATGAAGTGGTTGGTGGAGCTCGTTGACCACTTCACTTATCTGGATAGTTGTATCAGCCAACTTCATCAGCGAGTTGGTCTCTGACGAAATCTCTGCATGGATACGGTAGGATCGTTCGGCACATACCAACATACGCCATCTCTGGCTTAGTAGACGTGATGTCCGACTGGCCATCGACTAAAGACCGTGTGTACTGTGCATATATATATATATATTTCAACTCATGGAAAATTCCCACTGTAACATATAGGAAATCAAAACAAGTGATGATTCAGCGAAGAGACTCTTTTCAACAACGAATTTATTACCAAGCTCTACAATCGTATACATATGGTTTTTAAGAAGTTATATCCGGTGAGGGAATTGTATCACAGGTGTGAATACATAAAATAATAGTATGAAATGCAATTAAAGTTAAAATATTTGTGATTATACTCATAGTTAAATGTCAAATGGCAAAGCAAATTAATGTCATATGTTTAGAATAATTCATAGGATGGATAGAACTTGAAAAAGGGTGTGCAATTATAGGATTAGTAGACAAATCGAATAAAACAAAAAAACATTACGTAATATTGTGTGAAATTTAATAGTATAGAATTTAGCGCTGTAAGGAAAAGAACTGATTTAGAATGACAAGTGGAACAAGTGAAATAATACCGGGGACAGTTCAAAGTGAGAATAGTAATGGTAACAATTGACGTAATAAGGAAGGGAATACAAATTGAATAGACAAAATGAGAAAATGAAAAATTGGCAGAGCTAAAATATGATTGGGGCTCACCATACTTTAGCATAGAGAGGTTAAGACCATGAAAGTTGAAGGGGTTGAACGAACTTTTTTGTGTGCACAGAGATCTGGCTTTTCCGTTTCGATAGCCAAAGCTTCAGCAACGGCTATGACTATAATTACAAACATTTTAGTTTTTTATTGCATTTCATACTACTACTATTATTATTACTTTATGCATTCACACCTATGATTCAATTCCCTCACCGGATATAACTTCTTAAAAACCATATATACTCGACTGTACAGCTTGATGATAAATTCGTTGAAAAGAGTCTCTTCGCTGAATCACTTGTTTTGATTATATATATATATATATATATATATATATATATATATATATATATATATATATAAATTGTAAATTGTAAATTGCCCTCTAAAATTGCTTCTATGATAATGTTTCACTTCGCTTTCTTCTTCTATTTTTCGTTCCCTATAGGTGTGCCTTCTGGTGATGCTACTCTACTGTATTACAAATCGATATTTCTATTTGATTTTATAATTATCATTGTTATTATCACTTTAACTTACTTATATATTGTGAACTATTGAAATTCTAAAGAACATTTAAAAAAAAGGATAAATTGATTTCTATATCACACTTATTTTGTTGTTGTTATTATTATTATTATCATTATTGCTATACTTGTACAGTTTCAATAAGTGAATAAAAAAGTAATTAAAAATTAAAAAAATATATAAATTCTTTTGATGATGATATTAGCTGGTTGGAGGAAATCGCGGCAGCACAGGAGGAAGCCTTGGACACGTTATGTATGTAGGTTTCATAGGTGCTAGTTGACACTCATCATCACCGGTCGTCAGCAAGGCTGGGTGTATCTGCATGCAACTTTGAAGGGACATAAGTTCCAACAATTCAAAGTACACCGTGATGATGACGAGCTACCTACCTAGTGGTATGGGGCCGGCCACATTGCAAACCAGACTGTGATAGAATTCAGTCTGCACCAAAGAAAGGGATAGACACACGCACACACATTACACTAGTTACTGACTAGTGTAGAACTTCGGCACTGTGGTATTAAGTGAATTCCATATTAGTTTGTTTATTAGATATATCATACAGTGAGTGAAACAGTATTATTTACTGGATGACATGGTTTCGAACAAAACTTATTTATTGTTCACAATCATTTCATCAATTATAATCACACGACTTTGAAACTTGAGTTTTATAGTTGTCTTTGTCCTCTCCTATTTGTCGTCGTAGGCGTGTTAGTAGAATTTTCCAGATATCTGGGTGATCAGGTGTTGAATCATTCCCATTACATGTATTCTCTTCAGTTGATTCGATAACACAAAACTTCTGTTATCAATCTTCCCCACTCGCCAACCTGTTAAATTAGATTTTAAAACTGTCATCCTATCCCATCCAGCCTATTGTATGGTTGTGTGTAGTTGCATGTAGTGAGTGGTATAGCTGAACTATTCTCTAGATTTTTTATCCTATTCGGGTCAACCAATCCATACTGCTAAGTTTTTATGTTCAGCTAGTCTGACTGCCCCTTGTTCTGCTAGTTTGACCTAAGCATTTGACCTGACAATCATTGCAGGCAGGGTATTAGATAAACTAGATTGTTTTGTTTTAAAGGCTCCACAGGATTGATCCTTTAACCGCCAAAGCTTGTTTCTGATTCACTTTGTCGGTTCTGATGCCAGTCACTTTTATTCCTGCCTGAATTGTTAAGAATTCTGCGTTGTGAGGTTCCTTCCTTATATGGAATTACTACTGATGATTTAAATTCCATAATGTTGGTGTTGTCTTGCCCACATTTGGCTTGCATTTCATCATTATTATTATCACTATCACTACTATCATTATTTATTTTGTTTTTACATTTCCCTACATATTTCCTGACTAATTTATCCGGGTAATTATTAAGTTTCAAAATTTCTCTTATATGCCTCGCTTCCTGTCTTAGATTTTCCTTGGTACTACTTAGTTTTGGTGCTCTGTCACTTAAACATTTCACCAATGCTATTGTTAGCCACGTCTCATAAACCGTTAATGCCCAGCTCTTGCTACGCTCGGGCCCACGCTGTTCCTTGAAGTTTTCAGAAACGCTTAGTTATAACGGACGAAAAAACCAAAACACCGATTGGCCGCTTGAGATTTCTTTATTGTTACACCAACATATAAAAATAATAATTGAACTAAGGTCTGTGAGCAAATATTACAATAATAAATCATAATATTACTTCTGACGATGTTTTACTCTTCTTTCTGAACAGCGACCGATGAGACGATGACTGTCGTATTGATGCCTCCGCGAAAATTGGGGAAGTTGATTTTGAGCAAACAACCAAGAATTGATCGTTCAATCTTCAACTCCATTGACAGCTATTTTTACTGACATTGGATAGGATGATAGGAAGTCGAAATATCTGTTTGAGGGTGTGGGTTTCCTGTAAGCACTAGTGTTTAACTTCCTATCTTCTTTCCTTTTTACACTGCAATCTAACATTGGAAGCTCCCCCTGCTTCCTGACTTTATAATTCATAAATGAACTGAATTGCCTCCACTTTTCAGTTAATGTGTTCGAATAATCTATCTATATCCTGTGGTCCAAGTACAGTGAATGTGTCATCTACATACCTCCACCATAATTTTGGGGTTGGGAGTGAACGTTTCAATCGCTGTCTTTTCCCACATATCCATGAATATATCTGCTACAACCGAGGCTATTGGTGATCCCATGGCAACTGCCTCAGTTTGTTTGTATATTTTCCCTTGGAATTGAAATACTGTGGGAGTCAGGCACAGCTATACCCCCAGCATTATGCCCTCAAGTGACAATTTCGTCCTAAGTTCAAGTTCTTGATCAGAAATGAGTTCGTTACTGACTACCTCTATAGCCATACTTATTGGCATACGTGTATACAGACTGACAATGTCAAAACTAACCATTCTGTCTTCATTGTCTAATTGTAAATTATCTAATCTATGTTTTAGTTCATAAGAATTTGTTAGTTTTTTTTTTAATTTTTTGATTACAGCTTGATGCCACACCGTATTTTCAGTACAGGCATGGAATTCTCAGCATGTGATATCGGTAGCCCAAATTTTGCAGGCCGACCATAGATATCAATCAGGTGTGCATCGGTAGGGTATCGAATCCTGGACCATGTGCATGGTTAGCGAGAGTCCTAACCACTGTGCCACCGGTGCACTGTTAGTCTAGATTTCGAGTGGCTTTTAAGGGGACTTAATATTATCATGGCTAAATATTTAGATAATTCCTATGTAGGTGAATTTCTAAAATCAGTCAGTTGTAGCAACAGTTGTACATATAACGTGTTGTTGTAGCGCTGAATGAGGTGGGTTTAAATCTCACAGGGTGGGGATATTAATTCCTACAAGAGTGTTTGTTATAGGTACACGCCTTGCTGTGATGAGTGCCAGCCAGCCAAATAAGCAAAAAATCTAAGTTTGGTAGGGGGTTTCATGCCGATCGCCTCCACTTGCTTAGCGTTTATAACTAACATTAAGAATCTCTTAAATGATTAATGGTGGTGATTGTATTACACATTTCAACGATAAAATAAAAAGTTAGCGCCAATATATATCGGTCACCTGATGACCAGTCAATACAATAGATACCAGAGTCAAATGACCTTGATTTGACCAATCAGATGGCTAAGAATTACAAATAATTAATTTGCTAGTCATAATCGTAGTTGAAAACTTCTCCTAGATTCGGTTTTTGACTTCTCTGTGGAAAATGGGTTGATAGGGAGGGATATAACATGCATAACATGAGGAGGGATAATAACTCCGTGAAAGTATTGCCGGCCTACTGATGGTTATACATTCAGACGCAACCACTTTATATGAGGAAGTCTGTATAAGTTGGTAAGTCGTACATAATTGCTGATTTTTTAGACACTTTCTTCTCCAAATCAAAGCTCCCCTTTAGATATATACTGCGTATATGCAACCAGTATCTGCTACACCTGGGGAGAAATAGACAGCGCATCGGTCTGATATGTCTATAACCACTTCTATGGGGATCTGAGGCCAGTTTTTGCAGCATATTAAAGGATATATACCCTATATGATTCATTTTTATTATATATATATATATATATATATATTAGATACACTTCTTTAAAAATTAAGTACTACTTCTCACCCAGGAGAATCTGATTGGTTGTTTCAAGGTAGTCGTGAGTTGCCATGTTATGAGCACCTGGATCAATGGAATCACAGCTAGTCATCTTTTTTTTCCTTCACATTCCCAGTGGAACATAGGGCTTCAAGCTAGTGGCTTGAAGTTTCAGTAGCATTGTTTAATCTTACAGAATGGGGTTTCTAGCCTCATGCCCGACCTTTCCTCTTTACCAGGATTATTTCTGGCTTAGCGAGGTAAGGAAGTGCATCGGCCGGAATCGAACGCTGGACCATGTGCACGGTCGGCGAGCGTCCTAACCGCTAGTCATACTAGTAGGCTGGAAGCTACTCATACACCTCTGAATAGACAACACGCAGGCATTATATTACTATTACTTCCTTTAATTCCTAGAGGTACATAGGGCTTCAGCCGCCCACGTCTCCACTGCGTTCGGTTCTCTACTAGAGTTTTCACATGACTCCAAGTCTGCCTACATGCTCTCATCTCCTCTTCACATGACCTCATCCAAGTCACCCTTGCATTGACGACCGAGTCGCAGCTTCCCTCTCAGCGGGTTCCACTCGAGCGATGGCTTATCTAGTGATGTCACTTGATGGTTTGTTTCCTCAGAGTATGGCCAGCCAATCCATCTCCATTTCTTCCTGCTTATTTGTTGCACAATCGATTCCCGCTGGGTATGTTCGCTCATTGCCAGAGATCCCTGTGTTCTGGTCTTTTCTGGCCAGCCATCTGATCTTGAGTAAAGTATTGAGCGAAGACAGCTGTTGATGAAGGTCTGTAGTTTGTTTGAGGTGCTTTTTATGACGCTCCAAGTCTGATCCGTATAATGAGTAGCACTGACTTCACATTTGAGTTGAAAATCCGGATCTTATTTTCATTTTGATGCTAAGTGCTGTTGACCTCCACAGAGACTTGAGAGTAATGGAAGCTTGTCTTGCTTTACCGATCCTCTCTGCTTCGGTATCCTCGTTCCGCCTGTAGTTGGAATGATGTTCCCAGGTGAGTAGGTAAAGGAGGTTTTTTCTTTCACGTTCCTCCTATTTATGGTGATTATTGTCTTTTGGTGTGGCCCAGGAATCTTCACCACCTCTGTTTTCTCTATGTACACCTGATGTCCTATCTTTAATGCTTCTTCTTCTGTTACCAACATGTTGCTTTTCACTTGCATACCCTCCAGTTTGTGGGAAATCAGACATATATCATCGCATTATACAATCTACTGCAATCAGGAAAATCATTGGCAATAGTAAGCGGCCAGCCAGCTTGTCTTACTCCCATCTTCAATTCGAAGGATTCCGTAAGTTTCCTATTGTGGATTACTTGGCATTCAGCATTGTTGTATAACTGTTGGATGAGATGTATAATTGTCGATGTCACCCCGTAGTAGCAAAGTAGTTTCTAAATCACCTCTCGATCGACGCTGTACTATCGAAGGCCTTTTCAAAGTCGATGAAGTTGCGATAGAGAGGTGACTGCCATTCCAAGTATTGTTCAATAATGATACGTATAGTGGAGATTTGATCAATACATGATTTGTTTCT